ATTGAACACACCATGTAAACATTCACAGTGCAGGTGTAAAAAGTATGTGAACCCTTGGATTTAATAACTGGTTGAACCTCCTTTGGCAGCAATAACTTCAACCAAACATTTCCTGTAGTTGCAGATCAGACGTGCACAACGGTCAGGAGTAATTCTTGACCATTCCTCTTTACAGAACTGTTTCAGTTCAGCAATATTCTTGGGATGTCTGGTGTGAATCGCTTTCTTGAGGTCATGCCACAGCATCTCAATCGGGTTGAGGTCAGGACTCTGACTGGGCCACTTCAGAAAGCGTATTTTCTTCTGTTTAAGCCATTCTGTTGTTGATTTACTTCTATGCTTTGGGTCATTGTCCTGTTGCAACACCCATCTTCTGTTGAGCTTCAGCTGGTAGACAGATGACCTTAAGTTCTCCTGCAAAATGTCTTGATAAACTTGGGAATTCATTTTTCCTTCGATGATAGCAATCCATGCCGGCCCTGACGCAGCAAAGCAGCCCCAAACCATGATGCCCCCACCACCAAACTTCACAGTTGGGATGAGGTTTTGATGTTGGTGTGCTGTGCCTTTTTTTCGCTCCACATAGTGTTGTGTGTTTCTTCCAAACAACTCAACTTTGGTTTCATCTGTCCACATAATATTTTGCTAGTACTGCTGTGGAACATCCAGGTGCTCTTGTGCAAACTGTAAACATGCAGCTATGTTTTGTTTGGACAGCAGTGGCTTCCTCTGTGGTATCCTCCCATGAAATCCATTCTTGTTTAGTGTTTTACGTATTGTAGATTCGCTAACAGGGATGTTAGCATTTGCCAGTGACTTTTGTAAGTCTTTAGCTGACACTCTAGGATTCTTCTTCACCTCATTGAGCAGACTGCGCTGTGCTCTTGCAGTCATCTTTACAGGACGGCCACTCCTAGGGAGAGTAGCAGCAGTGCTGAACTTTCTCCTTTTATAGACAATTTGTCTCACCGTGGACTGATGAACAGCAAGGCTTTTGGAGATACTTTTATAACCCTTTCCAGCTTTATGCAAGTCAACAATTCTTAATAGTAGGTCTTCTGAGAGCTCTTTTGTGCGTGGCATCATTCACATCAGGCAATGCTTCTTGTGAAAAGCAAACCCAGAACTGGTGTGTGTTTTTTATAGGGCAGGGCAGCTGTAACCAACACCTCTAATCTCATTTCATTGATTGGACTCCAGTTGGCGGACATCTCACTCCAATTAGCTCTTGGAGATGCCATTAGTCTAGGGGTTCACATACTTTTTCCACCTGCACTGTGAATGTTTACATGGTGTGTTCAATAAAAACATGGCAACATTTCATTCTTTGTGTGTTATTAGTTTAAGCATACTGTGATTGTATATTGTTGTGACTTAGATGATGATCAGATCACATTTTATGACCAATTTGTGCAGAAATCCATATCATTCCAAAGGGTTCACATACTTTTTCTTGCAACTGTAATTGGGTTATTCCTTAACTTATCTCAATATCTCCCAGGCAGAGAGAGGGCGGGGGTTACTGTAAAGCTGTATGTTGACTGGTTATTGTCTTTGTGTACTGTGGGAGGTCCTCTTGCAGGAGGATTTCTCATAAAAGCCATTGTGCCATCAATAAACAAATTCCTGTTACATCCTTCATGAAGTCTAGGCTCATGTTTGGGGAATATTCTATTTGCTGGGGAGAATCATCGTGGAAGCTGCATTCATCTACACTATTCCTCTACCTCCTACTGCAGTTATAATCACTTATGCTCAGCTATTGGGGAAGGAATAGAAGACTGCAGTACCATAACCACTGCAGGTCTTAACAGAATCTTTCCATATCAGCTGGTTTTTCTTAATTTTTGAAAATACAGAGTGTAAGTGAATAACACTGTTGGGGAATGTAACATTTTTTTGTATTTACACACGCAGTTTATGAACCATGCCTTTATTTTCCAAACAATGTTAAAGGAACACTATAGTCACCTAAATTACTTTAGCTAAATAAAGCAGTTTTAGTGTATAGATCATTCCCTGCAATTTCACTGCTCAATTCACTGCCATTTAGGAGTTAAATCACTTTGTTTCTGTTTATGCAGCCATAGCCACACCTCCCCTGGCTATGATTGACAGAGACTGCATGAAAGAAAAACTGGTTTCACTTTCAAACAGATGTAATTTACCTTAAATAATTGTATCTCAATCTCTAAATTGAACTTTAATCACATGCAGGAGGCTCTTGCAGGGTGTAGCAATCTATAAACATAGCAGGGGATAAGAAAATCTTAATTAAACAGAACTTGCAATAAAGAAATCCTAAATAGGGCTCTCTTTACAGGAAGTGTTCATGGAAGGCTGTGCAAGTCACATGCAGGGAGGTGTGACTAGGGTTCATAAACAAAGGGATTTAACTCCTAAATGGCAGAGGATTGAGCAGTGAGGCTGCAGGGGCATGTTCTATACACCAAAACTGCTTCATTAAGCTAAAGTTGTTCAGGTGACTATAGTGTCCCTCAGGGCCGGACTGGGAAAAAAATTCAGCCCGGGCATTTTTTTATCACAGCGGCCCACTAAGAAGGGGGCGGGGCAGAGAGGGTGTGTTTTGTCATCACTCATGACAAATACGCCCCCTCTCAAAGTGAGCATGTTGGTTCAATGCTCTTCCAGGGCAGACCATGCGCAGAGCTCTGCTGAAGAGCTCTAGCATGAGAAAAAAGCCCTGTATTTGTTCTGCACAGTGCAAGCAAATTTAATAACATGCTTGCACTGTTTCCTTGCAACTTGTCTCTGGTGTCTCTATAAATGGATACCAGGAGACAAAAGGGCCAGGAAAGAGTATTGTGCATGTGTTTGGAGCCTGTTTGTGGTATTACGTTTGTGCAGAGTGAGCTGGTCATGGTGTGGTATTGTGTAATAAGGTCTGTTTTAGTCGTGTTGTGTTTGTGGTGTAATGTAATGCATATGTGGCTAGGGGCTGTAGAGAATGTGTGTATAGGGGATGTAGCAAGTGTGTGCATACAGGCTATAGTGTGTGTGTGTATAGGTGATTTAGTGTTTGTAGAGAGTGTGTGTTCAGGGAATGTAGTATGTGTTTGCTTACAAGGAATCTAGTGTGCATATAGGGGATCCAGAGTGTGTGTGTGTATATGATCCAGAGTTGGCTAAAGGATCTAGTGTGTGTCTGGAATGTAATGTGTTTAGGGGTGCAGTGTGTGTGTGAGGGGTGTTGTGTGTATGTGTATATATATATATATATAGTTTATATAAATATGTTTGGAAGTATTGTGTATGTGTGTGATGCAGTGTATTGGGGGGTTGTGTGTGTATGTGAGGGGTGCAGTATGTGTGTGTGAGGTGTGATGTGTGTGAGGGTGCTGTGTGTGTGAGGGTGCTGTGTATGATGATGTGTGTGAGAGTGCTGTGTGTGAGAGTGCTATGATGTGTGTGAGAGTGCTATGATGTGTGTGAGAGTGCTGCGATGTGTGAGATTGCTGTGTATGATGTGTGTGAGAGTGCTGTGTGTGAGAGTGCTATGATGTGTGTGAGAGTGCTGCGTGTGATGTGTGTGAGAGTGCTATGATGTGTGAGAGTGCTGCGCTGTGTGTGAGAGTGCTGTGTGTGAGAGTGTTGTGTGTTGTGAGTGCTGGGTGTGATAGTGCTGTGTGTGATGTGTGTGAGAGTGCTGCGTGTGATGTGTGTGAGAGTGCTGAGTGTGAAAGTGCTGTGTGTGAGAGTGCTATGATGTGTGTGAGAGTGCTGTGTGTGAAAGTGCTATGATGTGTGTGAAAGTGCTATGATGTGTGTGAGAGTGCTATGATGAGTGTGAGAGTGCTGCGTGTGATGTGTGTGAGAGTGCTATGATGTGTGTGAGAGTGCTGTGTGTGAGAGTGCTGAGTGTGAGAGTGCTGGGTGTGAGAGTGCTGGGTGTGATGTGTGTGAGAGTGTTGTGTGAGTGCTGAGAATGCTGAGTGTGATAGTGCTGTGTATAAATGTTGTGTGTTGGGGGGTAAATAAACAAAAAAAAAACTAAGCAAAAAAAAAACTAAACCCCCCCCCTCCCTTCTTACCTTTAGCCTGGGAGGGGGGACATGCACGTGGTAGCTGGGAGGGGGGGCACCGGCACTCGCACACCATCCCTGGTGGTCCAGTGGTGAGTGAACTCTCTCGCGAGATCGGGGCGTTGCCATGGCAACGCTCCGGATCTCACGAGAGAAACCCGGCGGAGCTGCAAGACAGAGCTCCGCCGGGTCCTCTCCCTCCCTCCCCAGCCGCAGGTCTATTTAAATGGGCCGGTGAGGGAGAGCTTTGATCTCCCCACCGGCCCTCCATGGAAGACAGCGGGTCCGGCGCTCGGATAGTGCCGGCCCTGCATAGACCGGCAGGGGAGATCCTGGGACCTCCCCTGCCGGCCTCGGCCCCACGGCCACCGCGGCCCACCGGGCATTTGCCCGGTGTGCCCGATGGCCAGTCCGGGCCTGGTGTCCCTTTAAGTGACAAAGCAAAGCATGGTTGGGTCATTTGATAATAAATAAACAAACCCAATGTTTTAGTACAATTTGGGGGGAAAGTTATATATGTGCAATTTTGTGTAAAATAATTTAATAAAGTTGGAATTGTCAGAAACTCAAAGTGAATTTCAAATGAAAGGCCAAAAGATCCAAATTTAAAACAGAAATAAATTGTAGAATTTATGTAAATTTGGTTATTTTGGCCCAAATTGTTAGTCCCAGTGAATTCCCAGTTATTTTTATTTCAGTGACTGACCATGACTTCCATAAGGACCAATGGGACTTGGTAAGATCCCTTTGGTTCCTATGGAGATTGAGGCACGCTCAGAGCTCGCAGCCCGGGCTCTGCTAAACCAAGCGCTGCCACAGACAAAGCTGAGAGGAGCGTGGACTGCTGAGCTAAAAAGGGGGCGGGACCCAGGCGGCACGAGGACGGCCCAACGTCAGCCGAGGCAGCCAACCAGCGGCTTGCTCCGCGCGCCCTGACGTTAGAACGTAGGCGGGACTCTTGCTTAGCTCCGCCCACTCTTCGTCGCTCTCGCTTGCTTTCCAGTGCCCGAATTTCCCCCCTCAGCCGGGACCAATCAGAGCCGCCGCTCGGGGAGGCAAAGCCAACGGATGAGGCCCGCACGGTCGGGCATTATGAAAGACCTCGCCGCCAGCCCTTCCGGTAGGTGTAACGGTCCGTGACAAGAGGAGGGGGCTCGTGGGTAGCCGCGGGACGCAGGGGGAAGGTGAGCGCCGCCGCCGGTGGCTTGTTAGGCCGCCTTTCCCGAGATGCTTAGTGAGAGGAAGTGAGGCCATCTTTGGTTCCGTCTGCTCTGACAATAACAATAACAATCACAGAGTGGGGGGGAGAGCTGAGGCAGGCCGGGGCCTTCCATGAGCTGGGGAGAGAGCTGAGCCAGGCTTTGGGGGAAGAGAGCTGAGCCAGGCTCTGGGAGGGGGGGAGAGAGCTGAGCCAGGCTCTGGGAGGGGGGAGAGCTGAGCCAGGCTCTGGGAGGGGGAGAGAGCTGAGCCAGGCTCTGGGAGGAGAGAGCTGAGCCAGGCCTGGGAGGGGGGGGGAGAGAGCTGAGCCAGGCTCTGGGAGGGGAGAGAGCTGAGCCAGGCTCTGGGAGGGGGGAGAGAGCTGTTGTGCCTGGGAGTGGGGGAGAGAGCTGAGCCAGGCTTTGGGGGGAGAGAGCTGAGCCAGGCTTTGGGGGGAGAGAGCTGAGCCAGGCTCTGGGGAGAGAGAGCTGCCAGGCCTGGGAGGGGGGGGAGAGAGAGCTGAGCCAGGCTCTCTGGGAGGGGGGAGAGAGCTGAGCCAGGCTCTGGGATGGGGAGAGCTGAGCCAGGCTTTGGGGAGAGAGCTGAGCCAGGCTTGGGGGGAGAGAGCCGTGAGCCAGGCTTTGGGGGAGAGAGCTGAGCCAGGCTCTGAGGCGGGGGGAGAGCTGAGCCAGGCCTCTGGGAGAGCTGAGCCAGGCTCTGGGGGGAGAGAGCTGAGCCAGGCTCTGAGAGAGCTGAGCCAGGCCTGGGAGAGAGCTGAGCCAGGCTCTGGGGGAGAGAGAGCTGAGCCAGGCTCTGGGAGGAGGGGGGAGAGCTGAGCCAGGCTCTGGGAGAGAGCTGAGCCAGGCTCTTAGGAGGAGGGGGTGGTAGAGAGCTGAGCCAGCCTGGGGGAGAGCTGAGCCAGGCTTGAGGGGAGAGCTAAGGCCAGGCTGGGTCTGCACTGAGCTGGGAGGGAGAGGTGAGCCAGACTGGGTCTACACTGAGCTGGGGGACAGCTGAGGCAGGCTGGTGCCTTCACTGAGCTGGGGGACAGCTGAGGCGGGCTGGTGCCTTCACTGAGCTGGGGGACAGCTGAGGCGGGCTGGTGCCTTTACTGAGCTGGGGGTAGAGCTCAGCCGGGTTGGGACCTTTACTGAGCTGGGGGTAGAGCTCAGCTGGGTTGGGACCTTTACTGAGCTGGGGGTAGAGCTCAGCCGGGTTGGGACCTTTACTGAGCTGGGGGTAGAGCTCAGCCGGGTTGGGACCTTTACTGAGCTGGGGGTAGAGCTCAGCCGGGTTGGGACCTTTACTGAGCTGGGGGGAAGGAGAGCTGAGCCAGACTGTGGTCTTTACCGAGCTGGAGGGGGAGAGCCTAGCCAGGCTGGGGCCTTTATTTAGTTGGAGGGAAAGCTGAATCAGGCTGGGGCTTTCCCTGAGCTGGAGGGTAGAGCTGAGCCAGGCTGGGACTTTCATTGAGTTGGTGGAGGCTGGCTGGCTGAAGGGGTCCTCCTGATGAGAGGCTGCGGCTACCAGGGGGATCCCTGTCCTGTCTGATTCCCGAACCCAAGGCTGAACTGCTGTTTTCATGTTTCTCACAGGTTTATCATCCCCCAACCCCTCAGCTCCTGAGGTCAGGCCAGAGGGTAACAGCTCCTCCAAAAAGAGAAAGTTGAACAGCAGCAGTGAAAAGGAAGACTTTGATCCCCACCCATCACCCAAGCACTCAAACACGTCCTCCAACCACATTCAGAAGAAGCTCAGGTTTGAGGACACCCTGGACTTTATTGGACTCGATGTGAAGATGGCTGAGGAGTCTCCCTCCTCATCTTCCTGCTCTTCCATTACACCCCAGACATTGAGGAGTAAAAACCTGCTTCTGTCTCCGGTGTCAGCTGGGCACCATGCCAATGGGCTCACCAAAGCCTCCCCTGTTTCTAGTTTTGCCAACAGCAAGCCTGGGTCTGCCAAGAAGTTAGTAATAAAGAACTTTAAAGGTAAATAAAAAGGGATTTGCGCCATCACCAGTTTGTTTGGCACCAGGAAACCCATTGGATGTTAGGGTGCCTAGTGTGTGGTTTGTTGCAATTTCTGCAGTTTTCACATGCCTCATAAAAACCAGGTGGATGTTGGTTTTTCCGTTAAGTGCAAATATTCAGATATTCACCTAGGTTTCCTGTATTCTGTTTGTATTTGTAATCATTGTGTATTCATAGATTAACATGTTAAAATAAGGTAGTAAGTAAAGTCACAATGTTAAAGTTGGAAAATCTAATCTTTGCCAATTGGCTTATTACTGGTGGTGTTTGTAATTTTTACAAATTAAGCACAGCATTGTCATTTGTGTTATCCTGCATAGTTGGATTATCATGAAACGTTATGTCAGTCTAGTGGTAAAGTTAGAAGTGGTAAATTAAATACTAACTTTACAAAGATATTTTAACTTATCTCAAGTGAATCCAATCAAAGTAGAAGAAAATGGTAAAGTTAGTAGTGCCATGCTGATACGTTTTATTAATGCTGCACAAATGTGTGGAAATAATCATGGCTATTTCAAAAATTGTTTGATGCACTGCACATCACTGAATCTGTATAGCTCCATATATCATTCTCAAATTAATTATGATTATATACCTGTTCAGGAACCATGTCAGTGATGTACTCTTGCGCACGTAGGAACCTTCATAGACTATGTCTTGCAAGAAGAAACCTGACAGGCTTTTGCCAAGAATGATCAAACCTTGGACTTTAAAGGACCACTGAAGGCACCCAGACCACTTCAGCTTAATGAAGTGGTCTGGGTGCCTGGTCCAGCTAGGTTAAACCCCTTTTTCTATAAACATAGCAGTTTCAGAAAAAAGTGAATGTCTCTCTAGTGGCTGTCTCATTGACAGATGCTAGAGGGCTTCTCACTGTGATTGTGAATGCTTTCCTATGGACTGTCTGCGCGCGCAGCTCCGGCCGCGCATGCGCATTCAGCCGAGGAGGAGGAGAGTCCCCCGCCCAGCGCTGGAAAAGAGGTAAGTTATTGTTATTGTCAGAGCAGACGGAACCACCCCCGAGAGTCTGGCGGGAGGGGGTCCCTGAGGGTGGGGTCACCCTCAGGGCACTATAGTGCCAGGAAAACAACTATTTTCCTGGCACTACAGTGGTCCTTTAACATCTTAAAAAGTGAATACATGCAAAAGGTGTTTGGAGCTCTGATTTTTGCCACATTTTGCCAAAAATCATCTACTACATAAGACAAACTAGCACCTTGTCTTGTGTTCTCTTTTGTTTATGTTAATATTTTATTAAAGTGACACTCAGGCACCATAACAACTTCAGCATATTGAAGTAGTTAAGGTGTCAGAATGTCCCTGGTGCTGGCTCACCTTTAGGGTTTAAACCATTCACGTATGGTTTAACCCCAAAGTTTGTGTTCCAGAGCTGGATCTCTCTGGCCTCTTGTTTGCTGAAAAGCTTTGAAACTGAAGATTTTCTGACTGAGAGCGGTCAGCTAACGCTCTTATTCGATCCCCATTCACAAAGCGGCTTGAGAGAGGCAGTTTTTTGTGATTGATTTAACCTGTATAGGTGAGCCCGTGCCTGGGGTTTCCTGGCACCCTAACCATTTTATTTTGATGAAGTTATGATGCCGAAACTGGTCCTTTAAATTACAACACACAAAGGGCTATTTACTGAGGTGGGAATTGTCAGAAAATCTAAATGATTTTTATTTGTTTTAGATTGAACAGCATGAGGTTGCACAGACAGACATTCTTATGAGGTTGAACATCAACATTGATAGTTACATTGTTCCCAATATTAAAGGACCACTATAGTGCCAGGAAAACATACTTGTTTTCCTGGCACTATAGTGCCCTGAGGGTGCCCCCACCCTCAGGGTCCCCCTCCCGCCCGGCTCGGGAAAGGGGTTAAAACTTACCTTTTTCCAGCGCTGGGCAGGGAGCTCTCCTCCTCCGTTCCTCCTCCTGGGCTGAATGCGCACGCACGGCAAGAGCTGCGCGCGCATTCAGCCGGTCGCATAGGAAAGCATTTACAATGCTTTCCTATGGACGCTGGTGTACTCTCACTGTGAAAATCACAGTGAGAAGCACGCAAGCGCATCTAGCGGCTGTCAATGAGACCCATGAATGAGTTTAAAAGTTGGATGAGGTTGATATTGCTAGTGTGGATGTAAAAGTTCAGCAGCGTCAGTAGTGGAGCACAAAGCCCAGCCACGGGTCAGGTCAGACCACTAAAAATGGTTTGACTGAGATATGGTACTTGCATTCTTATGGCATCATGATCACTACATAGGCACGCAGGTAGTGGTTACGATACCTAGACTGTTATATTAATGGAGGTCGAACAGATTCAGCTAACAAGATATATTATTCCACAACCCACACATTATATTTAACCTCCTAAGTGGCAGTACATTTTATTGTTGCTATGAATTAGAGGAGCAGTCCAAACACCATAAAAACCACAACTGTGGTGCCTGGGTGCCATGGCTCCCTCCCAGAGCAAATGGTCAAACTATTTTAGAATGGTTTAAGATCTTACCTGAGTCTTCCAGGTCCTGATCCCTGTCTTCACTACATCAGCCAGAGAGCCTCTCTGTCTTTGCTGAGTTCTTAAACTGTTTGACTACTAACTTAAAATTTTTCATAAATATATTTTTATGAAATGCAACTAAAATATCATAAACCTAAACTTGTGCCTTTTTTTTTTTTTTTTTAATAATGTAGCAATGGGCAGAAATTCAGCCACCACAACTTAGCATTTCTCATCTCATGGCATCTTATTGTGCATGCACAAGATCATCTATAGGGAATCCTGTTGTAAGAAATGCAAAATTTAGCCTCATCTTCAATTTTCAACAGTAAATAGACTACAGAAAGCAGTAGAAACTATTAGTGAACCATAGTGGAAAAGTGATTGCATTGATGTCAATGCAAACCCACCAAAAACTGCTGTGCATTCTTGAATGTATTATAGACCATGCAGAGTCACAATGTGATGACCATTGCATGCCGTGGCATGTGACATCACTGGCATCATATACCCGTTGAGTGCTGCCTTTAAACAAAACAAACAAACAAAAAAAAAACAATATTTTAATGCACCATGTGATTCTTTACAGGCTAGCTAGCATATTCCCTGATGGTTAAGGAGTGCTTTGAGTACATGTTTTTTTTCTTTTGTTTATGGGTGTTTTTTTTTGTCACCAAATACAGCATTGAACCAATATGGCACACCATCCTCTTGTTCTGCGTAGGTACTTTCCAGGTTTACAATGGTGCTGATACCAACAGAAAGGGCAGAGCCAATGACTAGTTTCTGTTAATACCTAAACTAGTAGAAACACAAACTTCAAGTGTGACTAGCAAATGTATTTTGGCTAATACTCTAAAATGACTAAGATAATAAAGCAAATCAATATGTCAATCTGTGATCTATAAGAAAAAAAATATTAGTGACCTCTTAAAGGGACTCTCATCCACAAAATTTGTCATGTCAAAGTCCCTCTTCTATTGAGGTTTAGCTTGTGCTGGCGAAACTAATCTAAAATGTAAAGATAAAGAAACAGACTTTCCTGTAGCTCATTTGTGACATTTAACTGCCTGGGAATCCACTTGTATTTTTTATTGTATCGGAATATGTTCTTGGTATTACCTTGAAGATAAAGGCTTAAAAGCAGCAGTAATTATATTGTGCTTAGTTTTTTTTGTTTTGTTTTTTTACTTTGGTTTGTTTGCTTGTAGTCAGACTGCTGCTGAGGCTGATATACTCATCACAGATCTTTGTGGACAATATGGGCCAAACCAGAAATGGCAAAAAGAGCCCCTCTGATTTCAAATGAGAAGATATGACCACCACACTGGTTTTCTTTTCCTCTGAATAGTGGCTAGTGTTACAAAATGTGAGTTTGAATAGTGCTTTGTAAGCTGGAATTTGTTGCAAGTACATATTTCATTTAGTGACAAATAAGAGGAAGGTGTCCTATGTCATTGCTAGGTTTTTGCAGTTTAGTCATGGTTGTTTTGGAAGGGGGTGAAACATTGTTCTGCCTTAAAGGAATACTTCAGAAGTATTAGTAAATCTAGCCCTCACCCTTGTATCTGTCAATCATGCATCCAGAATGCAGAGTTCTGGCTTCCTGATGTTGGTTTTGCAAAGTGTTCAGTTGTATCTACAAAGAAGAACTGAGCCACAACCTGCAGCTCTGCCTATCTCTGCACACAATCCAGCTCACTTAAAACGTGAATCACTCTCTGTGTTATCTGATGGCAACCATGCATGGCTGCTATCCGTTTACAAAATGGTTTTGCTTCTCATACAGTATGAGTGGAACTGCTACCTTACTGTAAACTTCTTATCACACAAATCTCTGGTGGACAGGAGTTTATGGGATAAAAATTGACCACATAGATTCTCCTGATTGGAGCATGTAGTCCTGTGGCATGAGGGTTCTGTAGTTTTAGGCAGTTTGACTAGACGGTACTAAACAAGAGAACTTGATTAAAGGTTTATTTGTAAATTATAATTTTTTTTTTTGGTGTGTGTATTTGTATAATATGTTCAAAATGGTGTGGGTGGTGGGCTTGGTATAGTACCTGACCTGATCTTGTTTAACACAAAGCTGCAAAGGTTAAAGTGCAGGAAGAAGGCAAATTAGCAGAGCTAAAGGAACACTATATGGTTAGGAACATAAGTGTGGCCGGCCTCCTTGTATGCTCCTTTAAAAAGGTATTTTGCTTACCTTTATTCCATTGCTGTGAGTGTCCACCGGTGCTGGCTCTGCCTCCTTGGCTGTCATCAGAACTGATGAGCTGACATCATCATAATAGCTTTGGCCAATCAGCATCTCCACGCAGACCACCTCTAGTGGCTGTCTAAGTGACTGGCACAAGAGGTCTCCCTAGGGGGGAAAAAAGTCTGCAGGGACTGACTATACTCGCCAGAACCACTGCATTAAGCTGTAGTTGTTCTGGTGACTATAGAGTCCCTTTAAAGATAGATAGAGATAGATAGATATATCTATCTATCTCTATCTCACACACACACTCTGGACAAAGGAATCTCTGCATTTACCCTATGACATATCTTACTACAGACAATATATAAAATGGGGTTAACAAAATTATGTAGTAACACCTTAACTACGACATGTCAATCCATACCTTCAAGCAGGTAAACATCCAATGACTGAAGTATCCAGTTGGTATTTCCCACTGTCACTTTGGCTAAATTTAGTAGCCCCCATGCTGACCTTTTGATGCATACACAGCTCTCTATAGTTGTAAGCTGTGCACATCTATAGCTATGGACATAGCTTAACTTCTGTGTTTAGTGATGTCATCTATAGCTTCTCCAGCTGCGAAAATCCTTTTGCCGATAGAGTGTTAAGGCAGTGTTAAGTATTGGGAGACAATGCTTAGATGGGTTCTTAGGATTAAAGGAATAGCGTCCAAAATTGTTGTCACGAACTAAACCAAACCATGGTCTTTAAAGGAGCAATCTGTATACTTTAATTATTGATCGTACAGTAGTGGTTATACTTCTGGCTGTATACCATCCCCCTGTAATGGATCAAAACATTTTGAGCACTTTGACCAAAACCAGGGTTATGTTGGATAGGCAGATTCTTTTAACTTTTGCATCTTAAAGGAATACTCGAAGCACCAAAACAACTTTAGCTCAATGAAACATTTTTTTTTTTTGTGTGTAGATTATGCCCCTGATCAATTTGATGCTGTGTTTAGAAATTTAATACCGTTTGTTTACTGCTTATGCCTATCTAGCCACACCTCCCCAGACTGTGACTCACACAGCAGAAAAAAACACTAACAAGCAATGATTTCATGTTCAGACAGGTCTGACCGCACAGTGTGTTTTACCTTAGAAGTTATCTCCTGCTCTGTTAATTAACCTTTAATCACACACAGTAGGCTCTTGGCTCAAATGGGCAATTTAGCAGAGCAGAAGACAAGATATTCTGAATTACACCAATTGCAATAAAGAAAGTTTAAACTTTACAGGTCTGTTTACAGAAAATGTGTAGGTCACATGCATGGGAGGTGTGACTAGGACTTTATAAACAGTGATTCAGGTGCTAAATGGCAGAGAATATAGCAGTGACACTGCAGGGGAATGGTCTATACACCAAAGCTGCTTCATTAAGCTAAAGGTGTTTTGATATTGAGTGTCATACCTGGCTGAGAATAATTTTGGTTAAGACTTCATAGCTTGTGACTCAACATATACTGTAAGCCTTTCTAACCCTCTAACTAGAAGCACTCCTTAACTTTTAGATCATTATTCTGCTGTATTGGCCTTTAAGAACATGTGTCCTGTTGTGCTCTTTGCGTCATTATAGTGTGTTTTAGTGCCCTGTTTATTAAAGGGCTACTCTAGCTAGATTTTATACTTTATCTTTTCATGCTTTAACGCTCTTGCATATTTTTCCAGGTCTCCCCTTGTTTTTACACAAATGGTATGCAGAAATAGTTAACTTGCCTGTCTGTGCCTGGCCAAATCCTCCCTGATAATGTCCACTCCTTCTCCACTGTCACTCAGTGTCTCTTGCCCTTTCGGGACGAGGTCTAATTATATGTAGTTCCGTTGTTGGACTTTGTGGACATGCACAGTGAGCTTGGCAAATGTGCCAGTGCTTTTTTGATGGAAAAGCATTGAATCTATCAGAAACCCTGAATGCAACACTGGGCATGCGGTGACAGCTTATCTCGCTGCTACATTCTGCCCACCAACTAACCAAACTTCTGGGAGGGGAGGGAGCTAGATAAAGCAAGGGAATTAATGGAGGTTGCATTTGCTCTCTCGGCACGGACTCCAAGTGAAGAAGGTCACTGGGTGCAGTGCATGCTGACGGAAATATTTTTGCACAGAACTCCCATTAGGCAGTCTGGAACAGAGTTCCGCACCCAGTCACGTGTGCTGGATATGCAACTGTTACCCAGCACAAAAGTACAGCTATCTGTTATTTGTTTTCTTATTCTAAGTGACTTGATTACATTTAAATTCTACTTAAATTGCTGCAGACCTTCAACGATTAAAGCACAAAATCACTTTGTGTTTACATTGTGCATTGTTTTATCATTGTATAATCAACTACTGTGTTTTTGTAATACGTACATTTCTATTTGCAGATAAACCCAAATTGCCTGAAAATTACACAGATGAAACGTGGCAAAAATTGAAAGGAGCAGTGGAAGCCATTCAAAATAGCACTTCAATAAAATACAACCTAGAAGAACTATACCAGGTAAGTGAGTGAACTTTGTACTGCATGCCTTTTTATTTGAAATAACTGGAAAACAAAATACAATTTCAATTCATCGTGTGTGTGTGTGTGTGTGTGTATATGTATATATGTGTATATATATATATATATATATATATATATGTATGTATGTGTGTATATATATATATATACACTCCAACGCACTCACCCCAGCAGCACTCCCATTTATGCATGTTAAGGTGAGTGCAGCCAACCCCCTCTTGTTTTTATATATATATATATATATATATATATATATATATATATATATATATATATATATATATATATATATATATATATATATATATATATAATATGTGTGTGTGTATATATATATATATATATATATTGTGATCCTTGTCACCAGGTAGCACGGTCCTCTAGGGCAAAAACATGCACAGTCCTTGTAGTTGCAAATACTTCAGGCACTTTATTTGTAAATCCACACAGGATACAGCAGTAAATGAAAATCAAAAGTAACAGAAAACCCTATAAACAAACGCCTAGCTCGTCTGAGCACTAACTGACTTTAGTTCCCTATCTCTCAGGGTTAAACTAAACACAATATTGCACCAACCTTATTAGAGAGCAACGCTCTGCTATCTAACCTGTTGCTTTCCTTTCTGCACTCCCAGTGCTCCAAGCCAGCCTTGCCCTGACTGCTTTGCTTTCTGCACTCCCAGTGCTCCAAGCCAGCCTTGCCCTGACTGCTTTCCTTTCTGCACTCCCAGTGCTCCAAGCCAGTCTTGCCCTGACTGCTTCCTTTCTGCACTCCAAGTGCCTAGTCACCTTGACTATCTGGAGAGAACAGCCTCTCTCTCCTACCTGCTTCCTGGGAGGAAGCCAGCAATCCCTCTCCTTTTCCTGCCTAGCCGGGAGGAGTTTATTCCCACTGCAACAGCTGATTACCTGCAGCTGAGCAGTGGGTTGGAGACAGTCCAACAAACCCTGGCCTGGATCTATGTCTCCCCAGAACACCACTAAACTGTGGAGTGGAGCATTGGCCCACCCTTCTCTCCAAATGCTCCACCCCAGGGGCCCATAACTAAACAATGTGTTGTGTTGTGCAAAACACAAACTACACATACTCCCCCTGGGGTTAGAAGGCCTATCTGCCTTCACTTTATCACATATCCTCCTCCCCAGCTCAGACCCATCGGGTCGAGCGGCCTTAGAACACAAACCGTGAACATTCATAACACCTAGGCCTCTACCAGCCCTGACTAGCTTCTCAGTTACAGGAAGTGGCCTATTGTAGATAGCGGCTACCTTGCTCCCTTGTATTTTAAGGAGCCCCCGCCCAAGTGGATAACCCAAATAGTTATCAAATCCCAGATAACACGTAGCAGTGTTATCGGTCAAACCGGCAGCCTTTACATTATTTACAACTAACCGGACCTTCATCAGGTGTGCTACCCAGTCCGCCCTGTTAAACACCACATCAAGGTAGGCAGCTGCATACTCTGGCTGGAACAGAACACTTTTCATCAGAGTAACCTCACTCCCTGAATCTGTCAGTGCTTGTGCACTCTTCCCTACCACCATCACCACTTTTAGCTGTGCTGTAACTCCACCACCAGTCACCATACACATCTTTAAGCAAGTCATTACTATCCTATGCAGAGCCCTTATTCCTATGTCACATTGTATTGGCTCTTCACTCTCAGGACAGTTATATGCAATATGTCCTTGCATGTGGCAGTTGAAGCATATGAGTTCTTTCTCAGTCTGGTCTCGTATGGAGCGCTGTTCTTGTGCCGGAGGCCCAGACTCCCGGCGTAGCTCATCTTTCCTTTGCCTGGTTTCCTCTGCTTGCTCAGCCTTGAGTGGCCACCTCTCAACATCAGCAATGCTTTCCTCTGGGCTTTCTGGCGGTCTCCCTGTTCCCTTGGGGGTGTCCAGAGACGCAGTCATGGCCTCTCGCTGGATCATGACAGCCCCGGTATCAAACAGCTGGTCAGGCAGTCCGAGTCCCGCCTTTAATTCCACAACTGTGTTCCCCGAATATGGCAGCTGTTCGAGGTAGTTAGTGCGCCCAGGCCTTGTAGCAGTAGTCTTTGCCAGCAGATTCAGTTCTACGGCTCCCGAACAATCCTTCAAAGTGTTTGTAGCTATACCAGGTGTCTTTGAAATATTTATTTCTGTTAAGCCAATGTCATCTACTATGTCACTTTCACCTTGGTTGGGATTAGGTGCGTACGTGCCAATCTTATTACCACAGCTTGGTTCTGTAACAGTCGCTCTCTCTTGGTTTAGATCAGAAGCGGCTACTTTGCCTTTCTTGTTTTGACTTTGTTTTGCTACTACTTCTCGGCCTAGCTTTTCTCTGCCAAACTGTTCAACAGCTGGTCGACATTCTTGGGTAGCCTCAGCTACTAGACAGTGCACCACATTGTTATACTCCACTGGGGTGCCTTGCTTCTCTCCATTTTCCTCAGCTCCTCTGCTGTTGTCTTCTCTGACTCCCCAAGTCAGTCTGCTTTTCATGCCTTTGACTTGTTCACTTGGGTGTACATCAGGGGCTTCTGCTTCATTTTTTACACAAACCGGCTTGACACTGCTGGCCTCAGCCATAGTCTTTTTTTCTCCTTTCTGATTCTTCTGACCTTTCTTACTTTGGCGCATGTCATCAGTGTCGCCATCACTGCCTCTTGGCAATTCCGCTTTTTCCTTCAGCTTTGCTGGACTCTTTACTAACTTTTTTTCTTTTTGTTCCTTTGAGGATCCAGCTGGCTTTTCACCCTCTTCCATTTTATCACTTCTTTCAGGCTCAATTTCATCCTTCTTGCCTTTTAATTCCTGTTCTTTCTCTCCTGCGTGTTTCTCAACAGCACGCTTTGCTGCCTCCATGCTTTTCAGCTTGCTGAAGACTTCTTCTACTGCCTCTGTCATCCCATGCAGGATGTCAGTAGCTTGGTTACAGGGTCCCTTGTCCTCACGCTCCCTGCAGGGGGCAATCTGCAAAACTTCAGTAAGGGCAGCTCTATGCTCCTGCTGAGCGTCCCTCAGGTTCTTAACCTGTGCAGCCAGGAAACTGTTTGTGCCTTGTTGTTTAGCCGTTGCCTGTACCACAGCTCTCAGCAGGTCCTCCATTATAGCACCAAGCAGGTAACAGTCTTAAAGGTACAGTGCTACTTATTTGATTAGCAGGTCTGCCAAAATAAAAGTCCTCAAGCAGACTACCAGATGACTGGCACACCCACAGACCCTCACTGTGCTACTGTGCCCGCATTCTCCACCATATTGTGATCCTTGTCACCAGGTAGCACGGTCCTCTAGGGCAAAAACATGCACAGTCCTTGTAGTTGCATATACTCAGGCACTTTATTTGTAAATCCACACAGGATACGGCAGTAAATGAAAAACAAAAGTAACAGAAAACCCTATAAACAAACACCTAGCTCGTCTGAGCACTAACTGACATTAGTTCCCTATCTCTCAGGGTTAAACTAAACACAATATTGCACCAACCTTATTAGAGAGCAACGCTCTGCTATCTAACCTGTTGCTTTCCTTTCTGCTCTCCCAGTGCTCCAAGCCAGCCTTGCCCTGACTGCTTTGCTTTCTGCACTCCCAGTGCTCCAAGCCAGCCTTGCCCTGACTGCTTTCCTTTCTGCACTCCCAGTGCTCCAAGCCAGTCTTGCCCTGACTGCTTCCTTTCTGCACTCCAAGTGCCTAGTCACCTTGACTATCTGGAGAGAACAGCCTCTCTCTCCTACCTGCTTCCTGGGAGGAAGCCAGCAATCCCTCTCCTTTTCCTGCCTAGCCAGGAGGAGTTTATTCCCACTGCAACAGCTGATTACCTGCAGCTGAGCAGTGGGTTGGAGACAGTCCAACAAACCCTGGCCTGGATCTATGTCTCCCCAGAACACCACTAAACTGTGGAGTGGAGCATTGGCCCACCCTTCTCTCCAAATGCTCCACCCCAGGGGCCCATAACTAAACAATGTGTTGTGTTGTGCAAAACACAAACTACACATACTCCCCCTGGGGTTAGAAGGCCTATCTGCCTTCACTTTATCACAATATATATTCATTTATTGCTATTTAGAGCTCTAAATGTTTGTTTTTGTTGATTGAGATAGATAGATAGAGATATATATATATATATATATATATATATATATATATATATATAGATAGATAGATAGATAGATAGATAGAGATATATATATATATATATATATAGATATATATATAGTGTTTTTTATTTTTATGTAGCTATTGTGCCATGTCATTGTCCTGATATTTTTTATTTTTTGTGTGTGGTTTTTTGAGACTATAATCTTTAAATTATTTTTAGATTATGTTCATGATATTAGTGTGTGTGGTGCTGCAGAAGCACAATGACACACATACTGCATGTTATGGAGTTCCTGTTGCAGTAGCAGGTTATTAATAAAAGTGTGAATTGTTGAGCTTTTTTTTTTTTTGTTTTTTTTTTTTTTTTGTTACCCCCCATCCACCCCCATAAATTTCATGTACACAAAGTTAAAACAAATCTCCCATATTTAAGTGGAGGCAAATATAATGAACCATTATAAAGTTGTTTTGGTTGAAGGTACAGTAAGGTGTAATTCCGAACTAATGCTCAGGTAAAGGTCTGGATAAGAGGAGGCCAGAGTAATTTTTTTAATAATACAGAAGCCTATTGATTGTGGACCTGGAAAGCCTGTGAATTTCATATTTTTACGCACAATAGGTAAACTGAAAACAGCTGACTTCCAATTCTGCTTTTTCATCAGAAATAATTGTGAATTATATAACAACCTTTTCATATCTTAATAAGTACACACGCACAATACTTGAAATGACCTTTTAGAGGTGCCTTGACAAATCATATTTTAGTCCTGGGTTTAACTCTGTTTTCCGACATTGGAAGATGCTTGCAGAGAAATGGGTTGTGGATTATGTATTGTGTGATACCTTTGATAACTTTTGCTTGATACCTGGCCTGCTGATATTCAAAAAATATTGAACTGTTGCCAAAATCAGTTTGTAGTGTAGGCCAAGGAGTTTATTTTAACGCATGTTTATCAGCTGCTTTGAGCTTTTCACATCTTTTATATTTTTGGGAAACCTGTTGGAAAGTCAAAACCTGTAGGGTAAGATTACCTTCAAAGGTAAAGGTTTGCATGTCCATCAGAATTATTTATGAATACCTCCTGAAGCTGTGACAACATTTATGTATTTTATTAAATGATTACATCAGATTTTGCATAAATGTCCCCCTTATGTGTTGTGTCTTTGTTTAGGCTGTTGAAAACCTCTGCTCTTACAAGATCTCTGCAAACCTCTATAAACAACTAAGACAGATCTGCGAAGACCACATCAAAGCACAAATCCATCAGTTCAGAGAATATCCTTTGCATGGTAAACTTTCTAATAGAGCAATTGTTGAAAGGGAAACTACAAGTACCATAACAATCAGTGGCTCTTACATTCGTTATACGGGTACATAAAGAGACAGGGGATCTCCTTGCACAAAAACTACAGCTATCTGTTAACACTCTCTATTGAGGGAAAACTGCTCTGCCTCCATCTCATACATGTAATTTTTTTTAAATTTTTTTTTTAAGTTCTCTCATAGCTTTCTATGAAAGCCTGTTCTGATCTTGTTGCATTTTTATGGAATATACTCTGTGCATAATTGTGAGACAGCCAGGTTTAGTGGAGATAATTTTTTTTGTTTGTGTTTTTTTGGGTGTTCAGGGAAAACCTGCTAGCTTTTTTTTTTTCGTCCCTCGAACATGATCTAAACCACATTTAACACAATATAGCCACACTGTGCACCAATGTGTTCGGTGCTTTTTATTTTTTGTAAATACGTTTTTATTGAACGTGCAATCTTTCAGATCCTCAAATAGCTATGAATGTGCGACAATTAGGACACGCAGGTCCCTTCAAAATGAAACCATAACAGTTTTAGTAGGAAGTGATGTCCGCTCAGTCATATATCGGTGACACGCAGGTCACAACATAACATGCATTATCTTACTAACAGGACTGCTAAGCACATTCCTTACAGTATCAGGTAGTAATGCGCTAACTTGTGGTGAGATTCGTAGACCTCAGTCTGCATCTGAACTACCATGGCGTGGGCACAACATGCGCAAAGAGTAACGCCAATAACATTGGCACTTTCGTAAGCCCAGTGGTCTACAACCTTGGTGAACACATAAGTCTTGCGTGCATTCTCTTACCAGACATCTGGTATGGGGTTAGTCCCAAGATAGTATCTACTACTGTGGGGGGTGCAGTACGAGTCAGTCTTACAGAGTACTATAGTCAAGTACCAGGCCATGGCCTCTCCCATCCGTCAGCCCTGACACTAGCGTCTCCCGCTCTGTGGTGGTTACTTAGGGTTAGTACGGAGTGTCTATTGTCAAGAGCTGGATCTTCATCTGGTTCTCATGTGCGGGGCGAAGTCCACGTGGAGTGGCTTCGTGGTGTGGCAAGTCATCTCTATTGTCTTGCTTCCTGTCTGGCGGTGTTAGGTGTAGTCCTCTAGTCTTTAGTTACTACCTGAATCTGTACTGTGTCATGCAAGTGCACCCCTCATAGTGTTCGGTGCTTTTTAATTTAATTTTTTTCTTGTGGAGTGTACAAATTTTAAAAATACTTCACTGATTTTGTATTTGATATTATCATTTCTAAAGAGCAATGTGTGACCCTGCAGCTTCAAATGTTTTGTTTTATTTTTCTGTCAGCAAATGGGACTCATCCAAAATAATTTATACTTCATTAAAAATGGTAACTGGGGTAAAGGGTTATGTTTGTAGCATTATGTTAACATGTTCCTTTTGTATAATCCCAAAATATTACTTTATTTTATCAGAATCTTCCTTCTGTTTTTACTGTTTTACCTTAATGCTGAAATCACAGATTCATTGGATAGTGTTCTTTTCCTAAAGAAAATTGACAAATGCTGGCAGGATCACTGCAGGCAAATGGTAAGTGTTACGCCTTTGCAGAATACAAGCCCTTGATCGTTCGGACAAGCTAACATGCAGTTAACTTGGCCATATCTACACATTAACAGAATATGTATTCAACATTTTCTCAATGCATGTGAACAGGTTATGATGAGAAAATTCTTTATTTTTCTAATTTCACATTCGATGAAAACATTTGAGTGGACAACATGGCAAAGAGTAATGCAGTAATAAGTGTTCAACATCTTGTACATATAATAGCAGGAGAAGGAAAGAGCTGTTGTGCTTAGTACCGAAGTGTGTGTGTGTGTGTGTGTATGTATGTATGTATATGTATATGTATATGTATATATATATATATATATATATATATATATATATATATATATATATTATATATTATATGTGTGTGTATGTATGTGTGAGATGAGCATTTTGGTTTTAGTAGAATGCCTGTCTGAGATTCCAAAGAGTGGAATTACCATTGGGTCATGTGACTAATGCATAGACGAGAGTTAACTGTGCCCATGATGGGTAGTTCCATCCCTGAGAGAAACAGTAGGTATTAAATCTTATCACTAATCAAAAAGTATGGGAAAGGATGGAGGGGAGGTTTACCAGTTGTATCTTTTTTTATTTATTTATTTTTTTAACCCATTAATCGGTTGACAAACCTACACTGATATTACACAGGTAATATTCTAGTGCGGGTTTTGGAAATGGTAGAAGCCCCTGTCCCAAATGTACGGATAGTGTTGGTACTGCGTGATGGCACTGTCCCACATTCCCCCTTATATGGAAATGGGGAAAGGAGTAAACAAGAGTAGGGAAGAGAAAGCAACCATAAAGTTATATCTGCTTTTCAACGGTAGTACTGGAGAAGTCCCTGGTTTTTATATGGGATCTTGGCAGTCAAGACATCAGCCTCCTTGGCTCGGTTTGCTCCCAGTCATGTTGCGGCGCCGGTAGGCAATGTGTCCGTGCCTGCCACGATGTGAACTCCCGGACCCTAGCCAAGTCTATAGTGGACAGGCTCCTACTCTTATCAGTGGTTGGTGGGTTGAGTCCCAGGTTCTTCAGAAGATCTTCCAGCTCCTGAAAAGTTTACGCTCGATGAGTGGTGTCTTGAGGTGTGATCAGAACTGTTCGGGGAAGGCCCCATCGATATGGCATTTCTTTTGCATGTAGCAATTGAATCAATGGTAGCAGGGATCGGCACCACAAGAGGGTATTTCTCGTGAGATCCAGGAAGAGGAGAAGTGTGGCACCTTCAAAAGTGAGTGGGGTCTTCCCTCTCACAGCTGCTTGAAGGAGGGCTTTGTCTTGCAGAGACCTAAAGTGGAGGAGCAGGCCTTAGAGTAGCGGAATGATGTGCCCCAGGCGGTTTGGGGCTACGGACCATGCCGTCTAGTTTCATGGCCTTTTCGCGTTTCGGTGGTAAGTAGGCCTGATGAAGTGAGGGAGGTCTGGCAGTCCCACCAGCACTCTCCTAAGCTTCAGTTTATACCTGCTTCGCTGATCTTCCAGGGCATTGATCCTGCTTTCAGCCCTTTGTTGGTGCTGGTGCAGGTCAGCCAGGCCGTTCTTCATTGCTGCAAGCCAGCTTTCATGAGTGGCATGGGTAGCCTCAAGTTGTTCCACTTTAAATGTCGTGTTTTCAATGGCTTTCTTGAAGGGGGACAGGTCGCAATGTTTTCGCGGAGTTCAGCCAGCATCGCCCTCAGTTGGGCCGCTGTAACTGGGTCACGGTCAGTCTCTGCCAGATGAGGATTTCTCCTTTTCCTGGTGTGCGAGGCGCCCTCTAAGGGGACATAAACCATGTCTTCCGAGGAGTAGGAAGAGTCTTTGTCCACAAGCGCCATATTGTCCCATGTGGCCCTCTGTGAATTCCTGAATATGTTGCTGATATGCAGGCTCTTGTCAGGCTTGGTTCTTTTTTTATTTTTACGGCCCATGGTGTAGCCTCCAGCCAAGGGATCGTCTCCAGTAGGATTAGGAAATTGCCTTCTCTCCAAATTCATCTTTTTTGGGCGTTATACAGAGCTCATGGAACATGCCACCGTCCAGGTTCCCAGTTAAGCTCTGCCCCCTAATGTTCAGTTATATTGTATGAAATGAGGTAGAACAGCGGGATAGGTGTAGCGTCCTCAGTTTTCTTACAAGCTTATGCAATAACTAAAACTACAGGGACTGACCGTGTAGTAAGTATTTTTGTGTTGAAAAAATAAAAGATAAGTTATACTTTTCTGGAGCTGTAATTCAGGTCTGACTTTAGCTCCTGAGCGGTATAATCCCCGCCTATAGATATAGTGCAGCTCCTATATTGCTAGTAGTTAGTCCTTGTGAGGTATGGTAGAATGTCTCATCAACATAAGGGTAGAACAGGATAAAGTAATATAGTGTGGTATTTACAACTTAAAAATTCCAACAGTAAGGTAGGTATACACTTACAATTACTGAAGCCTAGCAGTGACTCCTGAGGTATTGCGTGAAATGGTGTGATTCCCATTCTTGGATATGTGGGTGGTGCAGGTCCTTTGCATATAAATATAAAACTAGAGAATAAAACAATATAGTGCACACAATTTAGTGAGGGTATAAAAATAATTAAAGCGGCACGGTCATGCCGAACTTACCTTTCCCCAATCGATTCCTCTTCTCTCCCTCTCTCAGGATCAGTTCTTCATTTCTTCCTGTCTGCTCTAGTTTTCTTTAAAACATAAGACAAAGTAGGGACTACTTGTCTTACGGAGGTTTCCTACGCCTGACCATCTCTGACCAGCGGAGGAACAAAGTGTCCGGTGGTCCGTCTTCATTTCTGGTGGTCAGAGAAATTTTCCCACAATTCTTAACTTTCCTCCCTGTTCCCGCGATGCATCCTGTCAGTATTGCCGAACGTCCTGTCATTTGGACAGGACGCCGGCAAAAATGCCGAATTGTGTCTTACAGAATGAGAACAGTTTCTCCATTCATGTTAGGACGCAATTCGGGACTTTGTTCGTATCGGAATTTCATTCATATGAATGAAACTCCGATCCTATTCGTGCCGTGGCTACATCTTGCAGCCACTTGGTAGATAACTCCATAATTCCCACGGTAAAAACCTAAATTGGTCTTTCAGCCAAATTTACTAATACTATGTAAAGATTACTTAGTATTAGTAAATTCTGACTCTACTCGCTATACACCTGAGCGGTGGGTTGAGGCCATAAAAGATAATGAGGGGGAAACCTATTGTCCTCCCCCCTGGCCCCCACCCCTCAATGGTGGGTGGAGGCCATAAATAACAATGGGGGGGGGGGGTAATATTGACTCCCATAGAGTGAGGGAGGACATGGGGGGGCTTAGGAAGTGGCGGGCAGCACTGCTCCCGACGCTTCGTTCTTTACATTTTACAAGGAGGGAGCTGCGCGCCGGTCGCTCCCTCTTTGTATCAAACGGAACGAACAAACGAACACCGATATTCAGTGTTTGTTTGTTCGTCTGACATTTCTATTCATTCATTTGTCTTTCTGACGAATGAATGGATGAAATTCCCATTCGCATGCCCAAGTGTTTAACTGGGCATGTGCGGGAATTTCACAGCGCTATCTAGTGTGGGCAGATGACGTGTCCCACAGGGACTTCATCTACCCACACAAAGATGGCGGCGCCCAGAACATAGGTCCGGGCACAAAATAAAGATCAAAAAATAGGTAATATGGGGGCTTTGGGGCATTTGGGGGTGACTAGGGAATCAGATGTAGTGGAGTCGGGAGAGGGTTAAAAAAAAAAAAAAACGGCATTTGACCACGACAGTTCCGCTTTAAAAGCTTACATGGAAACAGGTAAATACAGTTTGCTCAATCCTAGGTGTATAGGTCTATCAACACCAAGGATATTAAGTATTGGGAGGCAAGCAGCAGTACAGGAAGACCTAGGATAAAAAAAATGTGCTTTATTAATAAAAATATAGTAAAAATGTAAAACTAAAATCTTATCTTCTCTCCTAAAGCCTACCACATTTTCCTATTTAAAACCATGCTGTCACTAATGGAGTTTCTTCATTTTTAAAAAAATTTTTTTTTTTGACATTGTGACATGTTCCCTTGTATGTTAGCACTCTTGGGGTGGTTACAGAGATATAATGGCAGAGTAATATACAAGTCTACAGATGGTCTTGGAAAACCACAGTTAAAATGTCATATGTGTTTATTGCTGGTTGTGTGCAAACATGCACATCCGCATTGCCTGTTGGTAAATGGCATTGCCACATATTACACAAAAAGGCAAAAGCGGCCAAACCTTTTTGGGTACGCTTTGTATATTTTTCAAAGATCCATAAAGTGACATCCCTGCTTGATATGCGGAGGCTTAGCAGAGGGTAGATATACTTATTTAAGCTTAACCAATTTACCATGTATGACCTTGATGAGCAAGTCATTGATATTTGACTTTGTTTTAGGCCTCTCTTTTTAATCCAATGCAGTTGGTATGTAATAGTAGCAGTCATGTGATATCAGAATCATGATAGATGTACTGATTTCAAAAAAGCACATTTAAGCCTTGTGTATGTAGTTATGTCCTCTATTTATTAAAAAACCTCTTCTCTTGTTGTTTTTTCTTCAAGATTATGATTAGAAGTATATTTTTATTTTTGGATCGAACGTACGTCTTGCAAAATTCAATGCTGCCATCAATTTGGTGAGTAAAGGTTGATTGCAATAAAGTGGCTTTTTTTTAAAGTGCTTTATTTTTTCACCACTCCATTTAAAATATGTGCATGTGTAAGATTAAACTAAACAGAGACATTATGGTAAAAAAATAAACCCCTCTTGCTTATCTTCTAATGAACAGTGTATGTCATGGTACATTTATAATCTGTGTAGCTGGTTTGATTTATGCTTAGCTGGTTTAAATGATGCTTAATTTACCTTTTTGTCCATAATAGGGATACTATAGGTATCAAGACAACTTTGTTAATGGTGCAGTTTTGGTTTATAGTTCATGACCCTATGGTCTCCCTGCTCAGTTGTATGCCATTTAGGAGTTAAATTACTTAGGTTTCTGTCCATACAGCCCATGGGCGGAAATACCGCTGTAGCAGCTGCACCGAGGTCTGCAGGTGTTGTGGGCCCATACACTTAGGACAAACCCAAAAGGCAGGCAGGTCTCATCCCGGGCTCAGTTGCTTGCTGCAGCAGTTTGGCAGCACGACTGGTCCCCTGTAATATCTGCAGTCTGTGCTGGGAGGAAGCGATTACCTGTCACTTCCTCCCAGCTTGCAGTCTGTGTGAGCTGGGAGGATGGAGGAGGGAGAGCATTTCAGAGAGTCTGGACAGCCTCAGACTCCCTCTGAATCAGCCACCCTGCACTAAAAAGGTATGGAAGCAGAGGGGTGGTTAACAATAGGTAAATTTCAACATGTGTATGTATATGTTTGTATCTGTGTGTGTCTCTGTTTGGGAATATGTTTGTGTGTCTCTTTGTAGGTAAATGTTTGTATCTGTGTGTTTTGATGCATGTCCCAGAATTCAAACACAATTCTACATACAAACACACGCTGGCATTTAAGCGCATTACACGCAAAAACACCACTACTTTCAAGGGGCAACAATACATTCAAACCCATAATTGCATTTAAATGCCAAAACAACAAATAGACCTAGAAGTTCACACACACACATACTTCATACATAAACATGCTTACATTCAAACACACAAAAACTGCTCACAAATGAAATCCCTGCAAGAGTGGGCAAATGGTAGATTCCAAGCTAAAAATGCATCGTGGAAGATGTACAACAGATGTCTTTTGACCGCCCTTGTTCTGGAAGGGCCCCAAAAACATTTATTGCGTCAGGGACTTCTCTACATTTGCTGCAGCTCTAGCCACACCTCCCCTTTCTGTGACTCTCACAGCCTGCATGAAAAAATTTTTTTTTTAATTTTCAATGGGATGTTAATTTACTGTAGACGTAGACTGTAGCCTTTATCTCCTGCTCTGTAAATTGAGCCTCAATCACACACAGGCTGCTCCTTGCAAGGTCTTGAGGGCTATTAACCGAGCAAGAGATCAATTTCTATATTAAATAAACTGTGATTTACTGGAACCTAGAAAATCAAGGTTCTTTTTCAGTTTGTGTTTAGGAAAGCTGTACAATTTACATGCAGAGAAGTGTGACTAGGGATGTATAACAGCGTCTGACAAATCCCAGGTTGAGATTTGTGAGCCTCTTCAGTGACCGGCTGCCTGAGAACAGAGGCGGGCAGTCGGATCACGGAGGGCTGAGGCAGGCAGCTGAATGAGGGAGAGGGGTGGCTGGCTCATTGAGATCTAAGGTAGGGAGGTGGACGGCTTGCTGGATAATGGAGAGCTGAGGTGCCGCGGCGAGGAAAGGATCTGTAATCTCCCTGCTTTGCCCTCTTGCGCATCTTGTAGTGATGCCAGGAGCCGGGTTGTGGCGTCACTCAGGTCCCCAGCTCACTAAACAGTGCATGAGAGGGAACTAAGTAGGGAGATGACAGCAACCACACTGGGCCGTAGGGAATGCCTATCCACTCCAGCTCTCCGATAGGTAAGGAGACTGGATGGATTAAATTAAAATGAAGAGTAGTTATTTGTGAGAGTGTGTCTGTCTGTGTCTGTGAGTGAATGAGTGTGTCTGTCTGTGAGTGAATGAGTGTGTCTGAGTGTGTATGTCTATGTGTCGGTCAGTGAGTGTGTGTTCCCTCCAATCACACGGGAAAGGTGTTTTTACTCACCATTTTCCCCATGCTGTGCTGGTGACGCCACAGCTGGCCCCACCTCCATGGCTGAGATCCTCAATCTTGACGATCTCAGCCAATCCATGCTCCACCCACAGGAAAGCACTGAGATACTATTGCGCATGCACGGCAAAATGCCACTGCGCCAATTTAACTTCTCTTAGAGATGCATTGCATTAATGCATCCCAATAGGGAACAATAACGTAGGTGCTGCACAGTGTGAAGCACTGAACCAGGGCGCACCTCTAGAGGCCGTCTCGGTGACTGTCGCTAGAGGTGTGACCAGGAAGTAATGTAAACACTGCCTTTTTTCTGAAAACTCTGTTTACATTGAAAAGCGTTCAAGGACAGCATATAGACTTCAGAACAACTACATTAGGCTGTAGTGGTTCTGGTGACTACAGTGTCCTTTTTAAGAATTGTATTTTTGGCATTGATTTCTCTGACTCCTAACTTTTTTAGCTGGCTCCTAGATTCGAAACAAATTTGTCAAGCCATGATGTATAAACAAAGTGAAGTAACTCCTAACTGGCAGAGAATTGAGCAGTAAGATTGCAGGGGCACTGCTTCAATTAGCTTAACTTCTTTTTATGCCTATAGTATCCATATAATGATTAGAATTGCCAGCTTACCTTTCCTACCACCATTAACTTTGCTAACTATATTAGTCTTTTACTGGTTATTTTGCAATATTAGTCCTTCTTTGGACTTTTCTTTATATATCCCAGAAGCTGTTAGACAGAGACCGAGCACTGTTAAGCAGAGTGTTCCCCCTGGCACAGAATAGCAACTAGGATATTACGTTGTATTCTTTTGATATTAGCGACAGAGTATACTTTATGTATTACAAGACACATATTACCCATACTTTTGCCACTCCGCTCTGGCTACCACTGGCATATATGTATACATGTACATATATTTTAGTTTGCTTTTCTAGCACTGTATATATTGTTAATAGATCACTCTGTATCATTGTGCCTAATAATAAATTTTTTTTCTTGTGTGGCCATACTCTACTGCCACACAGTAGTAGGTTAGTGGTTATACCATAACCCTTTTACGAATTGCTATATTAGAAGTTACGTTTTATTATTCAACCATTTTTCTCCTCGAACGTTTATTCACTATTTGGTTGCATGCCCTACCCCTTTAGCCCAGAGATACTCCAATTATTCTCCCATCCCTTTTCTGTTTTTTGATAAACCTTAATGATACAAAAAAAGTGACTTTTAACCTTGTGCATCATGTGAATACATTATAAATCTCCCACAATTGACAGAGAAGTAACACATCTTATTTAATTCCTGAAGAAACCTGAATTATTTAATCACATGAATTCAGGACTCAAAAAAAATGTGCATTTCTACAATTTATCCATAAGTCTTTCTGGGTATAATTGGTGAATTGGATAATACTTGCATTTAATGGAGTGTCTTTAGCTATGATGGAAGAAAGTTGCCTATCAGAATCCATGTTGGATACCGGGAAATTTGAACCATTTATAGGTGAACAAAAATAATGATGTTCTTAGACTAATTCATAGATCGTAGTTTGCAAAATAAAATTACCACACTGAGTTAAATAAAAAACAAACCAAGTAAACATAATTGCTATGGTACTTTGGCGAGATCATTGCAGTTGAGTAACAAAAACATCCATGCAGCCATTTAACTTAAAACGAATGCATATAATATGTTCCAAACAAAATTAAAGGAAATGGTATGTGCGATGGTGCCTAGTAAGCTGGTCGTCAACATCCTTATGGGCGATTTTAATTACTCTGCGTTTGTCAAAGTACTTTTGTATTTTGTACAGTGTTGTATTAAATGGACACTCCACTGCTTAGTAGATATTCACTTAATAAAAAAGATGTATGCATTTTTATTCATTTGGGCGTACATCTGTAAGCCACTTTCAACAGCTGCATATCCCAATCACAGACTTCCCAATGCAGCTCTCTGAGAACTCATTGCAAGGCAGGTGCTTGAGCTTGCTGCGCAAGTTATGGTCTCTTGACTTTAGCTCCGCTAAGCTAAACAACCAGTAAGTTACAGAAGCTGCTGCCTGATTGACAGCCATGGGATATAACAAGGTTAATGTGCAAAAGTGCCAATTTCTTCTAAAACCTGCACTTTTTGGTTTGTAAAATGAAAAATAGAGAACATATATTCATATATTCTTCACAAATAAGGCATGCACTGTACTTTCTGTAATTACCCCCATTGTAGTGCTGTTGTACTGGCAATAAAGCAGGGAAGACAGCGTCATGGATGAGGCTTGCCATACATGTAGAAGTGTTCCCAAACATGGCCAGTCATATTAACCCCCTTAAGGACACATGACATGTGTGACATGTCATGATTCCCTTTTATTCCAGAAGTTTGGTCCTTAAGGGGTTAAAGAGGTGCAAGAGTAAGGTGTGTCAAAGGAGTGGGAGTTGCATATGTGTAACACTCACAAACATCAGACCATGGCTTTTCTCAAATCTGCTATACAAATAAATGCGGTTTTTGTATTTATTTTTAATTTTTTGCTACAGTCCTTTCACTGAGTTAAAAGAAAATGTAATTTTTTTGTAAAATTTTGTTTTGTAGGGATATGGGTCTAGAACTGTTCAGAAACCATATAATCAGCGATCAAAAAGTTCAGACCAAGACCATTGATGGAATTCTTCTATTGATTGAGAGGGAAAGAAATGGAGAAGCAATTGATAGAAGTTTGTTACGAAGTCTCCTTAGTATGCTATCTGATTTGCAAGTAAGTTTGACCTACTTTTTCTTAACTATTTTAATGTGTATTGAGTTAGAAATGTATCCTGAATCTGGTTCAACACTCTATAAACTGTATTGTTTCCAATCTAGAAAATCTTATGTTATATAAATTCACAATTTTAAAAAATTTTTTTTTTTTTTATTTCTTCAAGGTAGTGTTTGCCCTACTGGTATTTGTTTTTTGTTTGTTTTTTCCAAGTTGTTTTGACTAATAAATCTCCACTAACCCTCTTGCCATTACTAAGAGGAAATTGAACAGTATTGACTCCTCAATGGAACCTTGATCGTGTTTTCCCTCATAAGGAAGTGGCAGCTCTATATAGTAATGGCTCAATAAAATTTTCATTAAGTCTGAAGATGGCTAAGCTTTCAGCACATGGAAGCAATTGCTGCTTGTTCCAAAATAAAGGCTTGTCCCCACTGCTGTGTAGGGACCATCAGAGGTTTTATCCAATTATGATACGGATGTTTACCAGTAGTGCTCTGGCATCACTCTGGATATCACTCCTCCTACCTTCCTCTGATCAGTACATTTTAAAGATAAATTCTAGAATTGGAAGTCGTTCTTTCCCTTTTAATGTTTTATATAGTTAATAAATACCTCTTCCTATTGATTGTGTGTTTAGCCAAATAGATCACTAGGCACCCGAAGTCCTTTAATCCTGTGGTGCAAGGTACTGGTTAAAATACATCTTCATTAGACACTTCCTTTTTATAGTGCAACTTATCGTATAAATGCAGATTTAAATCTTAACGACATTGAGACAGAATATAGAGGGAGAGCTTTATTTTGCTTTCCTGTGCAGCTATGCTCTTTTTCACTGCAATTTGCTTAACGTGTGGATGTTTGTTTTTTCCCTCAGATTTATCAGGATTCATTTGAGCACAGGTTCCTAGAAGAGACAAATCGCCTGTATGCAGCTGAAGGCCAGAGACTAATGCAAGAAAGAGAGGTGTGTAAATCCATCCTCCTTTCAGTTTCAGTGTCACACTTTTTTTGTAAATTGTGGAGTCCTTTTTAATACTGCATCAGAATTTTAGATGTAGTAAAGATGCACAGACTTTCATACCCTATGCCCAGCAACACTTCCCAAACATTGGTAAAATTTCTTTACCGTTGGAGCCAAGGTAAGTTTTGACTTTAGTTTTTTAATTCGGGGAGGCAGACAAGCACAGTAAGCGTTACTCTAACCAAAAATCATGTTATATGAAAACATAATTTATTTTGTTGTTTGAGTAAATCTTAACCCCTTAAAGGACCACTCTAGGGTTAACCCATTTTTTTTTTTTTTTTTTTTATAAACATAGCAGTTTCAGAGAAACAGCAATGTTTATAAATAGGTTAATCCAGCCTCCAGTGGCTGTCTCTTGACAGCCGCTAGAGGCGCTTGCGTGCTTCTCACTGTGAAAATCACAGTGAGAAGATGCAAGCGTCCATAGGAAAGCATTATGAATGCTTTCCTATGAGACTGGCTGAATGCGCGTGCAGCTCCTGCCGCGCATGCGCATTCAGCCGAAGAGGCGGAGAGGAGGAGGAGAGCTCCCCGCCTGACACTGGAGAAAGGTAAGATTTTAACCCCTTCCTCTCCCCAGAGCCCGGCGGGTGGGGGCACCCTCAGGGCACTATAGTGCCAGGAAAAAGAGTGTGTTTTCCTGGCTCTATAGTGGTCCTTTAAGGACCTAACTTCTGGAATAAAAGGGAATCATGACATGTTACACATGTCATGTGTCCTTAAGGGGTTAAAAGCGAATCTATAGCCAGCAGTGCTGGATATGCCAATTATAAAACAAGTAAAAATGTGAATAAATATATAATGCATACATACATGCATCATCCAAAAAAATACCTGCACTCTAGGATTTCCAATACATCTTCTTTTATTTAGAGTATCCAAAATAGTTACTATTCCAGTTCCCAGTTGGAACTTTGCTCACAACATGATGTTGTCCTGAGGAAAGTTCCAATTGGGAACGGAAACATTAACTACTATAGTCACCAGAACAACTACAGCTTAATGTATTTGTTCTGCTGAGTAGAATCATTGCCTTCATACTTTTTGCAGTAAACAAGGTCTTTTCAGAGAAAATGCAGTGTTTACATTACAGCCTAGGTTTACCTCCACTGGTCACTCTTTGGATGGCTACTAGAGGTGCTTCCCGGGGGCAGTGCTGCACACTATAAAGGGAGATGCTGATTGACCAGGGCTGTGTTTGGCTTGTGCTGGCTCTGCCCCTGATCTGCCTCCTTGATGGTCTCAGCCAATCCTATGGGAAAGCATTGTGATTGGCTCAGAGAGTCACTTCTGAAGATATCAGCCAAGCAGGCAGGGACAGAGGCAGCAGCTGCAGACTTGAATACAAGTAAGATTTTACTATATTTAGGCAGGCAAGATGAGACCAGGGGGGCTAGATGGTGGTTTTAACGCTATAGGGTGATGCATGCCCCTTTAACAATTTCTAGTTTGGTAACACACTATGTAATCATATGCAGATAATTTCCGAATGTAAAGGTTGTTCTTGCTTCCATGTGATACAGGTCCCAGAATATCTTCATCATGTGAACAAGCGTTTAGAAGAGGAAGCAGATAGAGTCATCACATATTTAGATCAAAGCACACAGTAAGTTTTCTGTTTGGGGGTTTAATATACATTTTAGGAATTGCTTGTAAAGTTAAACGGGGACCAAGATTGTCTTTAAGTATAAACTGCAGAAAAATGAAGCAACCATCCCAGAGATTAAATTGATCAAGCTTCACTTAATATATTTTATATATTCCAGAAACCATTAGCAATTGATTGTTGATATCTATAGAGGTATGTGTCTCTCAAGAAGAACATATTTTGTTACTGGTGCAGAAAACAGACAATAAAAGATGGTTTAGAGATGTGCCCCAAATATTAAGTGCTTGAATTTAAACCCTGGCAGGGTTACATTGTAAGGTTACGACAGCAACATAATTATGGAGAAAATAACACCCAATTCATTTTAAAACAACATATATTTATTTAAAATTTGTGACTGGGATTGTACAGCAAGGGAAATATTATGTTGACTCTGAAGTGTCTGTGAGGCACAAAACTTGGCAAAAGCGATTCTAGTTATTGGAAAGCTGCAATACAGTTTCAGAACCTGAATTCCAAGTATACTTTATTATTAAGAAAACTACAAAATAATTTCAGCCAGCCTCACTAATGAAACTGTGAGCTGCTCTACAGTATGGGGGAGAAAAAACAGACTCTGCAAATATTAAACTTTTGAAAGTTTGGTTCTTTCATGTTATATTCATATCTTAATTTTTGTAACTTTGATTACACGTAGTATTTCTGCTTGCTAGATCTGACCGAACTCAATTTTATACAGAAGGATGACTTTATTTTTGTCTTGTTGTGTTAGGAAGCCATTAATTGCTACAGTAGAAAAGCAGCTACTGGGTGAACATTTAACTGCAACTCTTCAAAAAGGTAATTGCTGTTTGTTTTCATCACAATCCATAGCAGTATACATCCTGGGTTGAAACCTTATTTTTGGATTAGATGAAAAGAATGCTTGCTATTTTTTTTTATTTTTTTTTAATTATTATTATGATTATTTTTTTGTGTGTGTTATAGATACCCTATTTGAATTATGATTATTATTTGAATGGAATATAAAAATGTAATGCCTTAAATCAAAACAATGACATTTTTAATTTGGCATAGTACTTTTGTTATATTGCCGTTATTTCAATGCTTCATTAACCAGCTTTGATAACAATGTTTTGGTATTTGCTCTATCTAATAAAATTTAGAAATAAAATGGGTGTAATTGTTTTGTTCAGAATCAAAATGTATGATATGTGTTTGGTGTTCTGGCAGTAAAAGTGACTATATTTATTTTTGAATTGTGCTTCTTTTTGACACCTTTTGCTACATCAACCTGAAAGTAACAAGATCCTTATTTCTTCTTGTTTCAAAAGGGTTAAATCACCTTCTTGACGAAAATCGAATTCAGGACCTCTCATTGTTATACCAGTTGTTTAGTCGAGTCCGCGGGGGTGTGCAAGTTCTTCTTCAGCACTGGATTGAATACATAAAGGTATGTGTTATTTGTTTGGGATTGTGTTTTTTTTATTTTTTATTTTTTTTATTTGAAAATTAGGAATTCATAGTGAACATGATATTAATAGAAGAAGAAACTCAACCTCATGTATTACTAAAATTAAAGGGACTCTATAGGCACCCAGACCACTTCATCTCATTGAAGTGTGCAAAAGTACAAAATGACAGTCTATGGAAAATCCATGGAACCTTCATTGATCTTCTCACACTTGCCGTATGCATATACTGAACATATCTTCTGTGTCAATCAATGCAATGTTTCTTGTTTTTTTTCTTTCTTTCTGTAAAAGATTATATTTGTATGTTTAAAAGAAATGCAAAATGCAATTTTTTGCAGTAAAATAAATAAAATTTGGCTACAATCACAGTCTTATGAATGGATTATTTCCTTTATTGAATGACTATAATTTCTAAAGAGGTGAGATTGATGTTTCAGTCCCTAACAGGGACTTTCAACAGGATTGAAAAACAGCAAGAATACTTCCACAAATATATAACAGAGAAATAATTAGTGAATAGACTTACCCAAGGTGCGGTGCGAGTGAACCGGTTCATTTGTGGAAGTATTCTTGCTGTTTTTTAATCCCGATGAATGTCCCTGTTAGGGACAAAAACGTCAATCTCACCTCTTTGGAAATTATGACCATTTAATAAAGGAAATTATCCATTCATAAGACTGTGAGTGCAGCCAAATTTAATTTCTTCATATATAATATATATTTATCTACATTGATTATTGCATTAGTGTATCTAGCCATAAATAATTTGTTAGGTGATGACATAATTCTGCTCTTTTTATGCCACAATAAACCACTCCTTGCCAGATTTGAAATTCCGGTGTTGTACTCTATTTGTTGCCTTTTTGTGCCATGTGTCGAATTTTCAAACAGAAGTGTTATTCCAGTGGATTCACCTGCAATTCTGATTATTTTACAGGCTTTTGGCAGCACTATTGTGATTAATCCTGAAAAAGACAAAACAATGGTTCAAGAGCTACTAGATTTTAAAGACAAAGTTGACCATGTGATTGATGTCTGCTTTATAAAGAATGAGAAGTTTGTTAATGCCATGAAAGAAGCATTTGAAACATTCATCAATAAGAGACCAAACAAACCAGCTGAACTCATAGGTAAATTAGAACTAATATATAAATGAACTTTCTGTTGCAACCATGTTTAACAAATTAGATTTTTGCTTGGAAGTCTCACGTTCTATACCTGCCATGCATTTTAATTTGAATCGAAACCACAGAACTTGTTCGCTAAACGGTAACTTTTATTTGGGGGAGGGGGGTGGTTGTTAGGTGTCAAGTTCCTCGTCCAGCAATTGGTAAAAAAAAAAAAAAAACCTTCACTATACAGGATTGTCTTCCATTTTGTATAAATGGTGTCAGTCCCATGCTGAAATATTACAAAATAAATTAAAACTATAAATTTAAAATACCTGCCTTGAACTTCATAGTCTTTGTGGATAGCTGCAGCACATGCATTTACATTTTTAAAATGCCTTTAATTGACACAATGAAATTATGATGTTTCTATTTGTGTGTGTGTGCGCTATATGCATGCATACTCAAAGTTTACAATTAGTTTTTACTTTTTAATATATACATTTTATATTTTTTTATAGCAAAATATGTGGATTCAAAACTTCGGACGGGAAACAAAGAAGCAACAGATGAAGAGCTTGAGAAGATGCTGGATAAAATTATGATAATCTTTAGGTTCATTTATGGTATGTGATGAAAACAATACAAACTTAGCTGTTCTGATATGTGCCCTGTTCCATAATGTATACTAACATTAGTTTACTAAGTGAAAACTTTTAAGAGAGATAAATATTTTTCTGTTACTCATGTCCTCAATTGACTCAATAAAATTGCATATACATTGAGCCTTATTGAGCACTCTGAAACTGTATTTGGTCAACTTTTATTTTGTAATTTGTACAGGCAAAGATGTATTTGAGGCTTTCTACAAAAAAGACTTGGCAAAGCGACTGTTGGTTGGAAAAAGTGCTTCCGTCGATGCTGAAAAATCTATGCTTTCCAAACTCAAGCATGGTATGTATGAGTTTTTATTTGTGGTATAATGTGTTTCCTATTTAGTTTTTACATTACATTGCATGTTAATGGTCAAGTAATTGGTGATAAAACTTTCAGTCTAGGCACTATGGCATATTTGTACCTTGATGAATGAACGTCAAGTCATGTAATTTTAATCCAGTGAATCCGTTATAATATGACAAACCTGATTTTCTAACATTTATTTGTGCTAACGTTGGTTTAAATAAATAAAGCCCAACTCCTCAAATAACGGTTATCCACAAAATGCATTGTGTGGATTAACACCTTCCCGACCGTTGACGGAAAATTTCCGTCATTTACTAAAGTTAACCTGCGATCGCGGGGTTAACGGTGCTCCGGTCTGCCTCTGTATTAGAGGCAGACTGGGAGCACCGGATCGCACTGCCCCAGCACCGGTGCTCACTGATCTTCTCACTATGTAAAAAAATGAAGATAAATCCCACCCCCCCCCCCTTTCCCCTGCTTTAATAAAATTGACTGACTACAGTGATTAATTGGCAGGGTATACATTTTAATGTCATCTGATTTTTAAAACCCCTGAGGGTTAATTATTATTATTTTTTTGACCCTCAAGGGTTACATTTATTTTATTAATTAATTAATTTAAATATTTAAAAATTATATATTTAGCTAACTGGGATGGGGGGGAATTTGGTGGTAGGCTAACTAGGGGTTAACGTTAAAAGTTTTAAAATAAGCTTTAAAAAGGTAAAAAAAGTTTAAAAAAAAATGTTTTAGTAACGTTTAAGTAAAAAAAAAAAAAACCCCACCCCCCTTTACCTAGTCTTTACCTAGTCTAAATAAAACTAACCCCTTCCCTGCCAGTTGATCACTGCCTACATTATACTGTAATCTAATTTCTTTTAACCCTTGAGGATTAACTTTATTTTTTAACCCTCAGGGGTTCAATTTATTTAATTAATTTAAATATTTTATAATTATATATATTTTTCTAGCTGAAGTGGGTGGGAGTTATGGGAAAGGGGGGAATTTACTGTTAGTGCTGCTTACTGCTAGTTAGGGGTTAACGGTAAAAGAAAAGTTTAGAAAAATTTTTTAAAGTGTAAATAAAGTTAAAGTGTAAAACATTTAATAAGTAAAAAAAAAAAAAAAGTTTCAAAACGGATTTTACAAAGTAAAAAGTTTTACAAAGTAAAAAAAATACATTAAAATGCTCATTACCACTACACTTGGTACAAGCTAGCGGAAAAATGATCCCACGCTAAGGTTCAAAATAGGCCTTTTGAATTACCCTGAGATGTCTTCTTTAAGAAATGGTATGCCTTTATGGTGTAATTGGATTATATAGCCTTGTAAAATATTCTAAAATGGTCATGGACATAGCGTAAAAATGCAAAATTTGAGAAAAACGGGAATGGCTGTGTCTCAAATGTGCCCCTTCAATGTCTACATATACCTGGCAAAGGTACATACGGGGGTATTGCTGTACTCAGCCGACATAGCTGAGCAACATATGAAGTATTATACAGTCGTAGCACACATAAGGTTTGCAAAATATACTGCGCAAACTCACTTTGTGTGTCAAAAAGGCAGAAAAAATGCTTATTGCCACTACAATTGTTACAAGCTAGCGGAAAAATGATCCCACGCTAAGGTTCAAAATATGCCTTTTGAATTGCCTTGGGATGTCTTCTTTAAGAAATGGTATGCCTTTATGGGGTAATTTGGATTATATAGCCTTGTAAAATACTCTAAAGTGGGACATGGACACAGCGTAAAAATTCAAAGTTTGAAAAACAAACAAACTGGAATGGCTGTGTCTCAAATGTGCCCCTTCAATGTCCACATATACCTGGCAAAGGTACATATGGGGGTATTGCTGTACTCAGCCGACATAGCTGAGCAACATATGAAGTAGTATACAGTCGTAGTACACATAAGGTTTGCAAAATATACTGCGCAAACTCACTTTGTGTGTCAAAAAGGCAGAAAAAATGCTTATTACCACTACACTTGGTACAAGCTAGCGGAAAAATTATCCCACGCTAAGGTTCAAAATATGCCTTTTGAAATACCCTGGGATGTGTTCTTTAAGAAATGGTATGCCTTTATGGTGTAGTTGTAATATGTAGCCTGCTCAAGTGCTCCAAAGTGGGACACGGACGCATCAAAACCCTCCATGAAAATTCACACTTAAAAACCTTAACTTGTCACGTCTCTTTTACAGCAGTGTAACTTCACAAAATAGTGTCTAGGTCATACATTGGGCATATTGTTTTACTCAGAAGACTTAGCTGAGCATAATTTGGGGGGTTTGAACTTAGTGGCACATATGAAATGTACAAAATGCCCAGCAAAAATGTAATCCGTATGTAAAAAATGCCCAAAATAATTTTTTACCACATACTTTGGCATATATTGGTGAAAAAATGGGGGCATGTTAAGGCACAATATGCACCATATGAGATACCCTGGAGTGTCTACTTTTACAAATGGTAGGCCTTTGTGGGGTTTTTTGAACAGTCAAACTGCTATAATACCCCAAATTGAAGCATAGGCCCATTAAATCCGCCTCTCAAAATTCTACTGTAAATGTTGAAACGGACAGGTCTCCTATATGGCACTGTAGCTTCACGAAATAGTGCCAAAGACATACAATGGGGGTATCGTTGTACTCAGCAGAAGTAACTGAACACAAAATAAAACTTTGTACAGGAATAGCACACACCAACTTTACAAAATACCCATGAGAAGTTCTTTGTTATAAGTTTGTGTGCCAAAAACCCCAAAAAACTAAATTTTACTCCAATATTTAGCAGAGATTGGCGGTGAAATGGCTATGTAGAAAGTGTCAAAACAACCTTAGGACAATAGCCTGTGATGTCTACTTTATATAAATATATACTTTTGTGTGGCAATTTTGTTTTCTTTTATGGCTATTAAGCTTACAAGACAAACATACCAAATTCTAAAATCGCTCCACATTAAAAGTTTATTTTACTCCTTGTGCTTTGTGACCTGTAACTACCACAAAAAACTGAAAATCCCAAACACATTATATATTCTGTAAATCAGAACTAAATGAATTTATTTTTAATTACTTTCTTTAACCTGCACTAATTAGGCACACATTATTATTGCAAAAACTGTACAAAAAACACTTTTTTTTTTTTTGTGTGCATTTTTCTGTATTTTTTTTAATAAATAAGTGTGTGTGTGTGTATATATGTATGTATGTATGTATATGTGTGTGTATGTATATATATATATATATATATTACATCAAATTAAAGCCCTTTCGGTGCAATAAACGAGAGAGATGCAAATTGCAGTTGAATGCATACAGCAAGAAAATGCAAAAATTGCTTGTGTCATTAAGCGTAAGACAAGCTTCTGAAGCTGTGTCCTTAAGGGGTTAAGTGAAGCGTACTTTGCTATTACTGTGCACGTTTTAGTTTTGTTTGTATGTTTTCTTCCGTTTACATGTTTGAACTAACAGGGGGGTGTTGAACTTTAAGGAGCAAGTTCTACCAAATGGCTCCTACTAGTGTACAATTGGCTCTATCGGGAAACTATTTTCCCATGTGTCTCACGAGTGTGGAGATGTGCAAACTCAAGAAGAAAAAAAAAGGAACATATTCTTGTCATGATTGTTCCTCTTTGAGATCTGTCATCAAATTTTATTTGATCCCGCGCATGTGTTATACAGAACTAGGTGCCTAACAAAAGCATAAGGGGCTATATATTTTTACATGACACATGCTTTTGACAGTTATGTATGCCAATGTGGAGATTACACATGGTGAAATGCTATTAAATTTTTTTCAAGAAACATGCTTTATTTTACCTGTCTCTATTTGAATATTAGTTGTGCCATTTAACTGAGACTCAAAATGTGTTTTTCCAGAATGTGGGGCTGCCTTTACCAGCAAGCTCGAGGGAATGTTTAAAGACATGGAACTATCAAAGGACATTATGGTTCACTTTAAACAGGTACATTTTTCATTTGTGAATTTCATACAAAATATTGCTTTTCATTAAGTAGTGCTAACTGCTGTAATAGCGAAAGCAAACATTTATTTTCCGCATTGCATTGCAAATTAGTGCACAATGTAAATTCTTAAAGGAACACTTTCGTGTTAGAAATACAAAGATGCAGGGGCATATCTAAAGCATTTGGCACACACGGTGCAGATCCTGTGTTTAGAAACCACCCCCTTCACCCCAACACACACACACACTTTAAAACGTAAAAAATACCCACCATTTTTTTTGAATGTTCTTCCCCACTTCACAAAAACCCCTTCCAGCCCTCCTCTTACAAAACGCTGACCCAGCCTAGCTGCCCTTCGACAAAAACGCCGGCCCAGACTAGCCGCCCTTCGACAAAAACGCCGATAGTGATAGGATAGCCTTATGCCTAGTCCACGCATGCTTAACTCCTTAAGGACCAAACTTCTGGAATAAAAGGGAATCATGACATGTCACACATGTCATGTTTCCTTAAGGGGTTAAACTCCTTCACTGTGTTAACCTCTTCCACTTCAGCTGGAAGGCTATTCCATTCATCCACTACCCTCTCATTAAAGTAATACTTCCTGATTTTATTTTTAAACCTTTGCTCCTCTAATAGAAGTCCTCTTGTTGTGGTAGTTTTTCTTCTTTTAAATAGTCTCCTACTGTGTTGATTCCCTTTATGTATTTAAATGTTTCTATCATATCCCCCGTCTATTCTTTCCTCCAAGCTATGCATGTTAAGATCCTTTAACCTTTCCTTATAAGTTTTATCATGTAATCCATGAACCAGTTTATTAGCTCTTCTCTGAACTCTTTCCAATGTATCAATATCCTTCTGGAAATACGGTCTCCAGTACTGCGTACAATACTCCAAGTGAGGTATCACCAGTGTTCTGTACAGTGGCATGTGCACTTCTTTCTACTGCTAATACCTCTCCCTATACAACCAGGCATTCAGCTAGCATTTCCTGCAGCTCTGACCATTTTTCTAATTTACCTAAATCATTTGCCATTTGACTTATCCCTCCTGGAACATCAACCCTGTTACATATCTTTGTATCAGCAGCAAAAAGACCTACCTTACCATCAAGACCTTCTGCAAAATCACTTCTAAAAATATTAAAGAGAAGAGGTCCAAGTACAGATCCCTGAGGTACTCCACTGGTAACAAGACCATGCTTGAAATATATTCCATTGACTTCAACCCTCTGTTGCCTGTCACTCCGCCACTGCCTAACCCATTTAACAATATTGAAATCCAAACTTAAAGATTGCAGTTTATTATATGTAAATAAAAATAATTAGCAAGCATTTGCTCACAATTGATGACGTCTGCTCCCTGCAGCCAATCCGTCCTCAGGGCTCTAGTGCCATGGTGCTGTCCGCACTATGGAGGTGGACAGATGGAGCACGGTGATGCGGCGTTATGCGCCGCCACCGGGCATCTCCACTTTCTTCTTGCTCCTCATCATGGTCAAATAGTCCCCCCGCCCCCATTAGTTCGCCACTGCAAAGATGTATTCCTAACACTAACCTGTTCCTCTGCCTGCCTCCTCATCACATAAAAGCTGAAAGTCCACATACTTGATTTTGTAATGACCAAACCTTCAACACTTTATTCCATACACACTTTATTCCATACACACCATCAACATAGTAATTGAATTCTTCCAAATTGAAGTGTGTAAAGAGATTACCATTTCACAGCTAAAATAAAATATTTTTTCTCAGTGTGCATATGATCTTTGTACTCGATGTGAACAGATAAACGTGGAATCTGTAGCGTGCAGAACAAATAGTCTCCAGCAGCATTAACACTTAAATGCAAGCTTAGGAACATCCCTTACTTATTCTATACAAAAAGATGTGCATTTAATTAAATGTTTCTTTTTCAGTATATGCAAAACCAGAATGTCCCTGGCAACATGGAGCTGACTGTAAATATTCTTACGATGGGTTACTGGCCAACGTATGTGCCTATGGAAGTTCACCTACCAGCTGAAGTAAGTGTGTGTGTTTTAATTAACACTCGCAGAAAAAGGTGTTTCTTTTCAGTTTTCAAAATCATGAAGACCCTATTGAGCTAAGTCATAAACTTGTTTAATTGAGTGTGTATAATACACAACTCTGATGAAATCTCAAACTGTCTCTTTAAAAATAATTACCTTGTGTGCATCAAGCGAGCAGGGCCAGATTAAGAGCCCAGTGGGCCTGGTGCTGACATTTATAATGGGCCTAATTACAGAATCTTATCGACCAAAAACACTAAAACAGTCATACCTCTCAAGCGTCATGTATCTGGTGGAGATGGTGTTGGAGGGAAACTCAAAGGATGCAACTATAAGAAAACACATACTCTATGCTAATCTCTCTCTAATTTATGCTTTCATCTTTCAAGTAAATCCATACCCCCCTAACAGCAGTGTCCAGTGAAGCAGGAAGTCAATAGGCGGGGTAAAAGGGTGGGCCACTGAGGTGAATCACGTGACCAGAACAGTCAAAAGGGCAAACATGCCCAAAAAGGGGGCATGTCTGTCCAAAGAATTGGAAGGCCAGTCTGGCATCAGTGTCCCTATGTATCACAGTGTCAGTGTCCCCATGTCGCCCAGTCCCCTAGTCTCCCAGTGTCTGTGTCCCCATTTCCCCAATGTCTCAGTGTGTCCTGTGTCACTGTGAGACATGGGGACACAGTGAGATCCAGTGACACGGAGACACTTGGGGGCACTTGTGAATCCAGACATGGAGACACTGGGAGAAAGGGGGACACAGACACTAGGGACACATAGACAAACAGACACTGGGAGACATGGGGACACTGAGAGACATGGAACACTGAGACACTAGGAACACTGGCTGGGAGGCATAGGGACACAGACACTTGGGACACTGGGATACATGGGGGCACTGGGACATAGACATGGGGACTCTGGGAGACATGGGGGCACTAGGTACAAAGAGAGACATGGGGACACTGAGACACTATGAGACATGGGGACACTGAGACACTAAGAGACATGGGGGGACACTGAGACACTAAGAGACATGGGGACACTGAGACACGAAGAGACATGGGGACACTGAGACACTAGGGACACTGGCTGGGAGACCCGGGGACATTGTGAGACATGGAGACACTGTGTCTCCGTGACACTAGGTACACTGAGAGACATGGGGACACTGGGAGACATGGGGACACTGAGACACTAAGAGGCATGGGGACACTGAGACACTAGGGACACTGGCTGGGAGACACAGAGACATTGGGAGACATGGAGACACTGTGTCCCTAGTGTCTCCGTGTCACAATGTTTCCTAGTGTCCCCTAGTGTCTGTGTCCCCATGTCTTCCTGCTGCTTTTCCACCCATTCTTCACTTACCTGAGCTGTAGGCTGTCTCTGCAGGCTGGGAGCTGCTGTCTGGACACTCTGTGCTGTGTAGCTGCTCCTCCGCCGATCAGTAAGTAGAGAGAGGCAGGGAGGGATATGCTGTAACTTCCTATCGATGCCTCTCTCCACACACAGTGACCCGTGCTGGTATTGCAGGGTAATCTCCGTTTATACTGAGAAAAATATCTGCATTTGTATTGCCGGTATTACTGCAATACCGGCACGGCCAGCCTCAAATAAATACCAGTCAGGTTGCAAACCTAAGAGTAATTTTTTTTTTAAAATAGGCCTTGGCCTGGGCCTGGAGCTGCAGCTCCATCAGCCCCTATGTTAATCCGGCCCAGCAAGCGAGAGAGGGAAATAATGGATGAAAAAATTGAATTGAGGATCAAGTATATTCATCAACAAGCATTTAAGTACTGCTTAAGTGATCTTTGTGAAAAGTACAAAGGATCTTTCTCACTGTTTCCATCAAATGTCTATAAATACAACCCAATGAATTGTTTGGTAATCAGTAAGGCAGTTTTCATGTTTGTATAATTTGCCTTTTGCCACATATGATCATATGGTAATGGTTTCGATGTTGTAAAATAGCTGTATGCCTTTTTTTATCCTTCATAATTTTAGATGGTGAAACTCCAGGAAATATTTAAGACTTTTTATTTGGGGAAGCACAGTGGAAGAAAGCTGCAGTGGCAATCAACACTAGGACAATGTGTTCTAAAAGCAGAGTTTAATGAGGTAAGTTCCAAAGAAGGGGCATACTAACAACTAGCTCTCATACAGCTTTTCTCATATGTGAGCCCTGAATCAAAAAAACAATAATGAGCACACTTAACCTAAATTTTGTTCCTTTTGGTTTTCTTCAAATTTTAAATGGGTATTAAAATACATAAGTAAATGGGTCTTCTAGTAGACATTTAATGCAAGCTCCAAAAAATTTCTGACTGGATATACAAAGTCAATGCCATAGTATACTATAGATACTTGTCATCAGCCTGGAGGAAAGAAAGCAGGAGCCTGCAATTTTGTTGCTTTGATTTTTTTATATGCTAAATCCTTCTGCATATATTATCCCATATTTTTTTAAAAAAATGTTATGATCTAAATGGGGCTTTGTGTCATCTAAGTTTGTGACATGTGCCTCCTCTTCGAAAAACACCTTGTAGGTAAAAAAAATAATTTTCATACCTGCAGCGCCGTACCTATTTTTTCCCCCCTTTCTATCAAGACTGGCAGCAACTCCTATTACCCCCACCCTCCATGTTATTTTATTATCTATTTCCGCTCAGCAGTGGGGGTTCACAGACTGCACTGGGCTAACTGCCTGTCATTTTGATGGAATACACATGCAGGCTGCAATGCAGGAACAGAAGCTTGTTTAAAAGCTCTGTTCTAGTTTGCTGACAGCTGGTTTGTGAAACTGAAGGAGTGAATGCATCTACTCTACCAACTGTTAAGCTGAGGCTTTTAAGATGAGAAATTTAAATTCTTTATTCTTACAAGCATTATATGAAAAAAAAAAATCTCTTTACCGACTTTGGTACGGTCGAATCAATATTTTATTTTGCTAGGATGTCCATTCCACAGTCTTAAAAGAAAATTGCAGTGAATGTGAAAGCAAAAGAAATAATTTGGCTTTCTCGAATTGTAACCTGCCCTTGCCAGATGTATACAAGTGGATAATCTGTGCAGAAAGGAAGCCAGTTATAATGCTAAGAAATCTTGTAATGTCTGCATTTGTATCCTGTTTTCAATCCATCTAACAACGGTTTTACAGTTCCTTCAGCCTCTTGCTATTCAAAAACGGTCTATTATTTCGAAAGAGGGACATAATTAGTATTTTTTGACAGACTCCAGTCTAGATGATTCTCATGTTACCAAGTCTCCTTATTCCACTGAAGATAAACTTATATATGTTTTATTTTTATTCTTTGATTTGACCTTGGCATGGTTAACACAACAAATATATGATACATATCTGAATTACCCTCCATAATCCTTCCAATTTTTGATGGGCTGTTATAGATTAGGTCAGTGTTGTGATCTTTGAGTACCTGGAGGAGCACCAGTTTTTGTCAAATTGGTCTAAAATGCTTTTACAGAAAATGAGTCCTAGCACCATAAACGATTTAATGAGCTTTAGTGGATCCGTTCCTTCGAATGTCCTTTTAACATTTTCTTCTTCAGTATTTTTGGAGTTTGTAGTGTACCTTTGAACAGCTGTCCTCCCTAAAATTATTAGTTTTTAGACAAAACTTCAAAATCGACATATAACAAACATGACATTTTTATCTGTCTGGTGTCCGGTCTTTTGATCATGTGATGCAGTCTTTGTTTACACATAAATTGTTTCACACATTCATTCCTGTACCATTAAAGGGACCTGTGCTACACCATTTAATTTTAAGAATGCAGCATGTGATTAGAAATTTTTTTTATTTTTTTTTTTACTACAGTTTATAAATAGTAAAATGACACTGTAGCACAACGTTGCTTTTCACCTGACTTTCCATTCTTCTCTTATCTAGGGAAGAAAAGAACTCCAAGTTTCACTCTTTCAAACTCTTGTGCTGCTTATGTTTAACGAGGGAGAAGAATTCAGTTTTGAAGAGATTAGACAAGCAACTGGCATTGGTAAGAGATGAGTTTGTGTTAAGCTAATCTTATGCTATATGCACCTAAATAACTTTAACTTAAAGGGATCTATAGCCACCCATACCCGTTCATCTCATTGAAGTGGTCTGGATGCGGTGTCCCTGCCCCCTTAACCCTGCAATGTAAACATTGCAGTTTCAGAGAAATTGCAATGTTTACATTAAAGGGTTAAGACTGCTTCTACTGGCTGTCTCAATTACTCAACGCTTTCCTATAGGAAAGGCCTAATGAGTGCATAGTGCTCGCTGTGCTTTTGCATTAGTTTCCTTGGATTGCCGGCATCGGAGGAGGAGTAAGTAAGTGATTAAAGATTGTTTTGTTTTTTTGTTTTGTTTGTTTAGTGCATAGTGACACTATATCATTAGGGATACACTTTTGTATGTCTAACACTATAGTGTTCCTTTTAATGGAGTGGTCTTGGTGTATAGATCATGCTTATGCAGCCTTAATGCTCAGTTATCTGACATTTAGGACTTAAATCATTTTGTTTATGCAACTCTAGCCACACCACCTCTGCATGTGACCTACACAGTCTCCCTACACATTTCCAGTAAAGAGGAATCTGTGCAATAAATGAAATTTAAAAATAAGTCTGTTTAATTTAGAATTTCTTATCTCCTGCTCTAATGACCTTTTAGCTTCCTGTGTGAGAGTTTAATTTACAGGGCAGGAGATAAAAACTTATACAATAAGTTAACATCTGATTGAAAATTAAAACCTTTTCTTTCACGCAGAGTGTGAGAGTCACAGCCAGGGGAGTTGTGGCTAGGGTTGCATAAACAAAAACAAAAGTGATTTATCTCCTAAATTACAGATAATTGAAAAGTGAGACTGCAGTGACCTGATCTATACACCAAAACTGCTTCATTAAAGAGACATTATAGTCACCAAAACAACTTTAGCTTAAAGAAGCATTTTTGATGTATAGATCATGCCCCTGCTCTCTCACTGCTCAATTCACTGTCATTAAGGCGTTAAATCACTTTGTTCATGCAGCCCTGGTCACACCTCCCTGCATGTGATTTGCACAGCCTTCCTAAACACTTTCTGTAAAGAGACCTCTAATGTTTACACTTCCTTTTTTGCAAATTCTGTTTATTTTAGAATTTCTGATCATCTGCTCTGTTAATAACTTGCTAGACCCTTGCTAGGTGCCTTCTGTATATAAATAAATGTAAATTTAGAGAGCAGGAGATAAAAACTTTTAAAGTAAATAACATCTGATTGAAATAAATCCATTATTTTCATGCAAGCTGTGTCAGTCACTGCCAGAGGATGTGTGGCTAGTGCTGCATAAATCGAAACACGCGTGATTGAACAGGGAGAAAGCAGGGACATGATCTATAGCTTAATGAAGCAGTTTTTTTGGGTGTAAAGTTGTTTTGGTGTTGCAAGTATATCTTTAAATCTAATATTTTATGAAACATGTTTCTTTTTCCTCAGAGGACAGTGAATTAAGAAGAACACTTCAGTCCTTGGCATGTGGAAGAGCTAGAGTTCTTGTCAAGTACCCTAAAAGTAAAGATGTAGATGATGGAGACAAATTCACATTTAATGATGATTTCAGACATCAGCTTTTCAGAATAAGAATTAATCAAATTCAGATGAAGGAAACGGTATGTTTTTATTTTTTAAAAATTAGCATGTGTATTGCCATTGAACAAGCAATGATGCATGAGAGAGGGAGTTTTACACATTGCAGCATTCCTTCCTTTGATGTCTGAGTTGGCATATCCCCATTTGTGATATGAGATGTTTGAAGAAAACCTCTTGAAGCCCGGTACTTCAGGGAATTGTAAAAGTAAATAGAATACCATGCAGCCATCTACATGTATTTCACCAAAATGCTTTTTCCACTATGTTGTAATCAAAGTAATTACTCTTAACTGAGAGATTAAATTGACCTTTTTTGATTCTTATTTCATTTTCATTTTAATTTCATATTTTCATAATATTACAAAACAACTTAACAATTTCTTTAATTCTCTACATCTTATTCTAATTGCCCACTTTTCTGTGGGAAAGAGTACATGCATAGAACAATGTGCATATTGGCTCAGCCATCTCCTTACTTCCATTAGACTTTAAATGTGTAGTCTACTTTACATTTGTTTCAGTATATCAGACTAACACAATTGGTAACGGAAAATAATCTTTTAACAAAAGAGCTCTTTTGATATCTTTATATCTATGTGTTGGTATCATGAAATTTTGCATTGAATTGAAGACCAATTCAAAGTGAATTATCTTAAGGAAAATCCAAGATACCTGAATTCATTTCTCAATTTATATTTTATCCATTTTAGACATTTAAATGCTTTAAACCATTTCATGACTATTTCCTACCTTTTCACTTTCGGTGTGTTTTTGTTTAAGGTGGAGGAGCAAGCAAGCACTACAGAGAGAGTATTTCAAGATAGGCAGTACCAAATTGATGCTGCAATTGTTCGAATAATGAAGATGAGGAAGACCCTTACTCACAACCTCCTGGTTTCGGAGGTGTACAACCAGCTTAAGTTCCCAGTGAAGGTATAAATACAAATGTAGAAAACAACAAAGAGTGGGGTTCAGCCCTTGAAGAGTTACTGGAAGTATCGGGAAGGCAGCTCAGACAACCCAGTCTGGAGTGTCTCTATCCCGAAGAAGAATCCGGTAGTGAAGAGGGAGGAGTTTAGATGGTATATGTAACAAGAAGACAGGAGGGCAAGGAAAACTAATATAGTGTATTATGAATATTCTGATTTAAGAGTTGTTTTACATATTATACTATATTGGTTTTCCTTGTCCTCCTGTCTTTGTATCGTATACCATCAAAAACTTTAAAGGCACTACTCCCAAGTCCCCAAGTCCTCCTCTTCACTATAAATACAAATGTGTTTCATAGAAACTGAGCTCAGAATTTCCACTCACCACTATCTACTGACCAGTGAAATTATGGCCCTGATGAGTAGAAATTCACTCCTGGTAACTGAATTAGAAATGTCATGAACCCGCCAGGATTCTGGTGATGAGTAACTCTTTAAGGGTAGCAGTATTTAAATGGGGGGAGGGGGGGGAGCTTGTAAATAAATAGTGCATATTTGAACTTTTTTTTTTTTTTTCCCTCTTCTCTTTATAGCCTGCGGATTTGAAGAAAAGAATAGAATCCTTAATAGACAGGGACTACATGGAAAGAGACAAAGAAAATCCAAATCAGTACAATTATGTGGCATAGAAATATCAGCTGTTTTTTTTTTTTTTTTTCCGTTTTATCTTATTTTATGGGCTCCAGCTCACTGGGTTACTAGTGGATAATAAAATAGCCTTCTGGTCCCATTAAGTTAACATTTTTCCTTTTTTTGTTTTTGCTTTTGTTTTTACATCGATACATCGAACATAACTGAATGCAAACTGCCTAACGAAGAAATACATAAGCAGATTAATTCAGTGATTTCATACGCCCATTTAAAGAGTACATTTTACATTTTAAAAGAATGCTGTTGAACTCTGCATGTTTTGAATGGTGTGCACAGCACCTGTCGGAGTATTATTTTCCATGTTTTTATCCCTTTACAAAGTGAAGACTATTTAAACAGGAATATGGCACATTTGGGGAGACAAATTGGTTTCCCCACTGCGCCTTTGGGCTGCATGCAAACTGTTCCTTCAAAATTAACTATCTTAACGATGCGATCAGAGACTCGCTTGTGTCAATGTGTTTCTCAAATAAGCTATGAAACTGCAGTATGGACATTTTTGGCACTTATATCCAAACAAAACAGAAGGCATTGAAATAAATAATTTAAAATAATATATATATATATATATATATATATATATATATATATATATATATGATGAAATGCCAACGTGTGCTCTCACATTCAAGTTTTTACTGCGTAAATGATCTCTCATTTGTTTGAGGAGGCTACTAATTAGTTAACCAAGTTGGCATTAACTGGGAATTCATAAAGGGATTCTCCATAGCTCTTCTTAGCTTTTTGGCTTCTGACTGATGATTGGATGCATTGCTTCAGAATAACAAATGGAGTTATGGATGCTGTATCCTAAATATATAGGGGTTTGGTACAGCCACACAGCATAAAGACAGCTAAAGGAGTTAAATTCGCAATTGGTATAGCTTCTTATTGGGACTTTTGATGTATTTGTACCAGTCGTTCAATGATGCCTTTTGGGCTCAGGAGCAAACTGGTATTAAAACATAATTAACTGGACTCTAAAACATGTTTGTTTGGTCACCACTGAATGGCTTTTTAATAAGACCGTTTTGGTTTTAGAATGAAGTAGGTAGGTTCTCAGGCGTTATAGAGAATGAAAATTATACACTATAATAGGTGATTCTATGTATTTCTGTGCCTTTTATCAAAGACTAAAATGGATTTACATGTTATGGACACATATTTGTCTTTTCATTTGAACTTTCATAACAAACGAAAAAGAAATTAGGGAAACATGTTCTGTTTTGTCATTTTATGAAGTGTTTAACCTAAATGGAATGAAGCAGGTCAGCTATCAACTAGAAGCATAGCTTAACTGTTCATTGTATTTGCTTCTGGTCCCCAGTATGTTTTGCAGGAGATGTACCTTTGTATTGCTCTTATAGAGCCAGAAGCAAATGCAATTATGTTACAGGGTTACCAGTGTTGCCTTTATTTTTAATTTATTTTTTTGTTTTGCAAAGTTGTATTATTCCTTTCGCAAAATGTAGCGTTAAAGTAATGGGGTGAGTTTCTGTCTGAGACTATTTTCTGATTGAAAATCCGGATGATATGCTGTACTTATTACAACATGAGAGAGATCACTTTCACTTTTCACACTTGTAAAATTCAGCACGGGAATACCATTTCGTTCATTTAATGTGTTACGTTATTTTGTTTATAACATGAAAAATGCCCTTTGCTGCTTAACCTTAAAGGGACACTATAGGCATCAAAACAACTTTAGCTGAATAAATCCGTTTCTGTGTATAAATCATGCCCCTCCCCGGCTGTGACTCAGACAGCCTGCATGAATTTAAAAAAAAAAAAAAAAAAATTTCATTTTCAATCAGATGTTAACTTGCTTCAGTTTTTTTGTTTCCTCTATAAATTGAACCTTAATCACACACAGGAGGCTCCTGCAAGGTCTAGGAAGCTATTAACAGAGCAAGAGATAAAAAAAATAAAAATAATTCTACATTAAACAAACTGTGCAATACATGAACCTAGACTATCTAGGTTCTTTTTCAGCTTGTGTTTAGAAAAACTGCAAATCGCATGCATTGAGGTGTGACAAGGTCTGTATAAACAAACACAGACTCCTGTGGACTCTAAAATGCTATTAACAGAGATACGAAATTCTAAAATTAACTGATTGTGCAATAAAGTTTAAACATGAAATCATTATTTACAGTAAATGTTTAGGGAGACAGTGTACCTCACATGCAGAGGTGGCATGGCTAGAGATGCATAAACAAAGTGAGTTAACTCCTAAATAACAGATAATTGAGCAGTGAGTTTGCAGGGGCATAATCTATACACAGAAATTATTTCATTAAATTAAGCAAAAGTTGTTTTGGTGCCTATAGTTTACCCTTAAAATCCTTGTTCCAATAACCCTTGAAAATCCCCCTGGTTGTGGCTACATTAAGTTACCTATTGGTCTGCTGAAGTAGAAAGGTTTTCAGACAATTTTTATTTTTTCAGTATAATCTTTACAGAAAACGAACAAAAGGTTTTAAATCAGTCGTTCTTATCCCTTTTTGACAGGGCATACATTAAGTAACACATAGTAACTTGACATCCCATTCTTCAAATGAAAATTTTTGCATTGGCACATTCTTCATGTCCTATAATTACATGCAAAGATGTTTGCATTGCTGCAATGCTACTCCAGGAGACATGTTGTCAAGAGATACCTATTGCTACTTGTGGGTACCTGTTAAAATATGATGTGGACCCATTTTTGCACCCTGACTCCTAGGGCTTAAGAACCACTGCTTTAGAAAATTAACTAGCAGATTGTGTAATTTTGTGCCTGCATAGACTATTTAAATTGCCTCTGACAGAAAGGAAACAATGATGTTTTTAGATGTGTAACTGTAATCCTGGTCAGCCTCAGGATAAAGAAGAAAGGGTTCACTATAATTGTTTTTCAGTCTAATTGTTTTTATCGTGAATTTTTTTGCTGAAATTAGAACATTTCCAACCTTGCATTATTCTTTTAGTAGCCTTCCACAATGGTAACCAATGCTATTTTAATTTGAGGGTTGTTTTTTGTTTTTAAAGCTTATTGCTCGATCTTGTTTTCCTTTGGCTGATATCAATGCTTTGAAGTCAGAAATTGTATAATGTGGGTTTTTATATAGTTTACGCAAAGATGCCAAAGTACAGCACATAAAAAAAAATATATTTATGAATGGGATCACATTTAGTAAAAAAAAATTTTTTAGTCTTGATAACCTTGTTTTATGAAGGTATATTTGCATTTTCTGCACTACCTTCATAATTTTTTAATTTGTTTTATTTGCCTGAGAAAATAGTGATGGCATGCTAGTCACAGAATGTTTGATGGAGTAATAAGGGTCATTTACCTTTTTTTATTTTATTTTTTCTGCTTTAGTAAATGGTTATGCTCAAGGCCCAACACACACACACACACACCACTGGGTATGCATCCAGCCCAAATATTTTGAAACCTGTCTACATTGTATGGTTAGTTCTTTCCGTTACCAAGACACCCATGCCACTCAAAAACCATCAAACAACACCATGGCACCCATCAGTCACTGAATGACATACCCAGTCCCCACTCACATTTCAGGGCCTACTATACTAAAATAAACAAATTGAGCACCTGTGCAAATTCTCCTCTTGGGAGAGCTTCTTTACCCTGCATAGGGAGGAGTGTAATGCACCATTTGCAAACTACACATATAGCCATATGGATTGGTATTGCTACAATCACTGTGAAAGAGTAAACTGGCAGAAGTAGTTTTAGCTACCATACCAGCTCTGCATTGTTGGTCATTATGGTGACAAGAAGTCCAATATTACTGCACCCTAGGTCATGTTTTGTGCACCCACCTATTATAGCCGCCAGATCATCTGAAATGCTATTATTTCCAGCAACATGAGTGCCAGACAACTTGCTGTGTCTGGTATCAGTAGACCTAGTTCTTGAAGGCTTTGTAATATGTTGACATTACTTATACTAATTCAGCCTGTCTTTGGCACTATTTCGTATTTTGTGAGTAGAGGCAAACAACTGCCACAGGCACAGATACCAAAATTAACATGACCACTCATCTGAGAGGGGGGTAAAAAATTAAATATTTCCACCTGAATATAACACTCTCCCCTCGTATTTGAGATTTAGCGGCGATCAATGCATTATGTATCTTGACTGAAAAACAGACCAATGTGTAGTGGTATGTTGCAATTTGCAATCAGCGTTCAACATCAGCACAATATTATTTCTAACAGTGTTTTTTTTTGTTTGTTTTTTTTGTTTTGTTTTTTGCTAAAACAAAACGTGTACCATTGTGCATATTATTATTTTTTGCGTCACAGGAGTTAAAGCTGGTGGGGAGAGTTTGCGCTTTGAAGAGTACAGCAGCATTCAGAAATGTAATATAATTTTCATATGACAATTGTTCAGTATGTACAGTGAAAATGTCACCCTATTCCACAAGGGCACAGTTCCACTGAAACTAGATTTGAAAAAATTGTGTATGTTCACTGTATCAAACATTTAATGTGATTTAAAAGGATTTGTGATGTCATCACATCCTTTTAAGACAAAGGTGAAACCTTTTTATTGTTTCATAAAACAAGTATAACAAGGGCACCAGGTCTTTCTAAGTTGATAAATAATGTAAATATGTGTCCTTTCAAAGAAGAGTGAATCTGTTATCTAGGTATTTTGTGTCATTTAATAAATATTAAACTGTTTTTGTGTTGCTAAATCATTTTCTGTCTATCCATTTACATTTTCAAATCTATAAGTTTATTGATTATTATTTTTGCCCAATTGAGAAATGGTCCAGTGTGTTATGAAATGTGCCAAAAATGTTTCACCTAGCCAAGGTAATTTCTGCAGATCTAAATTCTGAACAAACCAGGCAGTAGTTACATCACTTTCTCTCAGATTACTCAGTTTACTGGAAAGCAATCTGTTGGACACGATCCTTTTTTACATATGAAACCAAAATCCCCATTTCTTTTTTTTTTTTTTTCCCTCATACTCAGCTGTACAAAAAATTATTTGATATCTCCAGGACTCCTCCTCTTGGTGTGACAGCTTTCAGTGTCCTTGCTACTCTGCTTTCTGGTACCCCTTTGCAATTTTCTCAGTTAGTGAGCTGATCCAGGAAAAAATGTCTGTGCCACACAGGCACAATGGTGGGAAAAAGAAAGAAATCGAATAATAATCTGATCCCTAGACAATGGTTTGAGTCGTTTTTTTTTTTTTTTTTCTCTCAATAAAATTTGTAGGGCCACTATACCTCATTCAGGGAAGCAGTGATGCCTCCAAATATTTTACCAAATAGTAACATGATTTGGATAAACAAAATCTCTAACAGAGGCACAAAATCCCTGTGACTCATTTAATGTAAAGGGACACAAATACAAAATAAATCCGTGTTTAGTAGATATACTCTCATTGAAAATATAAATGTATTTAATGTTTTATTTTAGGAGCACAGAACTGATTAGACTTAATGTTTTTTGGTTGTGTGCATCATACTCTGTCTTAATGCTGTCTGGCACTTCCTGTGTCTAAATTTCAAGTTATTTCTTTCAATGTAGACAGTGAAGAGAATTAAAGAAAACCAGATATAGGAGAATAAAATCCAAACCAGCCCCTCTTGCCACACCCACTCCAGCTCCCTTCCTATATTTTCTTGGCTTTCAGTCTCTTCATAGTTCTCCCACAACTGCACACTTGGACCATTAGATAGTTGTCTTGGAATTTTAATATGACGTGCTCCTTATTGAAGATTTAAATTGCTAGCCACCTGTGTGCCAGGGCACTGCGTGCTGCTAACAGGATCTTGTTCAATAATCTTTGGGCATCGCTGGGGATACCCTCAATGGATTTGGAAGAAGGACCAAGGTTCAACATCCACATAACAGTGGAGAATGTCTAGTGAGAGCCTTTTCACCATCTTCCAATACTGTTGTACCTTAGGACATATACACCACATATGGGTGCCCTTTTGTCCACAGCCCCTCCAGCATTCATCTGTTGGAGATTTGCCCAACAAATGCAATTTCACAGGAATAGTGTACCACATCATCATGTTCTTATGATTGTTCTTGTAGGTTTACACATACGAGGGTTTGTTTTGTTGCTTCCAATATATCTTCTCACTTCCCCGCTTCTAAAGTGTGCTATTAGCCCTCTTCCCACTGTGTAATATATCTTTGTATATCTCGGTCCTCTCCCGGAGCGCTAATGTGTGTACATAGCTGTGATGAAGCCCTTTTGCTGAGTGTGTTTGTAGTAGAAAACCTTTCAAAGATAGTTAGCATACCAGTGGCTGCCTTTTTTTTTTTTTTAAACTAAATCAGATTTAGCAAAGTCTTTCAGTTGCAGATATCCGGAAAAGTCGCCTGTGGTCAGTGGATTTATTTGCTGTAGTTTTTTTGAATGAGTAGATAGCCTTCCTATCCACAAGATAGGTTTCTTGTGCCATGTGTCTAGGTCAGAGGTAGGCAACCTTTGGCACTACAGATGTTTTAGACTACACTTCCCATGATGCTCTTTCAGTATTATGGCTGTAAGAGCATTATGGAAGATGTCCTGAACATCTGGAGTGCCAAAGGTTGCCTACCCCAGGTCTAGATCATTGAAGAGGGTCTTTATTAGAGTGGTGTACTTGCGTCGATAAAGTTTGTCAGGGTCTGCTGTTAGGATTACCCCTAGGTATTTGAAAGACATCTGTGTAACCCTGAGCCCATGTATGACCCCCAACAGTGCCACGTCTGCAGCCGACACGTTCAGCGGCATTGCAGTAGGTTTATTTTATAACTTGAAATGTGGCTCAAGGTGTTTAAGATAAGTAGTACGTTATCTAGTGATATAACTGGATCTGAAGGGGTGAACATAACATCATTTGATGATGATGATGAGAGAGGGAGCCCTATACCGGGTGTTATTATTTAGGGAAAACCGTTGAAAAATAGTTCCTTGGTAGTAGCGTAAAGTGCCTTGACAGCACGAATGAAGGAGGTGAGGCAGGATGCTCATGTGTTCTAGAAGTCTAAACCTATATGGCCAAAGCACCCGGTCAAACGCATTCTTTGCATCCAATGATCGGACAGAGAAGATGTTCACTTCTTGTGTGCCCACCAATTCAAAACTGCTTTCCTGTGAGTGTTTTCATACAGTTGTCTGTTGGGGATAAACCCCACCTGATCCGGGTCAGTCATAGTCATAGTAGACCATGCCGGATTTAGTCTAGAGGTTAGAAGTTTTGCGTAGATTTTCATATCAAAATTGATTAGTGAAATTTATCTATAGTTTGCAGCTTTGGTTTTGTGTGTTCTGAGTTTTGGGAGTTGGATTATGTTGGCTAGTTGCATGTCCAGGATGTGGTGGTGATTCCATAAACTCACTAAATATGGATTCTAAATCAACTGGGACATGATACCTTGTTTCCCTTGGGGCTGGATATAGCTAGATCGATTTAATCTCTGGAGACTGTAACAGGTCATCGGGCCTTTGTAAATTTACCTTAAATAAAAATATATACATAATATATATACCTCCCACATATCCTACATTGTCGTGAGTTAGGTGAGGGGAGTGATTATAAATCTTTAGAAAATATTCCTTGAAAACTTTTCCAATACAGAGGTAACCATATGACACTTGTATTTTATTGCTGTGATTAATTTCATCTTCTGTCTAGGCTTGAGTTATCTCGCTAGCAAATTATCCATTTTGTTATACTTTTCATAGAAAACTTCTCGATCGAATGATATCCCCATTCACTTCCTCTAAGGCTGTGTCATTCAGTAAATGTCTGATGACCCTAAGCTCCTTCAATTTCTGGGAGTTGGGTTCTGTTTGTGTTGTGCTTCTGCCTTATGAAGAGTCTTCTGGAGTTCAAAAAGCCCTTCTGCCTTTCTTTTTTTAATGTGTGTGGCAATTTTTATCAATGTACCTCGAATGACTGACTTATGGGCCGCCCATATTATAGTTGATGATATATCTGGGGTATCAATCGTTTGGAAGTAGTCTATAATCTGACTTTTTATTTGGTTTTGGATTATTTGGTTTTGGAGTATTACGCCTCCAATTCCAGGCTGGTCTACTGTTTGGAAGTGTAAAGTGGATAGCAATGTCACCATGGTCTGACCAGAATATCAAATTGTTTTCTGGTGATCTGACCCACTGCATTCCCAGTGTTGTGTTTGTGGAAAAGAAATCTGTAAATCTCATACACTTGATCTGTTAAATGTATCTTAGAGGACAGGGGTAAGTGCGTCTCCTGAATGAAGACTATGTCTGCCCTCTGCCTTTTTAGTTCTATTCGTAGTAATCTGTGTTTGTTGGGTACATTTAGTCCATTAGCATTTAGGGATGTTATCTTGTGTCATGGTGCAAATATGTGTAGTGAGAGCATGACATGGGACTCACATTTGGCCGACCCTGATTCACTCTGACCTCCTTGAGAAAGTAACCGAATCAGAATTAGACATGACTTTGGCTCAGTATTTTAGCTTATGTCCAGACGCAGTGTGCGTCAGGAAGCAAGTGAAGACAGGAAAGTGAAAGATATACAGTGAAAAGAGTATAAATATGAAGAAGAAAAAGCGCACCAACCATAAGAAACATATCAAACCACGTCCCTGGGCTTATTCGATGCTGGATCATTTGGGAGATGGGACCCCGCCCTTCCAGACCTACAGCTGGAGGATATCCAGCCGCTGAGGGCTGCTCCCAAGATATGAAGTTTTCACCTTCCCCTTCTTAAAGCTTCCGGTAACACAAAGTTAATCTTTGCAATATAGTGCCTAAATGCCTAATAACCTCTTATGATCCTGGTTCAACCTCTATTCCCACCCCCACTTCTAACACCTATTTTGTGGAAACATGTTTTTGCTCCTTCTGGTAATCTTCGATGAGCCTTTTGTGATTACAAACTTTTTAGGGGGTTATAGAGATGTCAGGTCCTTCCTCTCTTATTGCTGTTTAATGCAGATGTGTATCCCCGACCATCCTCCAATAAAGATTCATATATACTGAATCAGAAATAGATTTGTATTTACCCTTGTCATAATAGATTTGTCATATATTGTTTTTTCTATATATGTTATGGTATGAAGTGTTTCACTTTCCAATCACAAGGTTTATACTAGGCACATTAGAGTATCAAATGCCATGAAGTTTGTTACAAGCTGTAGCCTAGGGCCGTGTCCCCCCCAACCACCCTATGCCGGTATGCCCCTTATGATGGGGGCCTTGACGTATCTCTGATGTGGGTGTAATGAACCCTCAGGTCATTTAAGCAGAATACATGTCTCACCAACCACCACCCCTCTCTCAAAGGGCTATGTTCACTATATGTTAACCCCTCAGCAGAGCGTCCCTTTCTATCAGCCCTGGAGTCACCTTTCACCAGCCAAGGGGCCGCTGAGGCATGGCGTGCCTGACTGGGAATAACCCTGATCTCTGGAACTCTAAAGCAGACCACAGAGTCACTTAAATCTCAAATCAGAGCGCGCTCAGTCCCAGGACCATCAATCAGGGTGCTTTTTGGAGGATTTATGGAGGAGGTGGTGAGGCATCGAATGACACCAGTGGGGGAGCTCCATGCACTCATGGAAAATGCTGTGTTTTTATGTGACCGGGGAACTCAACCCAGCACTCTGGAACTCTGCGCCGGCTCAGAGGCTTGCCGCGTCCCCCTGAACTTAGCACTTCCATTTAACTCGGGCTAGCTACATCCGATCCAGGTAGTTTTTAGGCACTCCAGAGAGACCTTTTTTTGGGGATATGGACGCTCCAGAGAAACCTTTCCGAGGATATAGGACTTGTGGGTGTGCTCTGTTATATGATGTGTTTTGGGTAATTTTGTATTGCGCTGTCTGTATCCAGGAGATATTTTAACAGAGAGCTGACTCAATTATCTCGGTATATATTCCTGTGCCTTTGCTCAATAAAATCAGTTCACTTTCACCATTCACAAAGTCTCTGCTAGTGTTTAGGTGAGACCGATATACCCTCTGCAAGAGAGCTTAATCACTTTAGAGCTTCAACACTAAGGGAAGGGAATACTAAAGCGGTAGTAACCCAGCTACTCATGGGTATACCGCCACAGTGAGCATAAGAGTGCCATATAAAAGTCTTAGCCCAACTGTGGAGGATGCCTCTTAGTGAGGAAATTTTTTTTTTATTTTTTTATCTTTTAGTACACTCATTGCATTACTTGCCATATCCATCCATGGTCTTTCCTGGAACCAGACATCACCAAAAAAAACATTAGCACATAGAATTAGTCTTTGAAACAGTTAAGTCAAATGATATGAACTGCAATCTGCAGCAGAGACTTAGTTTTGCCTCCTGCTATATGATTGTAGGGATCCTTCATGAGGCGTCTTCATTGGCGTTGCTCCTGGCTCAGCATCCATACCCAGCCCCTTAGGTCCTCTGTCCGGAGTCAAATCCCTCAGGCCCCTCTACCTCTATTCCCTGACCTGTTAGGAACGTGAATTGATAGGTGTTTGGTACTAGTATAGATGGATGTGGCCTCTTGACCATTATCCTGAGAGGGAAACCCCATGCAAACTTAAGAATGTTGACTTTAACGAAGTTTGTTATGGGCTTCCATTTGCCTCCTATGCAGTAACATGGTTGGTGCTATGTTGCAATTGTAGTGTCATCCCTGTATCCGTGTAGGGGTTATCTCTGCAATGTTTTAGTCCTTGGTGGTATAGTGGTGGAAACGTAGTATTGACATTTCTTAGCGGTCTGCCTTTGCGTGCAGGGCTCTATACACACTGTAAAGCGCTCAGTGATATCTGGTAAAGCTGCCTTAAAGCACTATAGATGCACCTGTGTAAGATCTGTGTCTGGGACAGTTTCAGGTAGGCCCCGTAACCTCAATTTGTTCCTCCAACGATTTGATATATCTTTAACTGTCATCTCTTAGTAAGGTGTTGGTGAGTGTAGCAGTTCCATTATGAGCGATAACCACAGATTCCATGTGTCTTTCTAATATGTCATTGTGGGTCCCCACAACTTCAATTTGCGCCTTGACCTCCCTTGCAGATCTCTCTATATCCCCTGCCAGGTAAGTCTTTACCTCAGTCAGAGATTGTAATATTTCTCTGGTGAAGTGTGTTCCTGCAAGGTCAAGTATCTGGTGAGTCTCCACTAGGAACAGATTTGGAGCACTGGATGGCTGAAAGCGAGGCAAAAGGGAAGGCCAGGTGAGAAGCTCAAACAGAGCATGTCTTGATGCCATGAGTGTCAACCCTTGCCCTCACCCCTCTCCCTCCCATTGATTTTTGACTCTTCTTTACAGAGACTCTCTTTCAACCATGGGTTACTAGCGTCAAATTCCCGTCAATTAGATTGTGACATGCTGGAATGTTTTTTTTGTTTTTTTTTATAATTTATTTTTGAAGCGCATTGTCAGATACATTGTGAGGTTATGACATTTAACAGGTTACATGAGTTAATACGGTGACATAGTGGTAAAGGTGATTTGTTGCGCTTTTTTTGTTTATGCAAAAGAAATTAAACCGGCTTATCAGAGAAGTTGTCAAGGCATTCAAACAAGTGTTGGGCAAAACAGGGTAGCATAGACATGGGTTAGCCTAATAGATTTCACGAGAGATGTGTACATTTAGTGTGGTGACCTGCGTGGCTAGTCAGACATGGCTATGTGAGACCGTAGTAGTTAAGTGGACATGCTAAGATTCCTCTGGTTGACACTCGCTGTGTAGATGATATTAGGGGAACTGGGTTAAACTCCCTGCTCCCTGGGATTATCAAGTGTCATGTGATGCCACTTTCTGGGTTTGTGACCGACTAGCCAGGTTGGACAGGTCCGACATAGATTAAGTGTAGGTACGTACTGACGTGTAATTACATGGCATGGTTTAACCTCCAAGGGACCTTGGGGCACTGGGCTTGCCAGGGAGGGTATATGTGCAGGCTTAAGAGGCCTAGGCGCTGTCAGTGGGGAGCTGCAGAGTTAACATCTACTGTATTAAACACAGAATGAAGTTATTAATGAGATAATAAAGAATATACAGTAGTTGGGTGCAAATGTGGTAGGCATCCGCCTAGTCGCTCCTGTGGCTGTACTGGATCGGCCGGTGTCTTAGCTGGGATTGGGTCTGGTGTAGCTCATGTTATGGATGTGTCCGGTCCTGTGTGACTGCTGGCACCAACCCCAGGCAGAGAGTAGAGCCCGCGCCCCATGTCCATCATCCCCACAGGTATAGTTAGGTTCAGAGTCCTGAAACAGTCCACACAGACACACCAGTGACAGTGGGTGGGGGGGGGCGATACCTCAGGTGGTGTGGACGATGCTCTCTGTAGCGAGCCGAAATTATTCTCTGTTTGCGTGGTGAGTTGTTACCATTGGAGTTGTCCGATGGTCAGGGTGGACACGGAGATTGCTTTGTTTGTCTGCGGCTTGTTGCCAGCGTGCAGTTGTCTGATCGGCACCGGCTTCAGATGGTACCCAGCAGTTGCTCAGTTGCTACAGCCCCAGCTCTCCAGCTTGTGGTAGACGCGGCGGCCATCTTGGTTTTTGCCATGCGGTCCCAGGCTGCTTTCTTCACTGCCCAGATGCTATTATTGAGCACTGCGTCCCTGGTGGGGACCGGGATAACCCCCACCGGCCCATAGGGGGGGAGAACGGGGCCCTCAGTAGGCGTGGGAGAGGTCCCGCCGGACTAAGCACGGGAGATCGTCCGTTTCTCCCGCCAGAGCCTCACAGCAGGCCGCAAACCCATCAGCCCATCGGTCGGTGCCGCCGGCAGGACGGGAGCTGATAATTGTACCGGAGGTTGCTGCTTGGGTTCCACATGTCTTCTGGTAGCGGCATGGGGTTATGGACGTAAGAAGGGATAGTTTGAGGCTGGTTATCAGGTTTCACTGGGGAGCCGAGGTGCTCCACGTCCATCCAGCTTGGCGGCCAGGCCCCGCCCCCTGGAATGTTAAACCAAGGCACAGCAAGAGACAACTGATGTCCCAATGTATCCTTAATTTTTGCCATTCCATAAAATTAGTGCCATGCCCCTTAATTAACAACAGAGCATGCCTTAGAACATACCTTTATCCCAAAATGCTACTGGATACCCGTAGCTGCCAAAATAACATGCCTTTAATAGGTTGTGTGTCTTCCCATCCCCACATTCTAGAATGCTAGAAGAGTGCAACTTTAACTGCGAGTTAAAACTTAACCTTTATTGGAAAGGCTAATAAAACAATTCGTGAAAGCTACAATATACTATGTGCTGGAATTAATGTTATCTATGTCTGAAAATAAGCTGTAAGAATGTATGTGATTTAATGTGCTGATCATATGAAATAAATGTGTAATCCAATTCACTTGTGTAATCTAGTAAAACTGAGCAGTAAAACATATTATGAAGCTCAAGTCTCATAGTATAGATAATACTGTCCGGTTTAGAAAAAAAGAACAAAAAAAATTTAAATTACTCAAATTCTAAATCTAGTAGCAGGTGTAAGAGCTGACTTACAGCTGGTTAATAATGGCTTTAACGAGTTAGGATAGCTTTTTTTTCATCCATCAGAAGTCCACTGGTTGGAAACATTGAAAGGGAAGAGGGCTGAGAAGCAAAGATAAAGCAATGCAGCTGGAAAACTGATGGCCTTGCATTCAAAACTGGTGAGAAATCTGGAAAACATAGGAGTGACTTGGGCATGGGAGAAATTTAGTTTCGTCCAAAATGAATCTCATCCATTGCCTCGTTAGTTTTCAGACAAAATTTGTGCAATATTTTAGTTTCAGATAGCCCATTTGTGCAGTGCGGAATTTGATTAGGGGAATTAAATTATGTTCCGATCCGGGCCGCGTCTACATCTCAGTTGTTTAGTAGATAACCCCCTAAATTTCACAATTAGGGCGCTATCTACTAAAAAGATGAAAGACCAAAATTGCTTCCTCCCAGCCCCCACCCATTAGCAGCAGGTGTGGGCTCTCGGTAACAATAGGGAGGAAACCTATTGTTCCCCCCTAGACCCCACCTATTAGCAATGGGTGGGGGCCCTAAGTAATAATGAGGGGGTCATTGGTTTCCCTTTAATTCTTAATGTCAATATTTGGCAAAAAAAGTCACTCCGTAAAGTTTGCTGGTTCCCTCAAATGTTTAGTCCGTGCTGCACTGTAATTTCCTTTTTTTTTTTAATTCTTTTTTTTTGATGTTTTCCTCCTAGAAGTAGTTATCAGAAGATACTATTGGTATAAAGAGAAACACATAGTCCACAACAATACTTAGGCTGCAGGTTTTAAATCAATGCTCAGTTTGTTTTAAAGAGCCTAACGAGGGTCAAAAATATTTCATGATAAATCATTATATCACCAACCCCAGCCAGAACACAAAATGCAAGATGGAACTATGTTTACTCCAAATTCATAAAACAATGTGTGACTAGGTGAGAATATGTAATATGTGTGTGGATGTGACCGCATAAATGGGTGTAGATAAATGGTAGGTAAGTTGATGGTATGTACATGATGGGTGTTAATGAAAGGGTGGTGAGTTGTAGGTAAGTACAGGGTGGGTGGGGATTTGACCAAATGTGGGTTGTGTTAATGTGAGAGTTGCAAATTTGGTCATAATCTGGTCAGTTTAACCAAATTGTGTCCATCTGGATGAAATCTGTTGTTTAGTGAATAACCCTATAAGGAATTCCACATGTATCCCAGAATGGGTAGCAAACACTGTTAACAACGGATACATATGTTGGTGCAGACTGAGAAGGTGACATTTCCTTTGTACTACATCTAAATTCTCTCCCTCTGACATCCTACAAGATGTCACTTACTGTGTGCCTGTTAAGTGAGGCCACAAGACTTTTCTCACTATGTGAAACAGGCAATTACCCCACATACAGAATATTTCTACAAAAAGCTGCAATTAATGTTTTATAGAGTAATTGGTGCATATTTCCAATGATTTGCTGGACACACACACAGCCACTCTTGGTCCTGTTGGACACAGGTCCCATTCCTGCCAGAGGGTTATCACACTAAATTGATGTGCTGTTTGAGTTTCTGTAAGCTCTGACAGATGCTGCTACCTCAAGACTTCTCCCCATTTTGAAAGAAAATAATTTAAATTGCAAGCAATTCTGTTTGCATGCTGTATAAGTGAGTTTTACTGTCTTCCATGAATAAGGCTTCAAGTTATGTATCCATGACAGATTCACTTTCAGAAACCATGGTCAAGGATTCTAAAATAATTTACCAAAGTAAGAATGATTGGGATTTCAAACTCAATTTACAACTTAAGGAGAAACTAGCCAAACTAGAAAAATCCTCCAAGTCAAGTTATGCTTACAATTTGGCTACTCTGGCCTTAAACTTGAAATTTCCCTGAATTCACTTTGAAGTACCGGCAATTTCCACTTCAGTGGAAACCATGTAGGAACATTGGCTTGGCATGTTCCCCTTGCTCCTTGTTATTCTGAACAGTATTGAAAATGTTTTAGTAGGAAGTTATTGTAGAGTGATTTAAACAAATTTGGATTAAAGCAGGACAATGTAACGCAACTGCAATTTAACATTTTCAGTTAGAGAAGCATATCAATCAGTTACACTCATGTGCACCTACCAACTTTTTAAATGGACACTTTAATTTTAAGAATGTACATAACGTAGGATCTAATTAGGGGTGGGCTTAGGTGACTTACCAATTAAAATACATGGAAAACTGTAATTTAAAACAGGAACAATGTATCTTATTTAGACATACTGATTTCTAAACAGTTACTGTAGTACAAGCATGTCAAACTCGCGGCCCGCAATGGACTTCTTTGCAGCCCAGCGAGCCGCGAGTACATGCTTCGTGTTAAAGCAGACTAGGCCCCTGCTTTCTCCAACTTGCATGTGCCTACTCTGCTATACCTTACCTGGCCAGGGAAGAGCGGAAGGTGGATGCAGCGAGGGAGCTCAGCCTTTCTGCTCCTCACTGCTCCCTTGTGCACGCTGTCTGAAGCGATGCTGGGTGCCGGAATATGACGTCCTATTCCGGCACTGGGCATTACCAAACTGCGCACAAGGGAGCAGTGAGGAACAGGAAAGCTGAGCTCCAGATAGAAGATCCCCCAGGACCCCAGGAAATGATATGAGTGTGTGCAAGAATGTGTAAATATGTGTGCGTGCGTATGTGTCTGTCTGTGTGTTTGTCATTGTGTGTGTATGTGTCTCTCAGTGAGTATGTCTGTCTCTGTGTCAGCAAGTGAAGCGGGAGGATCCACTTTGGCGGACGTTGGGTTATACCAGAGGCCGGACTCTGGAGTCGCATACTAGTAGCGGCAATGTGAGTGGAGTCTGCTTGTTGGCTGGAGGGGGGGGTGCTGGGATTTAGTACAAGGGGGAGGACTGGGATTTAGTAGGGGGGGGAGTGCTGTGTGTGGTTTTTTGTTTTTTTTATTATACTGTTCTTTTCCAAATAAACCTAAATTTCTATGAAAATTTAAGTTGTTTTTTTTTGCGGCCCACATAAACTTAAACCTTGTTTATTTGGCTCATGCTAGACTTTGTGTTTGACATGCTTGCTGTAGTATAAAGATGCAATACTGTTAGTGCCATTGCTGTTGAGTTCTAATATACACATCAGATACACCAACAATATAGAGCTCCCCGAAAGACAATAGAATAAATCAGTGGGACAGATGGGTTTAGGCTCAATATAGGGTTTGACCCTTCCACATAGGGACACTTGGGAGGTATGTGATCATACAAGTGAATGGAAGATTAAGTGCTTTACAAAAGCAGGGCTGTTGGCACAGGAATATTCGAATAGCATTTGTAGAAAGGGATTATTATATATGACAGGTTAACAGGTTTTCGTGTCAAGGTCTTTCAGGAGAACAAGGGGTGAAGATGTCAGCACACCTATTATCTATGTTTGAGAGCAACAGGACACCCTCACTGTACAGAGAGGCAGAAAATACTAGTGCTATATAAATGATACTAATTTAAAAGAGCTTTGGTAATTAATAACCATTAATTTTAATATTCACTATAACAGCCTAGGAACATGTTGTTTTTTTTTGATAAGATGGTTAAGGTTAGGGGTGTCAAAATCTAGTAAAATAGTTCAGCGTTATCTACCTAAGTGCAAATGTATCGCACTTCTTAGTCTGTTTCAAATTTTAGGCCCAAATTGCCGAAACTGAAGCCATTTTTGCCTAAACTTTGAAATTTACTTTGAATTAACTTTGAATACCCAATAAGTTACATTTTAGCAAATAGCTGTTTAATGTTCGAAATTAAAACCCAGTATGCTGTTGTAGTTTCACAACTTTCAAAAGCTCCTGCTAATTTTTTTTTTTAATAAAGATATCAGATAAAGAAATTTATATTTTGTGGGGGAAGGGTAGGAACAAGGAAGGTCTTAGATTCAAAGGCAAGAGAAAGGGGGTAACCCTAGATAGAGAATAGCACATAGATAAGTGCTTGCCTACTAGTGTCATTTTAGCTAAAACATAACATTTAATATATTGATTAAAAATATTGCTATTATTAAATCAAAAGGTAAACCAAAAGAAAATTTGATAAAAATATAAATAATATAAAGCAAAAGGTATACAGTAAAGAGAAAACGATACCTGATTATCCAAAAACGTGTATTAAAAAGAAAATATGTATGTAAGCTAGATTAACCCCTTAAGGACACATGACATGTGTGACATGTCATGATTCCCTTTTATTCCAGATGTTTGGTCCTTAAGGGGTTAATAATCAGTTGGTATATTGCTGGAATTGCAGGCTGAGCCCAGATATAAAAACCTGTAGTGTTTCTTAAGAGATGCCAGTAAAGCGAAAACTGGCTATCCCAGGAGACACAAAGTGTTGAGTTAAGTATATATAACAATGCTATCAGTCTGTAAGATACAGTTGTTGCAATTTTCCTTGGAGGGGAACTGTTTGAATCACTATTCTAAGGTTCTTAACTCTAACTGAAAGAACTCAGTCAACGTTGTCACTTCTAGTACCAGTAACAAAAGTTAAATCACTGAGTAGATCACTTAAATCCGTAAATGGTGCTCTAAATTATCATGCTGCAAACTTCTAAGCTATGCCTTCGAGGGCACCTATTCTATGTCAAAAAGCGATCTACTAAGCTGAAGTAAGTACCATTAGGAATGAATAAGTTATGAAGGTGCTCTGCCTATACAACTCTGATAAAACATCATGTCCAAGTTTTAAATAGCGAATCTTATGCTCATCTTAGGCAATGTTAAACAGTGCAATAGTACGTCAGTATTATTTACAACCTCATTCATTATATTAACCCCTTAGTGACCAGACCGTTTTTCAATTTTCTTACCGTTAAGGACAAGGGTTGTTTTTACATTTCTGCGGTGTTTGTGTTTAGCTGTAATTTTTCCTCTTACTCATTTACTGTACCAACACACATTATATACCGTTTTTCCTCGCCATTAAATGGTCTTTCTAAAGATACTTTTGCTTTATATTATTGATATTTTTATTATCAAATTTTCTTTTGGTTTAATCAATATATTAAATGTTATGTTTTAGCTAAAATGAAACTAGTAGGCAAGCACGTCTCTGTTTGATAAAGAAATGATATTGCACCTGTCAAGATAATATTTTAGACTAAGTTAAAGAAATGTACTCTTGAACCTAATCACAAGCACCTTTGACTCAGCATTTACTATTAATTGTTTTAATAGTTTGTTTGTAGTTCACTCCCTTCTGTAAACCTGGATTGTAAACTATACAAGAAGACATGCAGAAGTGATCACAAAATTAGTATAGTGATTTTTAATTTTTTTTCAATTTTCTTTTTATTGTATAGTTTGAAAAGAATATAGATACATGAAATACATCAGACCACAATGTTTAAAGGGATGCTGCAGGCAGAACAACAACTATAGTGGGATGTAGTGGTTATAGTGGCTGAGTTAAGCAATAACATACCGTTGCATCTGAAGTCTAAATGAGATGGAGAGCAATTACAGATTTTAACTTGGAGTTTGAGCTTAGAGGGGGTGTGACGGACCGTCTGGCACCCCGACTGGGTACCTCCGTCAATTGCTGCTTCCTAGTAATCCTTAAGTACCATAAGCAATGCACCGGACACCATAACCACCGTAAACCCCACAAACCGCCGCAGCTTGGTTGGGGTCTCGCTGTGCTCCACTGAGACCAGGATCCAGCTTCCAGTGGGTAGACCTCTCCTAGTCCAGAGAGCAAAGCAGGTTGCTCTAACTAGAGCAATTGCTGTGATCCAAGGGAGTATAGTGATTATAGCAATCCCCAGAGTGAATATAGCTCTTCAATTCCCCAAACATGAGCCTAGACTTCTTGAAGGGTAAAACAAATCTGTTTGATGATAAAAAGTGGATACACCCCAATCAAGAGGGGACTCAATACTGGATATTAAAGAAGGGTAAAATCAAAACTGCAACTATAATAACTAGCTTAGAGCTAACATTTGTGAGGATATAATCACAAATATCCTCAGCTATATATGCCCATAGTATCTAATAAATAAAGTACTTTATTAGGTAAAAACAATAAAAAAATGGTACAAATGGAACTTATGCTGGGAAGCAGATATAATTGTTCTGTATATTAGTGGCCAACAACTGCAGCCATACTCAATTGGGACTTAAATCAACCATAGTAATGGCTGCTAAGTCCAGATAAACAGGATTGCTATAAGGGAATGTTCACTAAATAGTGATCTGGGTAATACACAAAACCTTGGAAGCAAAGTCTGTTTAGGGGCACTCCCCTCTGTACCTGAGAGCAGACTACAGTAAAAACATACACACGATTACATTGGCTCTCAGGTCCAGGACCAGTGGTGTATCCTGGTTTTGTGCTGCCCTAGGCAGACACACATACACTAGCTAACAGACACACACACACACACTCTCTCTCTCTCTCTTTTTTTTTATTTTAAATTCAATGCCCCCAGCCTCCTTACCTTTGGTAATGCTGGGGGTTGGGGGTTTCTTCCTTTCACTGGGGTCCAGTGGGGCTGCTGGGCTGCCGGCCGGTGACTGCAGGCGGCGAGGGAGCACTGATCCTCCTGTTCAGCTCCCTTGCACGCCGCAGAGTGATGCCGGGAGCCGGAATATGAATTCATATTCCGGCTGCTGGTATCACAATGGGGCGCACGAGGGAGCTGAGCAGAGAGCTCAGTAATCAGTGTACCCTTGCCAGTGCAGCCCGTCTGGAATGTCAGTTGGCCGCCCGGCTAACGACATTTGCCTGGGCATTTGGGGGCGGCTTTTTTTTGCCACCGCCTGGAAAGTGTCGCCCAAGGCAAATGCCTTGGACGGCATTAATACGTCCCTGTCCAGGACACTCCCATACAAAATAGGTCAATCCCTTCCCTATGCCTAGGAGATAATTGAGTCAAGCACTGTATTAAACTCCAGGCACAAAAAAAACACACATTTTTACAAAACCCCCAAAATACCTTAAAACACACAAAATCCCCACAAATAAAAAATATCCAACATATCCAAAAATCCCCCAGATCAGTTGAGGGGTTCAGGAATTTCCTGGAAGTCATAATTTGACCGAGTGCACGCATGGGGAACCAGGGGGAATAAAATATGGGTCTTTACAGTCGCTGACCTGGCCCATAGTCGTTGGGCAGGATGTCAGCTTCCACACTCCTCCAGGAGTCCGTGGCAAACGTCTGTGGAAAGCAGCGTTTGTCACAGGGGGTTTATAACAATGTTCACTAAGTTTACTGAGATAAACTGAGGATTCTATGCAGAAAAAAGCCAAGGGCGTCTAATTAAAAGGTACCTACAAATGTAATGGGATAGGTGTATGTTGTGATAACGTACAACCAAAATATACCATGATAAAGTAATCAAACCTTTCTAGACTGTAAGTTTGTTTGCGTTCATCAATCTATTGTTTCTGTAACATTTTGTAATTGTCTCATTTATTGCAAAATTTCCCCCTTTTTAATAATTTTGTAAAGCGCTGCGGAAAAAGTTGGTGCTATATATAAAAATAATAATCATCTAACACATTTTGGGGAATATTTACTAAACCGAGATATGGGATTATAGCAAACTGATCATCGAATGGCAAAATGTAGGCTAAAATATATAAGATTTGACTATAACCGAGTTAGACCATATTTTCCAGATTTCAATTCTCTGCCATTCGAAGTTTAACTGAATAAACCACTCACTTCAAATTTTGACATTAACTGCACAATTGTTATCAACAACACTGACAGAATTATCAACTGAACCAGGAATTATTGGGAATTTCTTAGAGAATTTTAAATTTGGGGCTTAAATATCTACTTTGAAAACATTCTTCATCTTTTCCAGCGAAGATATTTTGACATATAGTGTGCATTTCATTGGTAAGGTATTCAGGTGAGTGATTATGCGGCATATGTCTAATATTTCACCTAATAATAAAAGCACAGACATATATAGAACCACTCCATCCAACTTCTAGATTTTCCCACAATATTATTATTTATAAATAATAGTATTGGGTTAGGCCCTCATAGTTCCATCTTAAAACCTCTTCTTTGTTTTAATACTGTTTACTCGGGCATATTAAATCTCATTAATCCAGGTTTACCATTAATTGAACTACTAAGTACTATTAATAGTGAAAAAAAATGATTACAAATAATATGCATAGCCTGGCAAATAAAAAAGCCTCCCTCCCGCGTGTTTATTGTAGGTAGAATGTAGCTAACACAGAAGAACAATGGTGACGTCGCAGCTTGGATGATTGGGGGAGTGGCCAAGTGCTATCATGTGACAGAGCTGTGGGTCTCTGCAGTCAGTGTTGGCGTTTGCTCCGTAGTGTTCGGTCATGGAACGCTATGTATCTCTTTTCGCTCTGAGCCTGCTGAGCCTGGGTGAGTTAGGATGGTTCTGGCCGTGAAGGATGGAGATACTGGCTTGGAGGGGGAGGAAGGGAAGCCGGGCGCTGGGCCCAGGCATTGTCTCCGAACAATGTGCAGATAGGCTGAGGTGTCATTGCTGGGCGAGGTTGCTTGTTTTTGCATGAGGGCCCACATAGTAAATAAATAGTTTTAATGGCAATTTGTTGACAGGAAGGTATGGGTTGGGGTTGTTATGGTTAAGGCTACTTCCTGTTTGATGGTAATCAGGTTATCTACCTATTGGGCAATGTTGACTACTGTAGAGTTACAGTGCCCATGATGGCAAAGCATCATGGCAGTGGTAGTCCTATAGAAAGGGGATGAGGGGGGTACTGGGACACATCTAGAAAATGTGGGGCTCTTACTTTAGAGCCAGAGTGGAATTATTTTGCTGTTTTTCTCTAGTTCAAAAGCCTTTTATGTAGAAATACACCAGACTCCCCAACAAAGTTTCCCATCTGTGTATATACAGTGACAATCACAACTACAAAATAATGTGCCATATATGACACGAAGACTGAAAATAAGGCTGAGGAATTGGGAAGATAGCCGTGTCAAAGTACCATCTGAAAGCCCTTTTGTGGCACAATACGTGCAAGTAGACAAATATATGCCTCACTATATCTATATACAGTTTCCACTATGATGTGCCCTTTCTCTCTCCCTTAGTAGGATTACACCTACGTCTTTTTATATGGAACATTTACTATCTGAACAGATGTCAAGCTTTTGTGGGTGACATTTCTCAAGATGTTCAATCAGCTGGTAGCCTACCCTAAATGTGCGGGGGTTATCTTGCTTGCAATGTTTCAGGAATTTGTATCAAAGATGGAGAAATATGGTATTTTAGTTTGGATATTTTCCTGACTATTAGTGGGTGTAACTGTCTTAACTTATAACCCTATTCCAACTTTCTATACACAAACTTCGTTTACAGAGTTATTTACTGAAGTGAGAATACAAAGTGTTTTTTTTATTTTTGTTTTTTTTTTGTGAATGGAAAGCATAAAAGACTTACAGATTTTTTTTTTCCTGTTCAACCATTTTGTCCTTGAACTTGAAAAACAGTTTGAATTCATTTTCGAATCTCACAGTGAATAACCTGTCGGTTACTTGTCACCTAATGCATATTGAGATCTTCCCAAGATGTGCCTTGCTAAGCGTTTAATGTAATGCTTGACTAGCACTTTTCCATAAGGCTGCAAAGCAAATTTAAAAACATGACTAACCTTAACTTTGTAGGTGATTGAATATTAAAAGTGGGTTTTTGGATGAAGGCCAATGTTTGAGCTAAAGCTGTGGCCGAAATGCAAGCTGTTCGCTCACTTATCAAGTCTCATATTCTTTGTCCCCTCCTACCCTTCCTGTGCTGTTGCATAACAAATGGCCAGGTTCACATTACACCATCTGCTTGCGATGCTAAAATAATGGCACCTAGGCTGCTTATCTTTCAAGATAAAATGTGTTTCAGTTTAAAGTGCGAAAAACCATAATTGAAAACTCCACTCTGGCTGTGTTTCCTTTGAGATGCCATTTATTGTGCACATGCCTTGCTATTAGGAATTTGATAGTCAGTCAATAAACCAGTTAACATCCATAAACTTATCTAATTTACACAAACTGTCACTTTTATATGGTTCCTTTGCAGGGATATAGGGGTGTGGTCATAACGTAAGGAGCTGGTATATACAGTGTTGCCGCTTGTAGCATCAATAGCCAGCTAGAAGAAAAAGATCTGGCTGGCTAAAGACAATTCTGTGCTTATTGGCTGAGAGCGTTTTAACAGACCCAGTCAGCCAACGAATGAGCAGCAGCATTGGTACCCAACTTCTGCAGCTTTGGAGAAGCAAGATGTGGTTATGTTGCTATTACAGCAGGACCTGGAAATAGTGCAAATCACTGAAAAATGGTTTGCCCAGTTACAATGGTGCCAAGGTACACCTAACATCATATCAACTACAGCAGGCTGTAGTGATTTTATGATGCTTGAAGTGACCTTTTAAATAAAGGTATAAGTAAAACATTAAATGGTTTCTCTCATGGGCATACCTAGAGCATTTGGTACCCTGGGCAGGTCCTGTGTTTGGCACCCTCTTATTCTCCCTCTCCTTCTCTCTCCCCCCCCATAAAAAACAAATTTGTAAACTTTTTAAAACCTCTTTGTTTTTTCTACAAAACCCATGTCCTGCTCCTCCTACAAACCCTTGCACCACACACACAGTTACAGGCAGACAGTCACATATACAGTCACACAGTCGTAGACCCACACATAACCGCAGACAGTCTCTCTCACACACACACCTGGAGGAGGGGTGGATTCCTTCCTGGGAGCCTGTTATTTGGAGAAGCAAGGATTCCTTTTTGCTGCACCTCCATGTGCAGCAGTAACCGCAGCGGGTAAAGGCTGTGTTAAGCTCTGCTAGTTTGGCTCCGCCCCAACTTTTCTTGGCTTCTCCCACACTTTTCTTCGGTGCGGCCAGTTCAGCTGGTAATTGCTGGTCTCTTCGTGTGTGCCCCGACCGCCCGGCACCTCAGCTGTCACTGGGAACAGCTCAAACATCCCCTCTCCAGTCCGCAGACCATGATCATGGGACCCCCCTACCTGGTGACTCTTGGGTTGGACCCCCCTCCCCATTAGTACGCCAATGGTTCCTCTTTAAAGTATTGCTCCAAGCACTATGACCTCTTCCATGATTTCAAGTGGTCATGGTGCTTGAAGTGTGTGACCAGTTTGAAATACTGCACATACAGAGATGATGAAGTTTGCTGCCAGAGGTGGGAGTCAACCTCCTGCTATTTTTATTAGCAGAATGAGGGTCAATTCCATGCATAAAATGCATCTTATGTCAACAAGCATAGCATGCAGGTGACTGTGACCAATGACTGCACACCCCCCACCCTAAGTCTTTCCTCAGAGAAGTGATGTCACAGGTGGCTCAAGCAGCAAGTACTCACTATTTTAATGGGGACAGGACCACGCTCTGCATGGAAATGTTGAGCATTCCCCATAGAGATGCATTGAATCAATGCATCTCTATGAGGACATGCTGATTGACAAGCGCAGTACTTGAGTTCATCCCTTGACTGAGATCATCAGTGTTGACTATAAATTTTAAAGATCTCAGCCAAGGGCGAGGATTGGGGGCAGCGCTGGCAGATCCTCGTGGTGCTGGAATAAAGGGATGTGTGTGGTTGTGTGGGTGTTTGTTTTTTTTGTTTAAATCCTATTCAAAGGGCAGCAGGCCAACTTATCAAGTCTTATTCTTTGTCCCCTCCTACCCTTCCTGTGCTGTTACATAACAAATGGCCAGGTTCACATATACAGGTTTTGATGCTATAGGGTCAAGAATTCCTGACCCTATAGTGTTCCTTTTAAAGCACTGCTTTTGGTTGGGAAAAATAACCCTTTCAGGACCTTTTAATATCGGATTTTAATGTAAGTCAAACTGATTTATCGGACGTAACATAATGCAGGTTTTAGCTCATTCCGTCTAAACCATTCTTCCTCATTGCAATTCTTAGATCTGAGTCAGAGGCTCTTTGCCTTAATGATATTGTAAAATAAGCAGGTTTTCCTGGTCATAGTTAAGTTGTGATTTATTTATTTTTTTAAATATTTGTCTTGTGCTGGCTGCTTGCACCTGAAAAAGCTGGCTTACTTTGAGTGTTGTTTGGACCATCTGGCACAACATATGAAATTCAACAGTAATGGGCACATCTGAGCTGTAAATAAAATCTAGTGTCTAAATTGGAGGTGAGGGGGGTAGGGTAACCTACTGATAATTATAACTCCTACAAGAATCATGCACCATTAAGGATGCTTAAAAGGACACTATAGCCATCAACACAATTTTGGCTTAAAGGAAAATTATAGTCCGGAACACAAACACGTATTCCTGACCCTATAGTGTTGAAAAACCATCTAGCACTAGTCTGCTCGTGCTGGCTGTGCCCCTGATCTGCCTGCTTGGCTGACATCATATGTCTCAAGACCAGTAAAGTCCCATAGAGGACTGAAATGTCGACACATTTTCTGGTGAATAACTGCACAATAAAACTTCAAGATTTATCTACTAAGTCCTGTGAGTGCACCTTCCTTGAGAGAGAGAATTTGTATCTTGTAATACCTTTTTTATTTTTTATTTTATTTATTTATATATTATTTATTTACTTTGTTTTAGATCACATGAGTTCAGCCAGCTGAACTGCTCACTAGTGTGTAGCACCACCTAGTGCTTCTGATTATGTCTGCAGCTCAGTGTTTACTCCAAACCAGTTACACAATCTACAAAGCAATACATTTTATTGTAACTTTATTTTTAGCATTGTGTTTATAAATGAATAAAGTGTCTTCTACAGTTGGGTATTGGGATTTCTTTTGCCCAATGCAGAGCACATGCACTTCTGATGGCTAACTTTATGGGCTTTACAGTTGGTTTGACATTGAGTGAGAGAAATATCAAATCACTGAAGTAGTCATGGTGCTTAGAGTAACCCTTTAAAAGGAACAATATAGTCACCAGAACTACAGCTTAGTGTAGCCACCTATAGGTGCTGAATGGAGATGCTGAACATTCACCATAGAGATGCCTCTCTGGGGAGATGCTGATTAGCAAGCACAGCATTTTTGCTGTGCATGCGCAATAGCTTCTGTTTTCCTATGAGAGTCAATTTTGATGATCTCTGCCAAGGAGGTGGATTTGGCCGAAGCAATCACTGGTGGACCCACACAGCGCTGGAACAAAGGTGTGTAAACATGCCTTTTTATATAGGGTACAAGGGGGCTAACATGTGATTACAGTGACAGGATATGTCTGTATTTCTGTCCCTATAGTGTGGTTTTTGCTGTATAGTGTGGTTTCTGCTGTAAAAGCAGCAAGGGATTTTAACAACCTTCCTCATTCACACAAGGTTATCAGGACGGGTATAGCAACTTTAATCCAGAGCTTATGCTGAATCCCACTAGCTGCCATGGCAAACACCATGACCACATCAGGTCACCGAAGTGCAGATGGTGCTTAAAGTCTGTATTGGCAGCATTATAGTTTGAAATGCTGCACTTAAAGATGCTTAATGCTAACTCCGTCTCTGTGTTACTGGCCAATCTGGAAAGAGTAAGTTAGCCTACCCCTTTTATGAAGAGGTGACCATGCCAAACAAGTTTTACGCTGACCAAAAAGTGTTTAAAAATGGTTATTAGTTGGAGTTAACTTATTATATATATTTTTTTTAAGGCACAGGCTGAGCACCATAACCACTATATCATGCTGTTTCAAACTATGAAATCCCTTTCAGCTTTGTTGAATTGATCGAGTGCCGGTTAATTGATGGACAAAAGAATAGGAGATTTTTTATTTTATTTTTTTATTTTTTAAATCTTGCCAAACTAATAAAGTCCTACATAGACAGGCATTTTGATTCAATGCTGCTGAAGGTGATTTGTGTGCATGTAGTCAGTCTTGTAACACTTTGCCCATTTAACTGGTGTTCACTGGGCCAATCACTCACTCAGAGCCAGAAACGATCTACTTTGCTCATTGGATGACACCAATCAGCTTATGCTTTTAGTGCTTATAACATAAACCCTGCTATGCAGGTACAGTTTATTGGCTAATGAAAACTGGTAATATGCAGGTGCTTTCAGCTCTCAATGAAGGAAGTGGCCAGTGTCGGTCAGACCCCAGGTAAGTTCTTAAAAGGCTTGGCAAATATTTTGACTAGTGACCTTGAGCATGCAAGAACATTCCTGCCTCCATAAACTGAAGTGTGTACTTAAAAATAAGCTGCAGTGACAGGGCCTTTGCACCAACATCACTTCAATAAGATTAATTGGTTTTGGTAGTTAGAATGAGCTTATTCAATGGTATTCTATAACAAAGCTCCTATGTTATAATCCTGGTTTGTTGCACGTTTATTTACGGCTGTTTTGGTTGACCATTCCAACATTTTATCGAGATTTCTTGGGGTTCTGCCATTATTTTGTATCGGATTTATTTTCAGTAGCATAGTTGTTGTTTTAAAACTTTGTTTTGACAAATTATTTCTGGCTTTTTATCTTTGAGTAACATACTGCTAGTCGTTCACATGATCCTCTTGCAAAGATGCTTCCCTCCCCTTTCCTCTCACGCTTGTTGGTTGTGTGTCTGGGAACATACATGTATTCTACATTTGTACACACGTGTCTTTTAATATATTATCCTTTTGCACTAATTGGTTTAATTATTCATTTATTTTTGTTTTACCTTCTAACAGGGTTCATGCAGTCCAAAACTTTTGACATAGAAGTAAAGGATTCTTCAAATCATACTTGTATACATGCCAGCCTGATGGTGAACTTCACAGTACAGTATGAAGTAAACTCCACCTTTTCTGTAAGTCAATTTGCCCTTGAATGCCAGTCATGTAACCCACACAATGTCCAAAGTGGGCTTTGTGAGTTGTTTTGCAGGCTCTATGTCCCGTCTCTGCCTTTTTAGCCGCTATTGGGTAATAATTCCTTCACTCTGACAGTCTGCTCTAACAAGAACTGCCAGTGCAAATAATCCTTTATCAGAAGAATGATCTACTGTTTTTGATGTTGATCAGTAATTTATAAATGCAAAGTTTTAAAGCTGAAACAAGCTTTGAATGAGATCCTTGGTGATTTTAAAGGGACACACTGAATGACATAACTTCATCACAGCAAAGTTATGATGTCAGTAGGTCCCCTATGTTGACCTCAAGGGCTTGAACAGTTCAAGTTATAACCCCACTCGCTTTGCCCAGCAACTTCAATGAAAATGTAGTTTCTTACTTTTGGCTGCATTTCTTTCTTTTTTTTTTTTTTAATACACCTGTATAAAGAATAAAATCTGTTTAAAGAGCACTAAATGAAGAAATGTGATATCCCTGCAGATCCAAATGTTCGTATTTTGCCCATAGCTATTCACCTGGTTTACCAATTTTTATCTGAATTAAATGTCTTTGACTAAATAATTTTAGTTTCTTTTTTCAATTCTCAGCAATTCCCAAACTACATATTTTTCCAGTTCTTGTGCATGAGACCTTTTTAAATATGAAATTCTCATGCTTGTTCTCCTCAATTTCCAGTTTGGGGAATAAATACAATCCATAATCTGTTCGTATATGCCTAACTGCACAGTAGACTAGACTATTCAATGTATTTGAACAATATTTATAAATAAATAAAAAAAGATATATGGTTCTGTCTCTGTGTTCTGTCTCTGTGTTCTGTCTCTGTGTTCTGTCTCTGTGTTCTGTCTCTGTGTTCTGTCTCTGTGTTCTGTCTCTGTGTTCTGTCTCTGTGTTCTGTCTCTGTGTTCTGTCTCTGTGTTCTGTCTCTGTGTTCTGTCTCTGTGTTCTGTCTCTGTGTTGTCCTGTTTGCCAAATTTTAAAAAAGCGTTTTCTCAAACTATTTTTAGAAATCTTGATTGTAACAAATACATTGAATAGTGTGTTCACTGGAGACTGAACAGACATTTTAATTTAAATTATATTTGTTAAACACAACATTTAAAAATAACAGCCACCTTTCGGTCTGTTTTATTTACCTTCATCTGCCTTTCTTTGAAACCAAACTAATCTTGGAAACCAGCATTGGGCAACAAAGCATATAAATATGTATGCATAACTACCCATGAAAGATTGAAGGGACACTGTAGGCACCCAGACCACTTCAGCACATTGAAATGGTCTGTGTGCAAACTCCTATCACCCTTAACCCTGTAGTGGTAAAAACTGCAATAATTACCTCTGAGGGTTAACTCCTCCTCTAGTGGCTGTCTACCAGAATTGAAACTGACTTTTGGTCCGTTTTCAGATGCTGCATAGCATAAGGACCTCCAGCATCGGATCCCCTCCTTCCCCCTCCTTATGAGTGTGTGGCCATTGCTGCGCATTAGGTCTCACCTGCTGGCTGACATTGGCAGGGGAGGAGCGTGGGCCGAGCCTGACCAGCGCTGAGGGACATCAGCTGACTTAAAGGGGGGGTATGGTAGCCTGTGAGGGATAGGGGAACTGCTGGATTATACAGTGCCAGGACAACTGCTTTGTTTTCCTGTCACTATAAAAATCCCTTGATCACTATGGGTTCAGGAATACATGTTTGTTTTTTCCTGATCCTATAGTGTTTAAGTTATTTACACACACACACACACACACACACACACCATTGTACTCTTAAAAATGTGCTACTGTTAAATTGCAGACTGTTCAGTTGCCGCACAAAAATATATATTTGGAATATGCAAGATAAAAGCACTTTATGATGGAATAAATTAATCCTTGTATTCAGAATAGTCTATATTTGATGCAACAGGTCCTAGCATACTTATCCGCAGGACGTTATCTGTGAAGCTGCACAAAGACTCTCCAGTTCCCTTTTGGGGCAAAAGTTATAGTTCCATTGGTAGTATGGCCAACTATAGCTCCAAAAATGGAGAATGCCCCACACTCTCTCAACTTATCAATATGTAGGCATGAAATGAGTGCATACAAATGTGGTCAAAAGCTAACTAGTAGAAATGTATGGGAGCATAGAACAATTCATTGTGTGTAGCGTGAATGCTTTCCTCCCCTGGCCCCCTCCCCATATGTTTCTCGTTCTCCTTTTCGTTAGTGATTTTAGCCTTTTCTGAGCTGGACTATGATGTAATTTGCTAAATCTGTAATATAAAATCTAAAAGGAAATTAAATATCTCATTGGAGAGGAAAAAGGTTAACCCCATTTATCGCTGATTTTTATTTTTACATTGTTTTTATTCTGTAATGTCTACAGAAGTGACAGCTCTCTTCTTAACTTTACTGTTTGAGCATCTGTCTAATGTTCCAGAGGGGAGTATACACACTTAATTTTTCCACTACTGGGTAGTGGGGAAACTGTATGTATACAAATGGTTTTATTGCAGATCTAATGAGTCATACAACACTTTCAGAAAGATGGGCAAATTTGTATTTTTTTTTTTTTTTTTTCCCTTTTGTCCTCCTTGGTAAAAAGGTCTTATTTTATTGGTCTCTAGAAACATTTTAACTTTTTGACCCCACTTCAACATTAAAAAAACCCCAAAACAAACCGGATCTTATTTATCAGATCATGTTTTAATTTAAACTAACTTTGTCTTGCAGAAAAACTCTACTTTTTCAGCACCAAGTAACGTAACCATAAACGGAAGCCATTGTGGGGAAAATAGTGGATCACCTTTACTACTAGTAAACTTTGGGAATGGTCACTCGTGGAGTTTAAACTTTACCAAGAACAGCACAATGTATAGTGGGGATATACTTAATTTTACTTACAACACAAACGATTCCACATTCTTCCCGGATGCACTTAAACAAGGTATTTTCTTTGAATTTGTCTACTTTGATCTGCTGTATTAGACCTAAAAGGAAACTGCATCAATATAATTAACTTAGTAAGCAACGCTGTATCTCTGTCCTGTAACATGCATGTATCGTGCACAAGAGTAGGTTTTAAATCTGCATAAACCTAGGGCTGTTTTATATCCTGTTTGGTTTCTCCTCAACCTAATTAGTACTTGGCTATGTGTGAAGTGTTCTTTGCTTAAGTGAGAATTGTTAAATTAAAAGTGATTTTAAAACTTAAGATAAAGTAGTCGAGTTGAAAACCTTGGAGAATTTATTTTTCAGTTTGACTTTTTTGACCTTTTTAAATTTTAAAATTCCCTTTTGAATTCTGTAGAATTCTTACTTTAACCAGCATCTTGCTGACTAGACCCAAAAAGTCAAAATTGTACAATCCATGGTTCATTTCAGGTCACTGGTTATTTGGGATCGCTACATCCTACATTTGTTGAGGCGTCCTTAACAGAGCACAACTATTCTTTTGAACAAAAAGCACGAGTTGTTTAGAAACATGTTGGATGTCACTGCCCGCTGACCATGTAGGAGGGTTGTAGGGGAAACGTGATTTCTTGTTAATGCCAGGCAGACTTTTCCAAAGATCGCATTTGAGCGAAGTAATTGGTGCATAAAGTTAAACTTTGAACTAAAAACGATCAAATGAGTCTTTTAAACGTATTTAAAAAAAATAAAAATAAATAAATAAAACATTAGTGTTGTTGTCCAAACACACTTTCTTGTTTGTCTAATGCATATTTTGTAATATATTACAGGGCTCCCATGTTTAATAATAATCCTCCCCTCTTTGATTCTAGGGAAAACCATAACATCCTCTTTCTTTTCAGGTTTAAAAAGTTCCCTCACAAAGTTCCTTGATCCAGTTCTCTTAAACCGTACTTACAAATGTATGCACAATGAGATTTTAAGGTCTGAAAATGTCATCCAACTTATCTGGAATGTAACACTACAAGCGTATGTACAGAATGACACACTTGGCCAAGGTATGTGTATTTAAAGAGTGATGCTATATAGTGGTTGTAAGGGCATATTGCTGTAGATATTCTATTTCTTTCCTTCTACCCTGATCAATTTTGTATGTATTTATTTTGTTAGGTAGGAAAAGTTAACTCCATACATCCATATGTGTACTACTGCAAAATGTTACTCTCGTACTAAAAAAAGGCATTATAAATGCTCGGTATGTGCTTTTCAGTGCTTAAATTGGCATTATGTAGGTGGAAATATTGGCTTCTGCACAGTAGTCACATCCATCACCTGATCACCTTTAAACTACCATTTAGTAGCCTAGAAATAAACTTTTATTTTTTTATTTTTTGGGGGGTCATATGGTGGCAGTACTACTGAGTCTTGCTCCTCCCTGTGTACAAGACCTCTAACAAGTTATTAATGATCTAAAAGATCCTCCCTCCTTTTCCCCACCCCCCCAGGCCCCCCTTGCCCCATAAAATGGCGTACCGCAAAAACCTACCTCAGTTTCCTTTCTTGTCCCGAGAGGGAAGGACAGGACATCCACAGGGTGAGACACACGGGCTGTCTGGGGGACCTGGTCCGAGAGCTGCCCGGGCGGTATACTGAGACCATGCTCCTTAAACAGCATTACGGAGCAAGTGGAGGTTAGTTCTCTTTATGCCGAGAGTGGTTCCGGCTGTGCTTCCTGGAGGCGGAGCTTGTCCTAAGCAGACGCACAGCGGTGGAATGCACGCCCGGGTGGTGATGCGTTCCACCTAAGCTTCCGGGTGCGCTAAAACGCATGCGCAAATCGGAAGCTTAAAGGTACAGAAGGGGGGGAAAAAACAGCGAAAATTTGAATTCTGGTGTATAAATAGAGCTGTACAGTTACCCACTGACTACATGGATGCAGGTCAGAAGAGGTACGCCGTGTCACCTGCCCCCCACATGGCCCAGAGGTGTTTTGAGGTAGGATTAATGAAATCTTTACTTTAAAATATGCTCTGGAAAATTTATAGGAAATCTCAAACAATCTAAGCCTCCGTTTATTTTTTCTCGACAGATATGTCTAGCCCAGCTTATCCTGATATGGACAAGGAAAAACTGGCAACCTCCATGCCTAGAAAGGCTACGGTAAAATCAAAACCTCTAGTTTGCTGTGAATGTGCAACTCCTCTTCCAGATGGATCATGGAAGGTGTGCAGTCAGTGTACTGCAAATTCTTTGGAAAGATATAAGCAAAAAGATATGCAATCTTTCCTAACCTGGTTCCAAGAAAATCTGTCCCAGAGCTTAGACTATTAAAGAGTCTAAAAAGGTGGAATCCCCTATACAGCAAGGACATCAAAGAATCAAGAAAAGATCGTCTACATCTGAAACGTCATCCGGGAATATTTTTCCTCAATAGATTGGGTCAGATGGGTCAGGATCCTCATCAAGTGAACCAGTGGGGTTTTCTTCAGATGACATCTGTAAAGTCATAAAGGAAGTTAACCTGACAATCCTACCGGAAGGCCCTGAAAATCCTAAAGAAAGGTTTTTCTGTTCAACAAAACCTGGTAGATCTAATATTCAGGGAATGGAGAGACCCTGGGAAACATGCCTTTTTTATATCTAGACACTTTAAGGATATCTTCAGACTGGCTGGTGAAGTTATGTGGGAAGATCTCCCGAAAGTAGATGTTCAAGTGGCGCAGATTGCTAAAAAGACCACTATCCCTATAGGGGAAACTTCGGCTTTAAAGAATCCAATGGATAAAAGAGCCAAAACCTCTTGTAGGTGAGCTTACCAGACGGCCGGTTTTCAATACAGGGTTTTACTGGCAGGAGCAGCGGTTGCCAGAGCAAATGGCATTTGGTTAAACACGGTACAAGATATTATTTTTATCTTCTGACCAAGATAAAGAACTTAGTCATATGTTTCAGAACATGCGCTTGTCTAACAAATCTGTTGGATATGTCGGTAGAAGTTCTTAAGTTGGCATCCAGAATTATGGGATTGTCTTCGGTAGCAAGATGAGCCTTATGGTTAAGGTCGTGGACGGGCGGATTCTGCTTCCAAATCGGTCCTTTTGTGAGCTTCCACTAGAAAAACAATTATTTGAGGCTCCTTTAGAAGAAATTAAGCAAATGTCAGAAAACCAAAAGGGCACTTCCTCAAGATAAGTTCTCCTGGAGATCAGGTTACCGGAATTACCAGTATAAATACAGGAGATCATATCAAGAGAGACTGCATTTCTTTCAAAGAAGGGATACAAATCAAAGATTTGAACAAAGAGGTGATGTTAAAAGAACCTTCAGAGATAAAGATAGACGTTTCTGACGCCAGAAGTGTGGGAGGAAGACTCCAACAGAGTTCTAAATCTTATCCAGCACGGACACAAGATTATATTTACGGAGAAACCAAGAGCAAAACTTCTGGTATCAACTTACCAGTCTTCAAAAAGATCACAAGCCCTATTTTCTCAGACCATGCTTCTTTTGCAAAAAAGGTTGATGGAAAGAGTACCAGTAAAACAAAGATTTCAGGGAGTTTATTCAAGATTATTCCTGGTTTCAAAACCAGACCACTCTTTTCGTCCCATTCTGGATTTAAAGAACCTCAACCAGTTTATCCCTTATCAAAGATTTTGCATGGAGTCAATCGCTTCTATTTTGTCCTCTGTTACAAAGAGGCGACTTTATGGTAAAAATAGACTTGAAGGATGCTTATCTGCATGTTCCGATTGCTACCTCTTCAAGAAAATTTCTAAGATTTGCGATAAGAGGAGGATCCACTATTTATTTCCAGTTCAGGGCTATGCGGTTTGGTCTGTCATCCGCCCCAAGGATATTTGCAAAAATCTTGACTCCTCTGACAGCTCATTTGAGGGAATTGGGAATATCGATTATCCCATAACAGAAGAACAGCTGCTCAGGGACCTGCAGGTCTCTATCAGATTTCTTCAAAACCACAGCTGGATCTTAAACCTAAAGAAGTCAGTTCTTAGACTCTAAGGTTTTTTCTTTTTCTAAACACCTTAGACACACCCAGGTAATCCCCTGGTAGGGGGTCCTGAGGACTGGGTTGAGAACCCCTGCGTTACAAGCTGTGGTGGCTTAGAGGTCCCGCCCAGATGGGGATCTTGCTATATCCCTGTAGTACTGCCACCCTATGACAGAAAAAAACTGATATTTTTACTTACCGTAAATTTTTTTTTTTCTTCTTAATATGGTGGCAGTACGGCTTCCCTCCCTCTTTATTAAAGAATTTTTTTGCAGTATATTTTTGTATGTTTCTTTCTCTTGTCACATACTGGGGTAGGTTTTGAGGTATGGCATTTTATGGGTCAAGGAGGTGGATCTTTTTGATCACTAATTATTTGTTAGATGTCTTGTCCACAGGGAGGAGCAAAACCCAGTAGTACTGCCACCATATTAAGAAAAAAAGAATTTACGGTAAATAAAAATTTCTGTTTTCCTGACACATGGTGGCTGTACAATAGGGATGTACTCTTCCCTCGGGACAAGCATCTGAAATAAACATAAAAAGTTCCTCCCCTTACCAGGTATAAGAGACCAAACCAGCCCTGGGACTTCAGTTCTCTTTCTTGTTCAATCCGGAACGGACGGCATCTGGAATGAGCTGGTGAGGCACATGGGTTGCTGCCAGGGGGATCCGGTCTGATAGCCTCCAGGGTGGAGAGCTGAATGGCCAGCAAGCATCCTGCAGAATTACTGAGCAGGTATGGTAAGCCTGCTTTATGCTGTGTTCAGTCACCGGCGAAGCAGGGAGGCGGTCTCTAGTGGCAGCAAATCACTGCCCATTGGAGATGCATGCGCACGGTGGTGGAACGCGTGCCCGGATGGTTATGCGTTCCACCGGAGTTCCGACTGCGCTATGCGCATGTGCGGTCTGAACTCCCCGAAATGGCGCCAGATTTTAAACGGATCTGCCTATTTATGCTGTGCAGATCTTACTGTCAGCATGGAGCTTGACAGTGAAGGTCTCGCGTGTCACCAGCCCCCTCACACGGGTGAGAGGTTTTAGAGGTAAAGATTCTTTAGGTCTCTACTTTAAAACTCTCTATTTTTATTGTTTCTACAAATATGGTTTATTTGCTTATGTATTGCAGATATGTCTAGTCCTGTCGCTACTGATAATATGGATAAAGACAAAGTGCCTGCACCTGCTTCTAAAAAAGCCAGTTCCAAAGCTAAACCTCTCTGTTGTAGTGAATGCTCCACTCCTTTACCAGATGGTTTTAAAAGGAAAGTCTGTAATATTTGCTCCTCTTTGACGCTAGAATAATCCAAGCAACAAGAGATGAAATCTCTTTTGTCTTTGTTTCAGGATAATCTGGCCCAGTCTTTTGAGTCTTTTAAAGCGCTAAAAGGAAGAGAACACAGTCTAGTTCAGAACTATCCTCTGGTGAATGTTCTTTTTTTCTTATTCAGAATCCTCTAGCGACTCTTCTGTTACTGAGGTTGGTTTTCCTCATCATGAATTGAGAAAATTTTATTAAAGAGGTTAATGTTATCCTTTCTGATGACACGGTAGACAAATCCAAGGGTAAAGCACTTCCAGTCCAACAAAAAATGCTGGATTTGATATTTAGAGAATGGAAGAACCCTGAGAGGAGGGCTTTTGTTTCCAGACATTTTAGAAGTATTGTTAAAATAGAAGAAGATAAATGGCAAGAATTGCCGGTAGTTGATGTACAAGTGGCTCAATTGTCTAAAAAAACTACCATACCTATTGGTGAAGTTTCTGGTCTGAAAGACCCTATGGATAAGAGGGCTGAAACTTCCAGAAGAAGGGCTTATCAGGCTGCAGGTTTTCAGGCTAAAGCAGCATTAGTCGGGGCTTCAGTGGTGAGAGTTTAGAATCTTTGGCTTAACACTTTGGAAGATGGCCTGGGTGATAACTAAGACAAAGGCCTTTCCCTCCTGTTCCAAAATTTAAGGTTGTCTGAGTACCTTATGGATATTATCACGGAGGTGATTAAGCTTTCTGCTCATGTCATGGGTTTGTCATCTGTGGCCCAAAGCCTGGACCGCAGACACTGCATCAAAATCTGCATTATGTGAACTGCCGTTGGAAAAGAAAAAGTTGTTTTGGTTCTCCTTTTAGAAGAGTTAATCTGACAGATGTCAGCAACCAAGAAGGCCCTGCCTCAAGACAGCAAATATGCTTGGAAACCCAGGTATAGAAACTTCCAGTTCAAAAACCGTAGGAGCTTTCAAGAAAAACCCACTTTTTTTTTTTGTCAACAAAGGAAATATCCAAGATTTGACACACAAAAAGACCCTATGTCTGACAGAAACAAACGTTTCTGACTCCATCAGAGTGGGCAGAAGGTTGCAAGGTTTTGTTCACAGATGGAGGGAGACCACTACAAATCCATGGATTCTCAATCTGGTGCAAAATGGATACTGAATAAAATTCTTAGATGTTCCAAGACCGTGTTTCCTTGTCTCATCCTACCGCTCGAAGTTAAAAAACCAAGCCCTTTTTTCTGCCACAATCTCCCTATTAAGAAAAGGTGTGGTAGAAAGGATTCCAACTTCCCAAGTATATCAAGGGGTATACTCCAGGTTGTTCCTAGTCCCAAAACCGGACATGTCTTTTCGTCCACTCTTGGATCTAAAAACCTGAACAAACACCTTCCTTACCAACATTTCAGAATGGAGACTATAGTGTCTGTCACTCATATCCTTCGAAAAGGAGATTTCATGGCAACTTTGGATCTAAAGGATGCCTACCTGCATATTCCTATGGATGTGAAATCAAGAAAATACCTGAGGTTTGCTATAAGGAAAGGGGAAAAATGTCCATTTCCAATTCAGAGCCCTTCCATTCGGGCTAGCTTCAGCACCCAGGATTTTTACAAAGGTCATCACACCTGTCACAGCTTTTTTGAGGATACAAGGAATCACAGTAGTACCTTACTTGGACGATTAATAAAGGCAGATTCAAGAGGCGCTCTAGAATCCGAAGAACATGGTTGGATTATCAACCTAGAAAAATCACACCTTACCCCTACAAGGTCTATCCTGTTTCTAGGGTTTTTGATCAAGTCAGATACTGTCAGTTCATCTGACAAGAGAAATGATAAAGATATTTTTAATTAAAAAAAAAAGTTTGGTGAAAGCCATGCAGGTTTTAGGTCATCTGACCTCTACAATCCCGGCAGTAAAATGGGCCAGAGCAGAATAAAGGCCCTTACAGTGGGAAATTCTTGTCCAATGGTCAAAGAAGGAAGAAGACTTGGATGCATTAATTAGTGTATCCGATCATACAAAAGGGAAAAACTCTCTTGGTGGCTAGAGGAAAAATTCATTACAGAAGGCATGTCTTTTCAAAAATCTGTAGATCGTGATTTCTACAGACGCTTCAAATACAGGTGGGGAGCTCACCTCTTGTATCACTTAAGACAAGGTGTTTGGTCAAAAAAGGAAACCAAGGAATCTTCAAATTTCAAGGTGTTGTTGGCAGTACTCTACGCTTTTCAGCAGTTCAAGGATTTCATTGTAGGAAAAGCTGTAAAAATGAACAAAAAAGGCGGTACAGGAGTAAAAAATTGTATTTCCTTTGCTCACGGATTATGTCCTGGGCTCAATGTCATCTAGACGTAATTTCCGCCATTCACATTCAAGGGGTAGACAACGTGGTAGCGGACGATTTAAGCAGATCATAAAATGGTCCCAGAACGAGTGGTCTCTCAATCCAGAAATTTTCGCTCATCTGGTGAAGAGATTCGGTTTTCCAGTCATAAACCTTATGGCAAGAAGATCAAATGCAAAAGTAAGATGGTAATGGATGGTCTTTTGATCCGGTGGGAGTTTCCCCCTTGCTTGGTTTTTTTGTTTTTTTGTTTTTCTCAGTAAGCCTTGTCCCAAGGATTCTGCAAAAGGTAACATCAGATCAAGCTCATATTCTGGCCATAATACCGTACAGGCCAAACCGCAACTGGTTCTCGGTTTTAAAGAAGATGGCTTTAAAGTACTGGATTCTCCCGGTAACACCGGATCTTCTGCAAAACGAGGGAATTCCAGTAGGAGTATTGAACATGTTCAGGTTGACCGCTTGGCTGCTGCACAGCTAGTTCTGCATAATAGGGGCATTAAAGAATAGGTTTCAGTTACTGTTAAATTCTACCAGAAGCTCTACTTCTTCTATCTACTTAAAAATTTGGATGAGATTTCTGAACTGGTGCATATCTCATCGTTGCATAGGATCTTCTCCTTCTACTGATACTATCCTTCCCTTTTTTTTTTTTTTTTTTTTGCAAGATGGTCTTAAAATATATATATATATATATATATATATATATATATATTATCTATATCTCTATATATATATATATCTCTATATCTATCGCAATCTAAACTGGTTACTATAGATACAAATTACCACAAGTACTTATTCTGAGATTTTATTTAATCACTATGGTACAAAGCACAAAAGAACTCTATTATACAAGAGTGGTCAATACAAGCAGTTATATACAGTTGCAAGAAGTGTGTGTGAACCCTTTTGGAATTATATGGATTTCTGCACAAATTGGTCATAAAATGTGATCTGATCATCATCTAAGTCACAACAATATACAATCACAGTATGCTTAAACTAATAACACACAAAGAATGAAATGTTGCCATGTTTTTATTGAACACACCATGTAAACATTCACAGTGCAGGTGGAAAAAGTATTTGAACCCCTAGACTAATGGCATCTCCAAGAGGTAATTGGAGTGAGATGTCAGCCGATTGGAGGTGTTGGTTACAGCTACCCTGCCCTATTAAAAAAAAAATAAAACACAAAAAAACACACACACACACACAAGTTCTGGGTTTGCTTTTACACAAGAAGCATTGCCTGATGTGAATGATGCCTCGCACAAAAGTGCTCTCAGAAGACCTAGGATTAAGAATTGTTGCCTTGCATAAAGCTGGAAAGGGTTATAAAAGTATCTCCAAAAGCCTTGCTGTTAATCAGTCCACGGTGAGACAAATTGTCTATAAAAGGAGAAAGTTCAGCACTGCTGCTACTCTTCCTAGGAGTGGCCGTCCTGTAAAGATGACTGCAAGAGCACAGCGCAGACTGCTCAATGAGGTGAAGAAGAATCCTAGTGTCAGCTAAAGACTTCCAAAAGTCACTGGCAAATGCTAACATCCCTGTTAGCGAATCTACAATATGTAAAACACTAAACAAGAATGGATTTCATGGGAGGATACTCCAGAGGAAGCCACTGCTGTCCAAACAAAACATTGCTGCACGTTTACAGTTTGCACAAGAGCACCTGGATGTTCCATAGCAGTACTGGCAAAATATTCTATGGACAGATGAAACCAATGTTGAGTTGTTTGGAAGAAACACACAACACTATGTGGGGGGAAAAAAAAGGCACAGCACACCAAATCAAACCTCATCCCAACTGTGAAGTATGGTGGTGGGGGCATCATGGTTTGGGGCAGCTTTGCTGCGTCAGGGCCTGGACGGATTGCTATCATCGAAGGAAAAATGAATTCCCAAGTTTATCAAGACATTTTGCAGGAGAACTTAAGGTCATCTGTCTACCAGCTGAAGCTCAACAGAAGATGGGTGTTGCAACAGGACAACGACCCAAAGCATAAAAGTAAACAGAATGGCTTAAACAGAAGAAAAATACACCTTCTGAAGTGGCCCAGTCAGAGTCCTGACCTTAACCCGATTTGAGATGCTGTGGCATGACCTCAAGAAAGCGATTCACACCAGACATCCCAAGAATATTGCTGGACTGAAACAGTTTTGTAAAGAGGAATGGTCAAGAATTACTCCTGACCATTGTGCACGTCTGATCTGCAACTACAGGAAACGTTTGGTTGAAGTTATTGCTGCCAAAGGAGGTTCAACCAGTTATTAAATCCAAGGGTTCACATACTTTTTTTTTTTTCCACCTGCACTGTGAATGTTTACATGGTGTGTTCAATAAAAACATGGCAACATTTCATTCTTTGTGTGTTATTAGTTTAAGCAGACTGTGATTGTCTATGGTTGTGACTTAGATGATGATCAGATCACATTTTATGACCAATTTGTGCAGAAATCTATATAATTCCAAAGGGTTCACATACTTTTTCTTGCAACTGTATATCACAGCCACCTTGACTTCGAGGGGCATCGAAGGGACTGCCGGTCTGTGGGGTGCTCAGGTTGTGCGCTCGGGACCAGATAGAGACCCCACGCCTAGGTTGAAAACCTCACAGCTACTTCCTACAAGAGGACGAATGGTTCCAAGTATACAGCCTGCAGGGCACAGAGAGGAGTCTTTCCTTTGACTAGTGATTGGATACACTTCAGAACCATAACACTTCAACCTTTAAAGGACTAACACTGACCAGCATATTGGTGAGATCTTTCCACACTTCAATAGGACATTGAGTAATATCTTTTTGGTGTGTACACATTAGGACGTTTTTATATCATTGGTCTCCTCCTGGTTAGGAAGCAATTTGATCCTGAGTCTACAGTGGGCTATCAGCCATATAGTGCAATTAAGCACCAAAACTACTGACACTGTCAAAATAATTCTTTTTTGGGGATTTGTTTAGCTATATTTGGTGTGTCTAGGATAATTACAGTGCTCAGGCTGCGCGCTCGGCACCCGATAGTCCCTTCGATGGACCTCGAAGTCAAGGTGGCTGTGATATAGATATCTATCTTTCTCTCTATTGCTTGAATTGACCACTCTTATGTAATAGTTCTTTTGTGCTATCTAGCATAGTGATTAAATAAAATCTCAGAATAAGTACTTGTGGTAATTTGTATCTATACTAACCAGTTTAGAGTGCGGTATCATATGTTTGTATATATGTATCTCTGGTATTCGGAGTGGGCTACCTGGATACCAGCACCTATTTTGAGTAGCAGAGTGCCTGTACACAGCTCTGATTTTTATTTTTTAAAGCTGTAAGACTCGTAAATCCTCCTAAGAAAATCTGTTTTCCCTCTTGGGATTTGTCTTTAGTTTTGAGATCTGTGTACTCAGCCTTTCGAGCCTTTAGAAGAAGCTTCATTTAAGAATATGTCCCTGAAGACCGTGTTTTTTGTGGCCATTATTTCGGCTAAGAGAATAGGGGAACTCCAGGCCCTTTCTTCCTCTCCTGACTTTACAAAATTTCTTCTGAATAAAGTGGTTATGTACCCTTCTTCTGAAAGTCATCTCCTCCAAGGTTATCAACCAACCTATTTTTCTTCCTTCCTTTTAATGGTCAATCAATGCCAGATTGGGAATTTGATTGGAGCCAACTAGATGTTGGTAGGTCTCTGAAAATCTACTTGGACCGCTCCTCTCTGTATAGGATGACTGATCATCTATTCGTGAATTTCTTTGGAAAATTTTAAAGGCCAAGTTGCCTCCAAGAACACTTGGGCAAGATGGCTGGTGGATACTATTAAATTGGCTTATTCTACTTTGAATCTAAATCTGCCTGCCTCCTTAAAAGCACATTCTACTAGAGCCATGGCTGCCTCTTGGGCCGAAAAAGCGTGTGACTCTCCGGAAGATATAAACAAGGCGGCTACCTGGTCTTCTTTCAACACTTTTTTGTCAAACATTACAGGCTAGACGTATTCTCTGACGCTGATTTTGGGCACAAGGTGTTACAAGCTGTTATTGCCTAAATTCTCACCCTTAGTCTGGGATCTCGATATATACCTATTGTACTGCCACCATATGTCAGGAAAAACTGTAATTTTACTCACCGTAAATTCCTTTTTTCCTTAATATGGTGGCAGTACATCAATCCTTCTGTGTGTGTGTGTGTATATATGTGTATATGTGTATGTATATATGTATGTATATATATGTGTGTGTGTGTGTGTGTGTGTGTATATATATATATATATATATTTTTTTTTGGGTGTTCTATGGATTCACTGAAGTGTTCTTGGTACGTACTCCGGTCCCAGGGCTGGTGTGGTCTCTTATACCTGGTAAGGGGAGGAAATTTTTTTGTTAATTATTTCAGATGCTTGTCCTGAGGGAAGAGTACATCCCTATTGTACTGCCACCATATTAAGAAAAAAGGCATTTACGGTGAGTAAAAATTATTATTATTTTTTTTTTTTTTTTTATTGTATTACTTATATTGTTTTAGGTTATGTATGGCTCACTTGTATCTAGTTCTGTCACAATTTATTGTGCTTTAAAGTGAACCTGTTGTGGCACGTTAACATTGATCAGCTTTGAATGCAATGAATACATAATTGTCAGAACGATTATATAAAATGGCTTTATGTATCTCATCTGAATGATCTGTAACTCTATCACCATACTTCTCTAGCAAGAACAAGGCACGCTTGCTTGAAAAAGCAATCCTCGCAGGTACAATGTGTGCAATGTAGTTGCTGTGATTGAGGAAGAGCATAATCGTTAGTAAGCTCTTTTGTTCCTCTTGTCACTCAGTCCATGGTATAGGCCTCAGTGTTGAGCATTGTTTTTTATTTTATATTTATTTTTTTTTCTCCTGAAACGTTTTTGTAATCTATAAAGTTCCTAGCACAGTTTATACATGCATTATCTTTATGTGATGTTAATTTTCCAGCTAAAAGTTGGTTGCGATGATTATCTAAAGTTAATTTTATAGAAGGATAAAGACTAATTTTTGAGCTGCCTTGAATCTTGCACGAATATCCTGATCAGTTGTATGTGGCGTAAATGTTACTGGAGGTGTGTGGGACACTAGGCACTAAAACATTAGCTAATGAAGCCATTTTTGTGTATAGATCATGCCCCTGCAGTCGCACTGTTTAGGCACAGGAGGGAGAGGGACTATGGAGGGTTTAGGAGGTGAGACAATAAAAGGCACAGGAGGGCTGGGTGGCACAAAAACATATGGGGGTCGAGGGGGAGAAAGATGCACAAAGGGGCTGGAGGAGAGAGAAAGATGCACATGAGAGAAAATACAGCAAAGGGGGGGGCAATCCATAAAAAGATGGGATATAAAACATAAAGGGGGTAATTTAGTCAAAAGGTGGGTTAGAAGAGACACAGGTTTTGTTTTTGGTTTTTTTGCTCGTGGGGAGGGGGTGGCAAAATGCATCTTCGTCAAAAATCGTTGCCCTGGCTGGTTGTAAAGTATGTGTGGTTGCTGAAGGTTTTTCTTTTAATCCCTTTCCAAGCCTACTGCACACTTCTGTGTGATGGTACTGCCTGAGTTAATGTGGTGGTTTTTTTTTTTTTTTTCTTTTCAGAAATCACATGTGATGCTGATAAACCAGTAGTACCTACACCAACTCCGCCTGCACCAACTCCGAAACCAGTGGATAAACCATCAGTTGGTAATTATGTTGTTTCTGACGACACTGGGAAATGTCTCCTGGCTTCTCTGGCTCTGCAGGTCAACGCGTCCCTGACCATAGAAGGCAAGGTAAGTTTTGTCAATATTTTGGAATATTCCATGTTTGTTCAGGTCAAAGACTTGTTATGTGAAAAGGGAGCAAGAGTTACCGGTCACCCCCACCCCCTTTCGATGAACTTTTAATGTTCCACCATGTGATTAAAATCTAGTCCTAACAGTGTTTTTTGAGAAATGCTAATAAAGTTTCGAAGCATGTATTAACTAAAGAACTAGCTCCATGCATAGTGTACATTTGGACAATAGCAAATATTAAGCACAAGTTTAGTGGTCAGTTTCTATCAACAGCCATTCATTCCTCCTTAATGGGTCACTCTGTGCACCCAAAAACGTTGTCCCCTTTGTGCCTCCCTGATTAATGTCCAAGTAAACCTGGACATTACACCTTACACCAGAGCTTACGCCATGTCTGTTACTTCTCATTAAGAAAAGGAGTGAATAGGGTACATATCTTTTTAGCTGCTTCTAAAATGTCATGAAGCTCAAGTAGCAGGTGGCCAAAAAAAACCAAAACCCTGAGGCTCTTTTGTCATAAGATTCCCTCCTTTATGGGCTTTTCAAACCTAAACCAAAACAAGATCGATTGTAGCTTGACTAGAGAATTGGTCTAAAATGTTAGTCTCTTTGAATTCCTGACAAGTCTTAAGTTTTTATTTTTTTTTCTTATCAAAGTGGTATTTTTGTTTTTTAATTATTTGCTTTTCCCCCCTCCTCTGTAGAATGTATCGGTGTTGTATAACTTGAACCCAAACACTACAAGCAGCACTGGAACCTGTGGTAACGATACTGCTACTCTAAGACTCAACGATACCAAGGTCGCAATTGAATTTGATTTTGCAATTGTGAGTAACTACAATTGGTCCAACTCTTTGTAGAATATGTTTTTTATATTATTGGTTATTTGGGCTGCTGAATAAAACATTTAGCATACAAAAAAGTGCACATATTCTTGACTTGTATACTAAACTGTACTTTAAAAGGAATCCAGGACACCCTAACTGGCTCCCTTTTTTTTTTTTTTGCATACGTTATGGTACAAATCGCCCTGTCTTCCTTTATCAACTTAATATATATAGTCAGTGACCTCTTTAAAGGAACTCTTTTTAAGCACAGCAACCCTAAAGGTTTTTGAAAGGAGCACCCTGGCTCCCTCAGAGTATGTAGTCAATAGTTTGAATGGTTTAACAACTTATCTCTGGTACAGCAAATGTGCTGCTGGACCACTTTGTCAATGAGCCAGCAGATCAGTAGAACTAATGGAAGCTACTTGCTCCCTCTGGTAGCAGTGGAGTTGGGGACCCAGGTAAGTTGAGCAGTTTGACTGCTTACTCTAGGAGGGTGCCAGGACACTCATGGCACTATAAACACAACATTGGGTTGTAGAGGTTATGGCTCTTGTAATGTTCCATTTAATCTAGGCAACGGAATTAACGATCAAAAATGAACAGCAAGATGCATGGGTGTTATTCTCTTTGTAAAAGGCAGGCTAAAATGTATAACGCACATGGTCTCCAGAATTCTATTAATATTTCAACATCCGATAACTTTAGTGATTGTTGTCATCCAGTTTTGTTTAAGTGTTCTCTTGTATGGTTTCAACAGAAAAAGAACAATTTTTATCTGCAAGAAGTTAATCTCACGCTGGAAAATGAGTTTGGTGAGTTTCATGTTGTGTTCATGCAGTGATAATCCTTGATTATATGCTAACAGACACTAGCAGTGTGTATGTATTAAAAATACATTTTTATAGAGATCCAAAATCAAATCAATGCTGCTGCACTTCTGGAGCAAAATACCCATTTAGAGTGCTTTAAATATTGCACCCAATATCGCCAGAGGTACTTGCCACGTGCTGCACTCCAGCCAAAGGATATCTGACCATTACGAGCGTGCTCACTGGACTTGGAAATTCAGAAAGTTAATTTTTAAAATAAAATTTATTTTATTTACAAAAAAGCACATATACAGGGCATTGTTTCAGTTGTAGTGTGGGTATTACAATCCACTGTTGTATATTTGATAAGTCATAGCTCACCTTTTAAGGTGCAAATAGAGCATTTTGAAAAAATATGGTGGTTGGGCACAATGGTACAATACACATCTCCTGGAGTGTCACTTGTTGCAGATCCGTTAAGCTAAATGCGACGGTCTCCTTCTGGGATCAGTGGCCTGAGTAATGTGGTGGTTGGTTTATTTATTCCTTTTTCTGGCTCTTCATTTGCCATGAGCAGACATCAGCATTCTACTCTCCTGCGTGCCAGGGCACAAAACTGATATCTATGGTGGATGCCACAAGATTCTTTGTCATTCTAATGGTGTAGGAACCTCAATAGACAGCCATTTAATTTTCTCTTCAGCTGTCACTAGTGACGGCTGAGGGCTTTACAGCAATCGTTTGACCCCTTTGTCAAGAGTAGGAAAAAATGTAAGGCAAAGTAGTCCATAGCTTTAATTTTAAAAAAATAAATAAATTAAAAAATGTTTACTGCATGGTACAATATGTTTCGGCTTTTGATGGCTTTGCGTATTGTTTCAGGAGCATTGTCAGGAGCGATACAAAATCAGAGTTTCTGGGAGGCTTCTGTAGGAAGTTCATATTTGTGCCACAAAGAGCAGGTTATTTCCGTGTCGGGAAACCTGCATATTAACATGTTTGATGTGAGGGTCCAGCCTTTTGGAGTACATAATGGAACATATGCAACAGGTAAGACTTATTCTGCTTCGTGTACTACTTATTCAACTCTTATGCAGCCAGCAATCTCTATACAGCATTTATTTTGCTTGTAACTTCAAAATGGCGTGAGTTCATCTGCTGTACTTGACCACATCTGTCAGAGTAACAACCACTCTGGCAGGGCGCCCAATAGGTAGATCCCCAGATGTTGTAGAACTACAGCTTCCTTGATGCCTTGTCATTTTAAAGCATCATGGGAGTTGTAGTTCTAAAATATCTGGGGATCTACCGATTGTGCAGCCTTGCACTAGAGACATTAAACCCTTAAATGCAAACAATGTTTTATACTTTAGGGTTAAACGAGCGGTACATGGCACCCAGAACACATCACTGAGATGAGGGGATTTGGGTGCCAGTAGTGCCCCTTTAAATGACCTGTGTAAAGCAAGTCTTTACATCTGTTACAAGAGCACATAACAGCTGATTGTTACTTACACTGTCCCAACTATAGGGAGTTGGCAATGTATTCCTCTTAAAATGTCCAAAATATTAATCAGAAATCACAGCTTAAGAATCGGTAAATGACTTCATACATTTGAAGAAGTTATTTAAATGTGTTCAAATTCTTTGTAGAGATTTCATTATTTTTGAAATTATTTTTTTTTCTTTTTAAATTTTTTATTCCTTCATCGTATTTTTATTTATTTTTATATATATATATTTTTTTTTATTTGTCTTCACCTACAGCTGATGAATGCTCACTCGACGGTGACTCCCTTCTAATTCCAATCGTAGTTGGTGCTGCACTTGCAGGCTTAATTGTCATTATTGTGATTGCATACTTAATTGGTAGAAGAAAAAGCTATGCTGGATATCAAACACTATAATGGGCCTCCATTTTGAACTAATTTGCACTTTTTATTTAAAATCTATTTTTTTTTTTTCTTGAAATTTCATCAGTTCATTCTTTTGTGTGTTTTTATGTTTAGTCTGTCATTTTCCATTGTTCTGGAAGCTTAAATAAAGGGGGAGGGGGGATAAAACTGCCCACAAGACTGTTATGTGACCAAATGGTAAAATACTAATATACTGGTGATCTTTAATCCTTGGTTTTAGTCTTTTTCATTTTGTTAACTTTTAGTAATTTCTTTCAACACCAATGCTGCTAGAGTTCTGACATATTAAAGGGAATGGACACTTAATTGCTGCCACCATCAGATATTTTGCACAGACTTCTCAGCTACCTAAAATGTAAGGGAGTGTAACTGCAACTCTGTCAGGACAAGCAAAATCTGCTAGGGCTACACTAAAGCTTTTAGATCAGGGGTGTCCAAAAGGTAGATTATGTCCCTCTCCCTCCAGATGTGTTTAAAACTATAGCTTCAATGATGCTTGGCCATGCTAAAGGCATGCAAAGACTCATGGGAGTTGCAGTTCTAAAACCTCTACCTTTTGGGCAACCCAGTTATAAATAACTTGGAACTTGAATACCGCAAGTATTGCTTCTGATGTCGTCATGATGGCATTTGCAGTGACTGTTTGTGTACATGCAGTGTAAACCGTATTTTGCCATATAGAGTACAGTTATTAAAATTTATCACTTGTAAAGGAATTTTTAATATCAACTTTTCCTAGTAAAGTGGTTGCTGCACATTCACTTTTGTACAAAGGGCTAATATTGCTACTGTTGCAATCTGGGTTTTGAAAGCTTGGACTGAAGGTTAGTTTTGATTGGCATATCACACTCCATACACTGAAACCCGTACTACCCTTCCATATTGATTTGCTAGCTACACCACTTTAAAGCAGTATAGTCTGGTATGTGTCTTAATCCAGTGATAACTTTACCTTGGACTTTGTATAATTTAGATATCACCAGTAAAGCAATACAAAGCCTGCTTGAGTAGATCCTCTAGCATACAGTGCCCGTCTGATAGTTTTAAAGGTTTTCTTGCTTTGTGAATGTGCATTAGCCACGTGAATGCCAGGAAAGCATGTTGTGGCACTCTGTAGTTTTAAGACTACTGGGCAAATTTCTAACCATGTATTTTGAAAATTTTGCACGAATATGAAAGTGGGCAAGGTGTTTAACACAGTGAATGCTTGTTGAGGGGGTAGAAAACTAAAATCCATTGTTTACCCTCATATTTAAATCTTTTTGGTTTTGTATGTTTTCTTTTTGTGGACTAATTAAACATTCAAGTGTCTTTATCAAATTATCTTAAAATAAATCAATTGGAACCAAATATGGCGTCCTGTTTTATCCAATTCCAGGTTTCTTTTTCTACCCTCTTGTTTCTCACAAACCCAAAATTAAAGGGATACTATAGTCCCCTTAACAACTTTAGCTTAATGAAGCAGTTTTGGTGTATAGAACATGCCCCTGCAGCCTCACTGCTCAATTCTCTGCCATTTAGGAGTTAAATCCCTTTGTTTATGAACCCCAGTCACACCTCCCTGCATGTGATTTGCACAGCCCTCCATAAACACTTCCTGTAAAGAGAGCCCTATTTAGGCTTTCTTTATTGCAAGTTCTGTTTAATTATGATTTTCTTATCCCCTGCTATGTTAATAGCTTGCTAGACCCTGCAATAGCTTCCTGTATGTGATTAAAGTTCAATTTAGAGATTGAGATACAATTATTTAAGGTAAATTACATGTGTTTGAAAGTGAAACCATTTTTTTTTTTTTTTTCATGCAGACTTTGTTTCTGCCCTTGCCACACCTCCCCTGGCTATGATTGACAAAGTGATTTAACTCCTAAATGACAGTGAATTGAGCAGGGGAATGATCTATACACTAAAACTGTTTTATTAAGATAAAGTAATTTAGGTGACTATAGTGTTCCTTTTAAGCTAAAATTCTACATTTTAGAAACTGATGGAAATTAACAAAAAGAAAACACTGCGCTACTTGCGTCTTTAGCTTTCGTCTGCACTCTTACAGAAATCTGCTTATTTTGTTTGAAAAACCTGTTTGTGGCTTTTTTTTTTTGTGTCTCCATTTGTCAGGTTGGTGTTCTGTTTGACTTAGACCTCCCCTTTACCTCCTCATGTCCAGTCGATTGCCAAATCCTGCCACTTCTATCTCAAATACATAGCATGTATCCACCCCTATTTAATTCTGGACGCGGCTAATGTGCTGGTCCATGCCGTTGTCCTCTCTTGCCTTGACTACGGCAGACCACTTCTCAGTGGTTTTACGTGGCCTCAACTTGCCCCGTTATAGTCTATAATGAATGTGGCAGCAAGGCTCATTTTCCTTTCTGTCCGCACCTTTCACTCCTCTGTTAGTCCTTACATTGGCTTCATATAGGATTAAATGTAAGATTCTGGTACTTGTTTACAAGTGTCTACATAATGCTGCTCCAATCTATCTGTCCTCACTAATATAAGTGTTCAATGTAAGTCCCTACACTCTGCTGAAGACCTACTTCTATCCACTGTCTGCACTACCACCTCTGCTTGCCTTCAAAGCTTCTCTAGAGCTGCACCTTTCCTGTGGAACTCCATTCCCTTCTCTGGTAGACTTTCACCCAGTCTCTATTCCTTTATAATAACAAAGAAAGATATTGAAAATTCACTTCTTCAGGAAAGCGTATCAATTAAACTGTTAACATCTTTTGTTTGCTGCAGCCTGATTCCTCTGTCAACAAAAAATAATTCACTAAGCCCTCCGTGGATACTATTCTAGCAACCTACTCTTCTACCCTTATCTATTGTGTCCCTTTACCCCACTCCCTCTAACATGTAAATTCATTGAGCAGGACCCTCAACTCCTCGTTTGGTTACATATGTGTCTATTAGTCCACCCACTGGGCAGTACTGTGGGATTTGTTGGTAGATTATAAAGCGTCAAAATATTAAAACTGGCGACTGGCCAATTTGCACAACTGGCAAAGCCAAATGCAGTCACGAGTCGGTCCGACTGACTTTGTAAAATTTTGCTTGGATGCATTTGGAAAATCAGTAATCTGCTAATCAAACCAATTCCAATGATAATGGAGGTTCCCACCCTCTCCCCCTCCTTTTTATTTGTTCAAATTCTTCTGCTTGCCCTTACATAGGCTTACCCGCGCTATAACAACTATTGCAAAGTGTGGGGACATTTTGCACAATTTGCAATATGACCAGGAATGTTCTTGTTGGTTGTCCAGTAAACCAACCAATCCGAACATTCTGACAGCAGAGTCTCTAGAGGTATAGGACTTGGTAAAATATTTAATGGCTATTCTTGTATTACAATCTATGTTCACTTTTTTGGGCATTGTGTACACAACTCATTCAAATGTATTTATGGGTTTTCTTAAGAATGCGTACTTTATCATGGGCTCTAACACAAATGTTCGTTTAATTTGGAAATATCTAACAAGGAAACAATTTGATCTAGGGCTCACCTGGCACCATGAGCATTAAAAAAAAAACTATATATTCAAATTGGTGTCTGTTTTTATATAGGCTTGCAGAGTAATTTTCAACATTTTAGTTTGTTTTGTTGCCACTTTTTTTGTTTGTGTTTTTTTTTTTTTTTCTCCCCTTTGTTTTATTTTTATCTCCACTTGTAGCTGAAGATTGCTTTGTAGATCAGGACTTCACTGTACCAATAGTCGTGGGAGCCGCATTGGGAGCATTAATAATCATAGTGACGGTGGCCTATTTCATTGGTCGCAAGAGACGACAGTCAGCTGGATATGAACATTTTTCCTAGACATTTGTCCTACAGAGTTTGAAATATTTTTGTGCAATACAAAGAAACATTTGCAAAGTAACTGCATATTTAAACTTATTTTTTTTTAAAATATTTAATCTAGTATCTTTTGAATGGTCCTGATTATATTTCACATGTTGACTTGAGATCTAAAATTTTAACTTGTATCAACCTGCTATATAAAGTAAATCTAACCCATTTACACATTCCAGTGTTTTATCTTAAAACCGCATTGAGGGGAAACAATAAAATCACCATTCTTCTACTTTATGAAAGTTGGTGTGGTTTTTATTTTATGAATTGTTTTTGACTCTTGATTTCTAAAGCACTCTATTTGTACTATTGTCTAGTTAGTATCTAGTATAATCAACAATCTCCAATCTTGGCAGAGCACTTTGATTAAACCCCACCACCCACCACCAACTGTTTTCTATGAAGGCAGATTTTGAAAGGACTTTTTACACACACACACAAAAAAAAAAAAAAAAAAAAATTCCGATACAATGGTGGCATGCAGGGCCGGCCTTAGGCTTTTAGGTGCCCTGTGCAAAAAACCTTCACAGCGCCCCTGCACCCCCGTCATCCATGTATAGTGTGTGTGTGTGTGTGTGCGCACGCTTAGGAGTGTAGTGATTTTATAGGGGATTTATTAAATTAATGTTTTAAAAACATTCATATTCATTACTCCTTTCCTGTTACCTAGTTGGGAGAGGGGCATGCTGATCTGTATCTGGTCTGACCCGCCACTGGGTACAGACCATGCGTAACTGTCTTGCAAGCTCAGGGACTTGCAGCGTCCTTTGGTAATCTGCGGCATTGCTCTGATTATCCCGAGCTAGGAAAACAGCTACTTATGGTCTGCTGCCAACAGAAGTGCAGGCCAGAAGTGCCAGACTGCCTCCCCTACATTACAGAGAAGCAGACTAAGTATGTTACATAGTAATGTGAGTGGTTTTGCTTTGGAGCTCTGGATTATACTTATTTACCTTAACCTCTTTGGAATAAAAAAGAATGGCAACTGTTGCCAGAGCATTGACTTAAGTTTTGCACTGAATTCATATTTGACAGCTCGGAAGAGAATTCTGGGCTGCCCAAGTCTCGTGCAAATAGCCCCGGCACAAACTTGGTTGTAACTCTGGACGTGCAGTTTTTTTTTTTTTTGAGAAATGTTGCACATACATACTCATGACACTTTCAGATCATTGAAGTTGTCATGGTGGTTGATATTCAAAGCAGATTAGCATAGCGATGGACACCAACGCAGTGGATTAAATCTTTTATGTCCTAAGCATTCGATTGCTGTATTGCTGTGATTGTTGAGCATGTGCTTGTATGTGCAAAGAATGTAAACCTTCATCCGTAAGGGACCACGCTACAGAGAGGATATGAGTGTTTGTTTAAATCTTTTACTCCAGTTTTGTAGTTTCAATTTTATTTTTTTGATAGTGTTCCTTTAATGTATCATGTAATGCAGCAAAACACCATGTTCTTGAAAAGCAGGAAACAAAGGCTTGTTTTATGTGCAGATGAGTTGACTTTCACAGACCTAGGACAAGGATATACACAGGATGTTTTTTCTCTGGGTACATATGATAGCTATTAATTGTGGGGTTGAGCTTAGAAACGTTATAAAGTGTTCTAGGTGACGGGGGGTATAGGGACTTGATGGAATGGAAAGCCGCTATGGTAAGGAGTAAGATAAAATGCACCAGGTTACCACATATCACCATTTTATTTTATACATTGCATTACATTTAATGAAACTTGCCTGAGAAAGTGACTAAACTGCAAATAGTGCTGCCTGCCACTCAGAATGATCTTGGATGTATAGTGCGCATGGGAAAGAAAAGTTCTTTACATAACTTACTGTACATTTACTGAATGTTGATGGCTTGCTCTCTTCATGGTTTTCTTGCTTTTTTCCCCCCCCTCTCTCTAAACAGCTGAAGAATGCTTTGCTGACTCTGATCTCAACTTTCTCATTCCCATCGCAGTTGGGGCGGTGCTTTTATTTCTTATAATACTTGTTCTTATCTCCTATTTAATTGGACGAAAAAAGAGTCGCACGGGCTATCAATCTGTTTAACATCTTAACTATTCTATATTACCTTTCTACGATCTCTGCTACAACGAATTCTTGTACAGCACTGGCTGCTCCATATACCGTGAAATTTAAAACCTTTAACTCTGAACAACAAGTTGGTGCACAGTACAATGACTTTGATCCTGGTTATAGGATATTTTATTTTGTAAGTCTTACAGTGGTGATGGACACTGGGCTTTTGTCTGGTGCTGCAAAAACCTGTTAAAGGAACACTTTAGTGCTGTGAATGCAGGTTTGTATTCCTAACACTAGACTATATATGCCCTCCCTATGCAGGTGTCCACGCTCCCATGCAGGGGTTTAAAAGGTTTTTGAAATTTCCTTATCAAACTATTTTAACAAACTCTTAAATACAAAACACTGGCAGGTTATTTACTGAAGTGAGAATTCCAAGTTAAGGCTAGAGTATAGTGAAATGGAAGACATAGGTTCCAAGTTGTCGATTTTGACCTTAAGTTTGAGATTTACTCCGATATCATCGAGGTTATTCACTCAAGTTAGAATTCAATTTGGGAGGAGAGGGAGAGCACTTCTGGCACCTAAACTACTACATAGTTGTAGTGGTCTGTGGTGCTTGGAGTCTTAGTTTTATTGCCCTATTTTTAAGTATCTAAGGTTGACGGGATGTGGTTCTGTTTTTATTTGGGGGGGTTGGGGTTTAAGGGACAGCTCCCTGAATAAGACAGCTGTTTTGTCACTGCAAATGTTGCTAAATATGTTGAGGTGAGATTACATGTTAAAAGGAACACTCTGGGAACCAACAACTGATTGGTATGTATTGGCATCATAGTCATGCTGTGGTTTTCTCCATGTTTAAAAAAAAAAAACACAACATATTATTTATATATATATATATATATATATATATATATATATATATATATATATATATATATATATATATATATATATATATATATATATATATATAATCTCCAACAAGATATCAGCAGTTATTTATATTTTAATTACATTAAAAGCTATACTGGTGACAGAGAGAGAAAAACAATATCCCAGACATCCACTCAAATGGAGATGGGTGTATAAGAATTAGTACAACCTGAAATAGATAAGTAGCCAAAAAATAAACCTTTATCTCTAAAAGCGTAGAGCTAATTTATCTAATAGAGGGTCCTAAATGGGAAACCAATGTCTGCATACCAGTTAATGGGGTATCAGCCCTACGAGACAGATAAGCGGTACATGAAGCGTTCCACTTAAAGGACCACTATAGGCGCTCAGACCACTTCAGCCTAATGAGGTGGTCTGGGTGCCAGGTCCAGCCAGGACTAACCCTTTTTTCTATAAACATAGCAGTGTCAGAGAAACTGCTATGTTTACACTGAGGGTTAATCCAGCCTCCAGTGGCTGTCTCATTGACAGCCGCTAGAGGCACTTGCGTGCTTCTCGCTGTGAAAATCAGTGAGAAGACGCCAGCGTCCATAGGAAAGCATTGTGAATGCTTTCCTATGAGACTGGCACTGTAGTGGTCCTTTAAGAGGGATACCCTGCTATCAACCCAGCAGTGACTTTTTTTAATATATATATATAAATATTTTTTTTTTTTTTTTTTTCGTTTTGGGAGTCTTTTTGTTTCTCTCATATCCAATTTCTAATCTCCAATTGGCTGATATCCAGGAGTTCTCTTTTTGGATGAGATACAGATTATCCCTCTGTTACCCAATCACCCCTTATTAGGTTCAGCTTCATGGCAGGGTATCTCTCTTAAGTGGAACACTTCATGTACCCCTTATCTTACTCATCTCTTTAATTCCTCTCCTACACCATTACCCAGCATGCAGATATTTGTTTCCTAATTAGGACCCTTTATTAGATAAAGTAGCTCTACGCTTTTAGATTTAATTAAAGGTTTTTTATTTTTTGGTTTTTGGCTACTAATCTATTTCAGTTTGTACTAATTCCTATACACCCATCTCCATTGGAGTGGACATCTGGGATATTGTTTTTCTTTCTATTTCTAGTGATTAGGGTTACCCCCTGTTATACTAATAGAAACAGGTGACTCCTCCTTAACTAGGGGATAGGGTTATAGGTTTCCCCTGTCTTTTGGCTGGTGGAAGATTTTTTTTTAATTTTTTTTCCTTTACCTATCCCAGGGTTAATATCTTAAAAGTTGTTACTATACTGGTGACATGCCCACTTTAATAATTTCACTGTTTTCAATATTTGACACACCTGTTGTATTATCCAAATTTTATTGCAGAGGCACACTATTGGAAAAAAAGAGCCAAATGTTAACTCACCTTTGCGGACTTAAACTTTGCGAACTAACTTAAAGTGTCTCTTGAGTAAACTATATGTATCTGATGTATTGAATGTCAAACGAAAAATATGTACTTTAGATGCCATTATTCACGGTTTAGTGAATGGACCCTTAGTGGTGAGTTATGCTGTTGTATGCATTTTATGTGCATTAAGGTGTTAGAGATACTATAGGCAACCAGACCACAACATCTCATTGAAGTGGTTGGATGCAGTGTTCCTGTCCCCTTAACCCTGCAATGTGAAACATTGTCGTTTAAGAAAAACTGCAATATTTACATTGCAATGTTAAGACCGCTTTCTAATGGCTGTCTTCCAGTTAACCACTAGAGGCGTGTCCTTCATTAAACTTGCACATTAGGTTCCCATTGCATTGATGTCAGAAAAGGCAGAGACCTCAGTGCTAAGGTAAGTGGGGGGGATAAAAATAAGGTGTTTATTTTTATCATTTCATTGCTGGGGTGTGGGGGCAGAGGAACACTATATAGTGTTTTCTTAATACAAGCCCAATGTGTCATGTCTTTTTAAACAGTTTTTGAATGAATACAATTCTGTATGGGAGGATCCCTGTACTTACAACTATTTACTGGAATAGGGAATCAAAGAACTTAAAATGTTGCATTTACATTAACTAACAAGATGCAAATCTTCCTGTCTAAATGTACATAAAGTGTGAAATAAAAATCTTTAGAAAAAAGTGTGGTTTTTTTTTTTTTTTGCATCTGTATCTGAGTTATAAAGGTCAGAAAGTAGAGGTTCTGTTTCAGTGGTGGACAGATTCTGGTCTGGGTCCTGCTTTTGGATGTGAGATAGATATCTATCTATGGTAATTTAAAAAGAAGTAAAAAGTCACCGGGCTTATTTAATACACTAAAATGTAAATTCTCAGGAATTTTTATTTTAGTTTAACAACTGAAGAATATTTTTGACTTTGGTTACATATTACTGAAAGGACATCTTGATAAATTTGAGTTTTCATTTTATGTAGAATATTAGACCGCTACAAAAAAACAAAACAAACAGGTTTTGTAATTTAATCTGTCCTTAGGACCAAGCCAGAGCAGAGTCAAAGATCTTGTGATTTAGTGGGCTTTTTAAAGGAACACTTTATGGATCGTAACCATTGCTTTGTTTTATTTAAAATTAAATATTGCATATATGGCGTCTGTATACAATTTTTCTAATGTGTACATGTAAATATCCAACTACTTTTCATTGCATATTCTGGGTTAGTTATTTAATGAGCACAGCCATCTTTAAGAGGCAATCGAGCTTGTGTGTATTCATTAATTCAGTCAACATCTTAACAATATGCTATGAATGGTTTTCGCTGTTCATGTCTCAAAGAATAAGTGCTGGTTCTGACCAAAAAGGAATTTAAATATAGCCTCCCCCATAGAGCACAACAAGAAACATAATTCACTAAAAGGAAGTATTAGGTTCTGTTCTTTCATTACAAAATAACTGAAATAGGCCTTAACACAAGCATACAAGCTTTTAGTTTGATGCATAACAAAATATGATGACGGTTTTTAATTAAATACAGCTTTTTTTTTTTTTTTAAACTTTGATTTACTCCTCCCTGGTCAGTTTGGCAAATTTTTTTATGTGCCCTCCATTTCACTGATCTTAAAGTATGAAACACAATATATCTATCACCTAAAGTACATTATTAGAAGAGTAAATTGCCCATATGAAAATTAATGAAAGACTTCATAGAAGAACTTATAATTCGGTATTACCAAAGATTCCTTGCAGCCGGTGTGTGTGCACCAACAACAAGGCAAGTTGTTGGTGATATATTGTGTCTACTGCTTCTGAGCAGGAACGAGGGCAAGAGCCAGTGCACAGCTCTCTTGTTTATCTACTAATAGGAAATGGACAGCTTCAGTCTCCTCAGCCCTGGTGAAGACATGGGTAAGCTGGAGAAGGTTTTAACCAATCTATGTGAATGAGTATGTGCATGTATATGCGCATGCACGTGATTGTGCATGTCTCTAGTTGTGTAGGGATGCTACACATGTCACATTCAATGTGTTTTTGTCAGTTTAAGTCAACAAATAACTGTATTCAAATTAAAAGAAGTGTGTCGTGCTGTTTGTTCATAGCACTCTTAACTTTTTTTTTTTTATCCCCTTGGAAAATGAGCAAAATATGTTATTTCCTGGTAATGTCTATGACTCCATTACTGATGAGTTAGTTCCTCCCCACAACTCACTGAAGAGAAACTCCTTTAAATAGAGCATAGTACTTTTATTCAAGGTAAGAGTTTTAAAAAATTGGCAAGTGATTGGTGTTTTTGTGGTGTATTTCTGTATTCCATCAGCTGCAGTGAAGCAATCACCAAAGATAAGGTATGTCATTTAAAAAAAAAAAGTTTTGTCATTCAAAATATCCCATTGTAACAAAATATAAGCATTGACAGCCTCCCTGAGAGACCAACCTCACTAGTAATAAGAGAAGGTCCAACAAATGGCATCCTGAACCATCAATCTTTAGCACAAATTATTTTATTGGACCCAAAGTCCCCTCACTGAGAAGAAAAAATAAACAAAAATAGCCTTCACTCTTTTGTCACCTCGTGTTCAGAGGTTGATCGTTGAATCTCGTTGTGAATATGGCACCTGTGAGTCAAAATATTAGAACTCCTCCCCCCAATGCACAGTTGAAGCTAGTGTGCAATAATGATTTTTTTCACCAAAAGGTGGTATGTAACATACTAATTAGTGTGCATGAGACTTACATCAAAAGAAAAAGAACATAAACAAAGCCAGTCATGTCACCTGTAGATACCTTCAGACCACGAGACATCAAACTCTAAAAGATTGCATTTGCGGGACATATCTTTACCCAGTGCAGAACATATGATATTAATTATTTTAATAAAACAGATTCTAACTAGGAAGCTTAGGCCTAAAACTAAAGTCAGAAAGGTCCTCTCTATAAGGTGACCAGATGGGATCGTCCTTACGATCCCTAAGGTGATCAATGAGGCTTTAACCTTCAGTTCTCTGGATAATCATTCCCCTTACTCATCTCCTATAAATTGTAAGTCAGTAGGTAGAAGGGAGAACATCTTTAACCATGTGAGGGCACATGCCACCTAAGCAGGCATGCTCCCCGACAAAGAAAGAACCGCTTGCACCTGGAGAGAGAATTCAACCAAAGCCTCTCTATTACCATGCTCTAACATCTACCAACTAAGAAGCATTGTCATCATATTGCTATGTTCTGTACAGAAGTTGTTTATGCCTCAGAATAAACATTATTGGAGATTCTGAAGAACACAATGGTGTGTTATTGTTCTGCTGAAGTATTGCCCCGGAAGGAAGTCTGTTTAGGACACACACAAACATATATATTAAATAGGTATTTTCACATATCTAATTTTCAGCCAATCATGAGTAAATAAAAAAATATATCTGCAGAAAGATAAGTCCTGGGCGGCAGCAAAGACTACAGTACACATCAGCCCCACTATATTGTAAAAACCAAAGAAAAAAAAGTTACCTGCACTCTCTCCTTAATCCCAATGTATTTTTAAACAAATTGAGTTTTTTTTAGTTACCTCTGATGGCCATGAGAGGATAAGCCCACCTGCCAACGTCGAGGCAGACCGCCCCAGGTGGGTCCTAACCCTAATTTACCATGCTTCCTTGAGCTTCTGGGAAAGATCTCTAGTGAGACAGAAAGGGGTATTTTTTATATACACCCCTATATATTATTAACCCTTAATAGGGAACACATGGGATGGGCGGCTGCATTGTAACAAGGCTGAGTGATACAAAAAATGGATACAAATGCGGCAAAGACTACAGACTACCTATTAAGGGTGGCAGGTGGGCTTATCCTTTCATGGCCATTGGAGGTAACTAAAAAACCTCCATTTGTTAAAAAAATACATAGGGATTAAGAAGAGAGCTCAGGTAACTTGTTTTTCTTTGGTTTTAAAAAAAATATATCTGCCTCTATATCTATTTTAAAGGACTCGTCACCAGAACAACTACAGCTTATTGAATTTGTTCTGGTGAGTAGAATCATTACCGTCAGGCTTTTTGCTGTAAACACTGTCTTTTCAGAGAAAATGCAGTATTTACATTACAGCCTAGTGATGACTTCACTGGCCACTCCTCAGATGGCTGTTAGAGATCCTTCCTGGGTCATGGCTGCCTAAAATGCATCCAAACATTCAGTATCCCCTCCCTCTGCATGCAGACACTGCACTTTCCTCATAGAGATTCATTGATTCAATTCATCTCTATGAAGAGATGCTGATTGGCCAGGGCTGTGTTTGAATCACGCTGGCTCTGCCCCTGATCTGTCTCCTTGTCAGTCTTAGCCAATGCTATGGGGGAGCATTGTGATTGGATCAGGCTACCACTTCTGATGATGTCAGCACACTGCTTGTTTTTCTGAGTCGCATGCAGAGTTACAGCTTCAAACTTGAATACAGTAAGGTTTTTACTATATTTATGGAGGCATGAGGGGCCCAGGGGGGGCTAGATGGTGGTTTTAACACTATAGGGTCAGGAATACATGTTTGTGTTCCTGACCCTATAGTGATCCCTTAACTTCAGTTAGAGGAATTTAAAGGCAGATTCAGATGACTGACTGAATCTTCATATTTTTTGCATTGGTAGAAGGCAGTGTAATGAAAAGAATCTCCTACCTCGCCTTTTTTTCCATGCCATTTATATCCTTATTGTATCACGGAACCCCTGTTTTATCACATGAAGCCAAAAAAAGCTTCAGTAACCAGGAAAGGCCCAGCACACAACCTCCCTAAATCTCCTGGCATGTGATCCTCTTGTATTTAAGACATTTTAAGCAGTGTTGGGCTAAAAACACAGTATGGCCATAAGATGAATATCATATTATTTTGCTTAACACAGATGATTTTTAACAATGCCATATGATTTGAATTGTATCTTATAATGTGCATGTCTGGCAGCCCAACACGTCTTTTACGTTGGCAGATCCCAGGAGAATGTTACCTGCCTTACTAAAAAGTGCCAACAGCACGCATTGATTTAAAAAAGAAAAAAAATAAGAAAAGAATTATAGATCAAAACTTTTTTTCTTTGTTGTCACAACATCCCTTGGTTCCAATGGAAGGAGACCTTAATGATACAGGAAATAACATTCTAGGTAATTTTGTAATAGCAAAAGTTCTTTGGAAATGTCAAATCCTATTTCAACATGGCTCTGTGCTCAAAACCTGGCCCCTATAAAACACCTTACACATCCGGTTAATCTCTGAATCCTGGACTTTTAGGTGTGCTTTGAGGAGAGCGTTGAGGAGCACTGCTTTAGTGCTTTAAGGTTCCAATTGTCCATAATATTACGGTCAGTTTATTCACATCTGTACATGACTTCCTCTACATCTATAGATCCTCAAAAGAAGCAAAAACAACACATAGAGAGAAATAGGGCTCATGAAGGATAAACAAAGAATACATGAGAAAAAAGGAAGAAGCATGTTAACATAGGAAAAAGAGAGAAACAAATGTATGAAAAGGGTGGGATGAATAAGAAATATGGAAAAAAAAAGATTTCAAATCAGGGCAGCGATAATTAGGTTAATAAGAGAGGGAGATACTTAATCAGATATAAAGGTATGTGTATAGGAAGGGGAGTAAATACGGAGAGGATTGAGCAGAGAAATGATAGAGGTGGCAGCCATTATTAAGATATGCGGCAATGTGCAAGTGAGCAGCTATGCATATTGTCATTATTAAATTTTTTATTAATATGGTGAATTTAGTCTTTTAGTTTTGTGCAAAATATATTTTCTAAATGTAGTAGTGAATCTGTTACCGATATGTGGTGCTTTCTTAGACTAACATCATGTCATAATAGATAGGAATTGTCATAATAGATAGGGATTTGCCCACTCATACGCATGAAGAACCATTAGAATTTCTTGGATGAGTACCTCAATGTGATTGCATATATTGCAGGAAATTACATTTATGTATAGGTCAGTGGCAAAAAATTGAAGCATAAAAAGGTGTTGACTAGATTATCACATCCATCAGTCCAGAAGCAATATCACTGTTCAATAATTCTATTATCGTAGGCTAGTCCTTACAGACCCTATACCAAAATTATTGCACCACTTATTTAAGAACAATGGGGCTGTATAGGATTTATATCTTGTAGTTGACATTCCATAATGGCACATGATCCTAAAGGACCTGGATTGTCATATACTGAGAAAATGGGGAGAAAAAAAACCAACTATATTATTCTATATATCTTATTGAATTAAAATATACCACCTTGTTTTAGGTTGTCTAGGTCGTCTTCACTGAATTAACCTGGTCACAGTGTATATTACATAATAAAAAGGTTTATACCATGAAAAAATACATGCTCTATGAAAAGGTTTCTTCAAATATTTAAAATCAGGCACATTTCTTTCAGGTCTTTCATTTAAGAAAGTCATGTTTGGAGATTTTTTTATTTTAATTTTTTTATTTTGTCTTAAATAACCACAATGCTTAAGGTTCATTTTTATTTAGATTTTTCTAAAGTAGTTTATTATCTAATACAGACATATGTGTGCTACAGGAAAAAAAAAACTGAATTGGAAGAAAGAAAAAAGGTGACACCAATAAAATATATATTAAAATAATACCGTATACCAAATCACCAATCACACAGGTTAATAATTATTTTAGAACTCGTAACCACAAAGACATAGGTGGATCCCAATGCTGACTCAGTTTCTACATAAACTATATTCCAAATGTACTAACAGCATACTAGTGTACCCAAGGAAATGCTCACTTGGAAATTTCTTTCTGTTAGACCATGACCATCCTAGCCTAGTTTCATCACAGACAAATACGTCAAACCACTTTCTGTTTTAAGCGGCAATTTTTCTTCCATGACCCCATTTCTCACTTTAGCTGAATACCAATCCCCACATCACTTATGAGCAGACCACAATAGGACTCTGATGACTACTTTCTGCCTCACATACCAGAGATATTGATTTTATCATAACCCGATTGTGCTCATTGATGAAGACAATAGCCTAAGCAGAGAAAATCTGAAGCAATTATACTTTACTTTGTATTACAAAATCACTTTGTATTTACTTTGAATTCCCAACCTTTTGCAAGCCTCTACTATTTCTGTTAATTTACAGACTGTGTAGTTCACTCTATACACTACTACACTATATAGGTTTCTTTTTCTTGAATGCACCCTTTGGGAATACCCTACTTTGTTCCCTTTCATTCTTCTCCACATGGCCAAGTTACTGTCTTTGCAATCCTTACCTAGACCATTTTGTTGCTCGTAATTTGTTGAAACAAAAATGTTAACAATTGGTGCCTGCTTACATATCTTGTCTTAAACATTAATAATAACAACTGAAAAAAACTAAGAATTTTAGCTGTCTCATTGTAGTCCTGTGGGTAGTCTTCCAAAGAGAAATAACAAGAGAGACAATTTTATGTACCACACCGAGCAAGAAATAGACACTTTTCTTTATGGACGCTTAGTCATGTGGTTCTGAGACGTAATTGGATTTATAATGGGGTATTTTACTATATATTATCACATTAGTGTCACTTTTTCCCCCTTATTAGAAATTCAAATCTTAGGGGTTTTTTTTCATGTTTTGTATTTACAAGATTATTTGTTGCTATGTTATTTTAGTCTTTGCTTCTACTATTCTTATTTGTGCTGATCTGCATTACTGTCCAATGAGTCCATAAAGAATTAAGAGAAATCTGAAGTGTGATTGGTGAACTGTACTGTCCGCAGTTTACAGGGACTGTGAATAGTCAAGGGTCGCTGGGAGTAATGCTGGAAAGTTTGGTATCTCATCCGATATGCAATGTGAAGATTATTCTGCCCAGAAATCGATCATTATTGTTATCACTAATAATGCGTTTTCCATTTATCTTGCATTGGATGGTTACATCTTCATTTCTGGCCACCTCTGTGAAATGCATTGCTATTAGAGGGGAGGAATAATTTACCTAAAGAAACAAAAACAAAAAAACAAACACAAATTCTGTTAATAATCACGTGTTCCAGTTTTGCACACTAATACCATTTAGTATGCGTGTTTTACAAATAGATGTGAGAAGAAATGTCAATGTTTGGTATTATTATTTTTTTCATTCTTTTGTACATATGAAGTTTTTTCCCAAGGATAATTCGCCAGAGACATTTAAGCCCCCTCACAATTTGTTCAAACCATATCCATTCATATTTATAAAAAATAGTAAAAGGCACAAACTTACTGCCAATAATAATAATAATAATAATAAAAAAGGTCTGCCCCCTCCCTGTTTAAGAGTGAAGGACATCAAGGATTCTGCCCTGGGCACCAAAAAGCAACTTTATACGTATATTTTATGCAATTTAACCATTACAGTTAATTATTGTAGTTATGGTGCAAGAAGTCTGGTAATATTCCCCAATGCTTCCTTGAACCAAGCGTTAACAAAAAATATATATAAATATTGCAGATTTTACTGTTGCAGAAAAAAGTACTCTGTACTTTAATGAATTACTGTTACTGCTCTGTATTTCTATTCAAGGAACTCTATAGGCACCCAGACCACTTCACCCCTTTTAACCTTGCAATTGAAAACATTGCCGTTCTGCAAAAACATGTTTTCTTTGCAGGCTTAGTCTGCCTCTAGTGGCCGTCAATATGAGGTGCTTCAGTAAATTAGCAGAGTAAAACTCTATTTTAATCAGATGGTTTAAGAGAGACGCACTAGCTTGTCCATTATCTCAGCCAAAGAGGCAGAGTTTGCAAAAGGAGACCAGTGTGGCGAGAGAAAAATGCTGAGTTCACTACCTTTTGTAATCCTGGCAGCACTGGCCCTGTCATTTAAAGGGACAGTTTGGGCACCATAACAACTTAATCTAAATTAAGTTGTTATGGTGCCAGGAGGCCCACAGGCCTCAGGGGTGTCAAACTGTTCTTAAACAGTTTAACCCTAAAGTTGCTTCCGTCACTGTGATAATAATATTCCATATTAATTAAGAATGATTGAACTAAACTCTCAAAGATAGTTAAGATGGCGCCGGTATGCACTTAAGCACACACAGGCAGTATTACTAGATGCAGGCCTGGGTGCCACAGCTACTAATACACAGCACTGAAAATGTTAATAAAACCACAAATCACAGCACCAGAATGACTCATGCATACCATCACAAGATAATTATTAGTACATAGCTAGCCTCTACCTGGCATGGCATTGTTGGTGGCACTGGACAGCCTGGTCCCATCCAGTGCTTTTGCAAGATCTTTGCTGGGCTGCACTGATAAGGAGACTTGGTGGAAAAGTACAAGACTATCCATCCCATTGGTAAAAAAACTTATAAAAGATGAGAAAACTTGGCACTCGCTTGGAGTACTACCCACCTGTAATACGGACACGAATTGATGGTTCTGCTGATTCCCAGAAAGAGATGGTACCTTCAAAACTGACTGCCAGAAGTTCTCAGTCGAGTGCAGCAAGCTTCTCTAATGGTGATGCATAACTTAAGCTGAATATCTAGATAATTAAACTGTTTCTTTAAGCTGAATGTGGACTATAGATTCAATGTTATTACTTATTAATTAAGTCTCTGTTAATCAATAAAGTTTGTATTGATTATTTACAAGTACTTGCTGTCAGTGTTTTCCCCTTTCTCTAATACTCAATTCACTCATCCCGAATAGGGTTTTGGTGCCCACCAATATCTTTAAAAACTTTAGGGTAATTGATAATGGCTTTTTGATATTGGGGCTTCATGAATTTAATGATTAGGCACAACAGTCACCAATCTCTACTCCAGGTGGCATCTAGCCTCTTAAATGTCAGTTTCAGGAAGCGGGATGTCACTAAGCAGGGGCACGGTTGATTGACTAAGAGTGGTCAGCTGACGCTCTCAGCCAATCAGTGATTCCTCATTCACAAACCTGGTTTGAAAAGGTACATTACTTTCCAAACCAGTTTTGTGAATGGGGAGTCACTGATTGACTGACAGCGTCAGATGACCTCCTGGTTGGCGGCACTCCGAGCTTCCTGAAGCTGAAATTTCAGATACCGGATGCCACCCAGGGGAAATTGAGATCGGCACTGGAGATTTGAAAACTGTTAAACACCTTGAGGAAAGAGTGCGGCGGGGGCCTCCTGGCACCAAAACAACTTTATTTAGATGAAGTTGTTATGGTGTCTGCAGTGTTCCTTTAAATGGTGATTTGAGTACTATAGTGTTATGAATACATTTTTATGTTCCTTTAAACAAATGTACCAAAGCTTGAGGAGAAGTCTGCACCATGGGGGTCTCGAAACCAAGACATCCTATAATATGAAACTAAAACATCCGCACAGTGTAGCAGGCAAGCCTTGGGTAAAAATATATCATTGCATAAGAATCTTCAGTTGGAACTTTATGTCAATGGATAAACAATAGAATACATGGGGCTTCTCTGGTTAAATAATGTTTATCAAACAATGTCAGAACAAACTAGCAGTTTACACTTAATTTAGTAATAAATTGGGGTTTTACCATGTGGAAACCATATTTTGGTAGGTAATGGTAATCCAGGTACTCACGTGTGTGATTTTGCCATAGTAAGGGAAGTACATGAGGTCAAATCTGTTAGATGGATAGAAGTTCACTGACCCTAGATTCCGATTGCCTCTCTTTGAAAAAACAAACAAACAAACAACGAAACAAACAATAAAAATATAATTATGAATGCATTTAAATAACAGGTATATAACAGCAGACAGATATCTATCCTACGTAAATGCACATTGTATAACATTTAACTGTACACAAGGTATTTCTATATATATACAAAATACAAACTTTTTTGAATAGTCCTTACACTCATGCTTGAGTATAATATTAAGTGCCGGGTGCCAGTCCTGGGGTGTGAATCAGTGCTGTATCTTGGTTTTGTGCTGCCCTAGGCAGGAAAAAACTCAGGCGCCCGTCCCCCCCCCGCACCGCATTCTAAATACACACAGATTTTCACTGACAGAAACACATACTCACTAACAGACTCACTCACTAACAGACAAACACACACTCACTAACAGACACACACACACACACACTAACAGACAAACGCGAGGGAGCTGAGCAGACAGCTCAGGGAAAAGTGCTCCCTCGCCAGCGCCACCCGCCTGCCCGCCCATCAGCCAGCCCAGCATGTCTGTTAGCCACAAGGCTAACAAGACATTTGCCCTGGGCATTTGGGGGCGGCTTTTTTTGCCGCCCCCTGAAAAATGACGCCCAAGGCAAATGCCTTGTTTGCCTCGCGGCTAAAACGTCATTGGTGTGAATATTCAAGATAATAAAAAAAATTGGTCTGCACTCACGGTCTTCCCATGTATAGTTTTCTTTATTCCATCATATTAAAAGCTTCTGCTTTTAATATGATGGAATACAGAAAACTATACATGGAAAGACCGTGAGTGCAGCCCAATTTTTTTTATATATATATATATATTATTTAATAAAATATAAACACACTAATTACAGTTTTTACATTATTAGGTCTCTCTCATGGTGCACACATGCAATGCCTATATATCTATACTACAATGTTTAGACTGGTAAAATAATCAGTTTGTGGAAAATGAATACTTGTTGCCAGAGGACAGAATGTAAAACCAATAACTGACACTACTGAGCAATGAAAGCATCAGGATGGGATAAACCGCACTACTGTTTTGGAACGTCAAGTGATGCACATTCTGTATGGGCCATCTGAGAAGTGGCCAGTGAAGTTATCACTAAGCTGTAATGTAAACACTGCATTTTCTCTGAAAATACAGTGTTTACAGCAAAAAGCCTGAAGGTAATGATTATACTCACCAGAACAAATTCAATAAGCTGTAGCTGTTCTGGTGACTATAGTGTCCCTTTAATCTCTATGAGGAGATGCTGATTGGCCAGGGCTGTGTTCGAATTATGCTGGCTCTGCCCCTAATCTGCCTCCTTGTCAGTCTCAGCCAATCCTATGGGGAAGCATTGTGATTGGATCAGGCTTCCACTTCTGCTGATGTCAGCAGGCAGTGGGCAGGTCTAAAGGAAACAGAGCCAGAGCTAGCAGCTCCAGACTTGAATACAAGTAAGAATTTGCTATTGTTAGGGAGGCATGAGGGGACCAGGTGGGCTAGATGGTGGTTTTAACCCTATAGGGTCAGGAATACATGTTTGTGTTCCTGACCCTATAGTGCTCCTTTAATAAATATTTTTTACTCCCTGGAATGGAGTTAGTATAGAACCTGTATTTGTGGCACCACCTGGCTCATAACTAACTAAAGATTATTTTTCTGCAAATTCTGTTCTGTTATCTAGACATTTTCTCCAATGACCTACAACTCCTTGCAATGTAAAAATTGTAACACAAGAAACTGGTTCACAGTTAATTGGTATCAATATGATTTGGGTTGAAATGATAAGACACAATATGACATCTCCAAAAGGCATACAAAGCTAATGGGTAAATAAAAAAAGTAACGTGTGGAGGATTATATTTAACCTTAACTCTAATGTCTGACATAACCTTGACCTTTAATTTCAAGCTTACTAGCTGGCATTGTCAATAATTTGGGATAACATTTTATAATTGAGTAGCATTCGTGTGTCCTCATTGACAAATTTAGGGGAATCACATGCATGTAAATAACATTAAAAAAAACCATTTATTTATTTATAAAATATTTTACCAGGAAGGATACATTGAGATTTCTCTTGTTTTCAAGTATGTTCTGGTACACAAGGATTTGTACAAATCAATTAAATTCCCCAATATGCGTTTCCATGCTGCACTGTGTACTGTTTACAAGTATATTGTGTTATAAAGAAGAGTTTACGGATCAACAGACATATTACGGACCATATCTGAGAATGTAAAACTTATAGATGTTATATAAATGATGATATTTATTAAAACATGCCGAAAAAAATATGCAAAAACTATTAGTGTTGCCGTTAATTTGATCATAAAAAAAAATAAAAAAAAGTTGAACCATAATAAATACTTCATACCGGAATATCACAGGTTACATAGATAGGCACTCCGGAACCAGCCTCAAACCCAAGGATCTAGTGAATAAATAAAAAAATGTTTAAATATATGCACCACAGAAAAACCAGAAGTAAGTAATTTAGAAACTGAAATCTCATACCATTGTTGAGGTTGGAGGAGAGAAATAAAGTTGCGGTGACTTTGATCCAGATCTGGAGAACACATTGCAATGGCTGACTGGAAACACATGTTGCTCAGCTGTACTGTATCTGGCACGATGGAACATCAGGTATACTAGTACTGAACTGAAAACTCAGTAACAGTAAAATGCTTGAGCTCAGATACAGTCACAGCTTGCGTATTTTAGTCTAAAACTCACTGTGAAAGCTGGTGAAATTCAAAGATGTACTGATCTAATGAACAATGCCTTGTACAAACCAGAAACCTATATATACACCTGTATCAGAAACAACAACAATCTTAAAGAGGTCCAACTCCACCCATTGATGCTATTGCCCAATGACAGTCCTAGAAGATAGGACAATAAACTCTTTATTCTTGTATTTTATTTTGTGAATTTTAGGGTTGTTGGTGACATTGCCGTGGGTGACTTACAGCAGCACTGGGGGAGACAATATATCCCAATATTTTATAGCTTTTTATTATTTATTATAGGACAATACACAGGTCAGTCATTTTTGGCACTCAGAATGCAAAGCAAATGGCTGATGTTAAAAATCATGTTAGAACAAACTAAGAGGTCTATACTTTTTTTTTTTTTTTTTTTAATGTCCCAAAATCTTGACATGACTATTTGGTTAGCCTTGACGTAGTATCTCTACCCATCAATAAATTCAGGTAAGATGGAACTCAGATATAATTACGATAGACACAATATGTCTTCTTACACACGAAAGTCCTTACTGTGCAAAAAGATTTGATTTTACAAAACCTGGCAGGATGAAACCCATCAGACCCCATGGACAAGCTCTTCTGAAGACTGTTTTTTCACTTCGCTACAATTCACAGTTTAGTGAAAAAAAAAAACCTTTATGTTCTTTGTAAAGGGATTAAAGGGTCCAAAAGGTTCCCCCCAACTTCGCGCCCCCCTCCCGCGGCGCTGAAGGGGTTAAAACCACTCTCCAATATTTGACAGAACTAGAAAAATTTACTGAAAATACAGACTTGAAAAAGACCCTGAACTGTAGAGTTGAAATGTTGAGTGGTATAGGACATTAAACAAGCGAGTATGGATATTTAGTTTATAATAAGCGATAACATGAGAAATAAGTCATATTATTTTCTCTTGGCCCATGTGGAAAGCAGAATACAGTCAGGTTAAATTCACTGACACAGGATGGCTCAGCTCAATGGCTGGTGTTCTGGCTCAGTTTTTGACAGCTGTGTTCTGAACAGAAGTGTTCTGACAGATGGACAGTCTCAGGGCTTAGTAGTTGGCAAGTCTAAAATATCAAATTCAAATACTTTTCTTCTTCAACCCACTACTATCTAGGAGCAAACAATACATACGAAACCCTGAGACTATGTTTTCATAAAAAATATGTGGAATAGGTTTTATGGCTCTGTTTTTGGATTACATTTTTAAATTCCACCCTTAGCACTCTCTACCTATCACTGCCATCCAGGTTGGACAGAGTTGATATCGGTAACACAGAAGTGTAATTTCTGCATTACATAAGTGGCTGAAGTGGGAGTGGGCGCTAGAGAGAGACCCATTTTTAGTTAAATCCGTGAAAAATGGGGAATAGTGTTCACAGAAACACAACACCATAACCACTATATAGAGCTGTGCTAGTTTTTCACATTCAAATGTAAAATTTGATTATCAGGTTACAGTTGTTTATTGTTTAGTAAATTAACCGTATATATTTTGTGATGCTTAACCTCAGAAAAAACACATATAATTGAAAATGTGACGTGGTGCGGTACTATAGGGAAAGGAAGCAGTGTTCCAATGCCCAGCCTGGCACACTGTGGTAGAGAACCAACACTTCTAAAAATAGTAGCAATGGTAAAGAATCTACAGGTTCTATGGAGTAGGCACATCAATGAAGGATTATTGGAAACAGGAACACAAAAATAAAAAATTAAATGTTTTGGCCAAAGCCGTAATTAAGGCCTTTGGCCAAAACTTATTTATTATCTTTGTGTTCACGTTTCCATGTTCATGTGCCTACCCTATTGAACCAGTTGTTTCTTCTTCTTTGAAAACTTTACATCAGCATCATTGTTTAACATTACCCGATTCATCTTTAGTATGAAGCAAGGCTTCCCTTCTGCAAAACCATAGGACGGGTCATCAATCCCAGAGCAGTTCTTTAACTGTGAGCGTCTGAATTGGCAGGCTTTCTTCTCATCCTTTTCATCTCCAGGTTGGACAAAATATTGTCCAGGGGTGCACTCTATATTGTTAATTATTTGTGTATCATCTTCATAGTCTAAGAATCAAACAAATGTTAATTTATAAATGTTAAATGTTATTATGCAACAAAAAGTTCCATGAAAACACTGAAAAAAATAAAAATAAATAAATAACACTCTAAAATACAGAACTGCATAGAACACAAGTGCCAGTGTACAGAAACTTAGCCATACTTTCCCCAGAATCCAACAACCAAAATTCCTGGCACAAATGGTTAAAGGGACACTAAAGGCACCAAAACAACTCCAGCTTCATAAACCCTGCAGTCTCAGTGCTCATTTTTTTGCCATCTACAATTTCAACCACTGTTTGCGCAAAGGATGCTTTCAGTAATTATTTTCCAAAATATCTTGGATCACAACTCACAAGGTTATTACCTAAAGTGAGAATTAAAAGTGAATTTCAAATTTACAATCGAAATAAAATGAATTGGGGAACTTCTCTAAGCCAGCTATGTTTTCAAGTGGCTTAAATTCACTTTGAATTCTAACTTTAGTAAATAGCCCTGACAGTGACAAACAGATCATACAGTTGTGCTTTTGGATTACACATTTCTATAGTGTCCAAGGATGCGCAACAGGAACATCAAGTGTCATACATTTAAAACACATTTAAAATCCTTTAAATCTGCAGCAAATTTTGTAAAGAAAATAAACATATTTGTTTAGGTTGTGATCTCAATAAGACAATGATCTCTTATTTTAATGCGGGTATGCATACTGAATTGGCTCCCATCTAATAAAGTAAACCATGTAAATAGAATAGACAGACAGAAAAGCACACATACTATAATTAAAACAAATGAAACTATAGCAGTTAACTTTATCTAACACTGCTATAACTAAGCACTGTAGACCAGTGTCCCCCAACCGAGTCTTTATGGACCACCAACAGTCCAGGATTTATGTGTTTCCCTGTTTTATTCCACTGGAGATACTGACAAAATCTGGACTGTTGGTGGGCCATGAGGGCTGGGTTGGGGAACACTGCTGTAGACTTCACTATAATTCTATTTCTACATATTTAACTTCTACTGGCATACAGACTATCCCTTACAGATGGGCATCTAGCCCTGGTAAGAGCAGAAACAAAATAGATTTACTTATTGGATGGATACTTAGTACCCCAAAGTTCTTCATGGATAACTGGATAGTAAAGTGCTATAATGTTACTGCACTGTATTTCACTGTATTTTTACTATTGGCAGTTTTCCAACATTAAGTTAGGTTATGTTCCCACGACCTTAGATATATATGTTTGGTCCTGATTAGCACACTTTTTTTTTGCTACTATTAAAACACGTTATACAGGTTCTTATATTATTTAGGTTGTAAGTGTACATATGCACAGAATAATTTAATCTTTTTGCTGGTTATACAAATTTACTTTATTATTTGTTTCAAATATCTGTGATTTATAGTTTCTGTATCATTTATTATTTAACAGATTTTCACGAATAACTTGGACCTCTAAGTGTGAGGCTGTCCATTTATTTAAATGTGAGATTGATGATTTGCTTTGTTGATTGTTCTTGGTATAATCAACTGTGCAATATGTTAACACATCAAGTCTTGAGAAAGTTCCTGTTGGAATGAAACGTGTTGACGTCATCACATCAATCACGTTTTAAATGATTTTTTAGGAAGGCAGAGGGGGAAGGTATCTTTCTCATCCCAAAAAAGATGGAGAGACAAAGACCTAGAGGATGCAGAGGAGGGGTCGAGTTTCAACAACGAAAAAAGAGGAAGGATGTCAAATTGGAGGGAGTGATGAATCTCTCTACATATAAAACGAGTATAGATGAAATAAGGATTTTAAATAAGGGTCGGAAATTTGCACCTTCAAGAAATTTTTATTCTTTTTCAGCCTATGTGGATATATTGAAATATTCTAGAACCCTGACTTTAAAAAGATTTTTTAATATTAATACATTTGTAGATTATAAAACAAGTGGAACTCATACGGCACTTAGAAATAAATCAAATTTTTTTCCTAGGACTTACAAAACTAGTGCAATTGAGATATTTGAGAAATCTGTGATTGAGGACTTTGAAAAACTTGATACAGAAAATCAAAGAAAAAAGTTTAGGAATAATTTAAGTGGACAAGAAAATAAGGCCCTAGAGAACCTAAGGAAAAACAAAGAGATTATTATTAAGCCCGCAGACAAGGGAGGTAGCATTGTCATCCAAAATACAAACGATTATTTGGAGGAATGTTACAGACAATTAAAAGATACCAATGTATATATTGAACTAAAACAAGATCCCATTCAAGAGATAAAATCCTCCTTATTTGCACTGCTGGAGAGAGGTAAAGAGACAGGTGTGCTAAATGATAAAGAATATTATTTTTTAAAGGTCGAATTCCCTAGGACATCTGTCTTTTACACTTTACCAAAAAGTGCATAAAAGTTTGACACAACCCCCTGGCAGGCCAATTGTTTCTGGTATTGGCTCCATATCAGCTAACCTCTCTAAGTATGTGGACATTTGGTTGCAAGATTTGGTTAAGGAAATACCTTCATACTTAAGAGATACTACAGATATTATTAAAATTATTAAGAATGTCAGCTGGAAAGAGGGCTATTTTCTGGTGACTTCAGATGTGTCAGCATTATACACATCAATCCTACGTGACTTAGGTTGTAATACAATTCAGGACTGTTTAAAAAGGTCAGGAAAATTTTCAGATGAGCATATAATATTTTTAACAGACAGTATAAGATGGATTTTAGAAAATAATTATTTTGTTTTTAATTCTAGGTTTTATTTGCAGCGTCAGGGTATGTCAATGGGAACCAGGTTCGCCCCCAGTTATGCCAATTTATTCATGCTGGGTTGGGAAAATGATGTTATTTTTAACAGCACAGCATGGGGGATGGACCTGGTCACATACCATAGGTATATAAATTTATTTATTTTTTATATAGAAGGGGACGTTAAGTGATTTGGAATCCTTTTTAATAAGTATAAATAATAGTAATTGGGGAATTGAACTAAATAGTCAATTTAGTACTACAAGCATACATTTTTTAGATCTGGAGATCTATACAGAAGGGGATATTCTAAAAACAAAAAAAAAAAATCAAAAATGTGGATGCTAGTAGTTATGTCCTATATAATAGCGGACATTATACGCCTTGGTTAAATAATATACCAAAAGGACAGTTATAAAGGATTAGGAGAAATTGCACTGATAACGAAATTTTTAAAGAACAAGCTAAAATAGTTTTAGATAAATTTGCACAAAAGAAATACCCCGAAGTTATACTTGAAAAAGCACTTGAAGAAACTAATATATTGAACCAACAAGAACTGATTTCCAAACACAACACTACAAAACATTTGATAATTCTAATTTAATGCCCTTGGTTTTAGATTTTAATAATGATAATAGGAAAGTTAAATCCATTATAAATAGACACTGGCACCTTCTTAAAAAAGATAATGAGCTATTAAAAGTGATTCCAGACAAACCTTTTATTACCTTTAGATGAGTACCAAGTCTTAAACGTATGCTAACTTTTAACCACCCTAAAGCTGAAGCAGCTACTACTTTTTAAAAAAATAATAAAAAAGGCTTTTATTCATGTGGAAAATGTGTGGGATGCAAATGCAGTAAAAATAAAACTTTAAAAGGCATTAGCAAATTTAAAACAAAGCACAAAGTAGAAGACTTCCAAATAAATGATTTTATAACTTGTTTTAGTAAAAACCTTATTTATCTTTTAATTTGTCTGTGCGGATTACAATATGTTGGCCGGACTATTCGTCCTCTCCATAAAAGAGTGTACGAACATGTTAATAATATTTAAAGGGTTTTGAACAGCATAGTGTTTCAGCTCATTTTAAAAAAATATCATAAACAAGATATATATACCATTGTTTATATATATATATTTTTTTACCATTTACCTGTGTTTTAGCCAATTAAAAGGGGCTCACCAGGTACCGTATATACTTGTCTATAAGTCGAGTGCAGTTTTTTGACCAACAATTGTGAAATATGCTATGACTTGTGGAAAAGTCGAAAGTAAAACTTGAAACTATGAAAGATAACTGCCCCAGCAAATCTGAGTAGCAATATGCTTACAAGGAATGTTTGGGTGGTAGCTCAGAAAAGAATGACAAATAAGAAGACAAACTTTACTTATTAGTAGTAAACAAATAACTTAAGTCTAAAAACCAAAATCGGGAGCGATTGAAGCAGAGATGCCCACACGTGTGTACATTTAATAAGCATGATATATTTGTATAGTGTTGGACAATTTATATTCGATCGTCTAATTTTAAAGGAATGTGTCAGCAGAGAAGAAATTGCATTTGTTTAACCCTTGCACTGTGTGGCTCTCTGCGGACAGCATGGGTTACATGGGAAAAGATGCTTTATACCCAGCCTCCGATCTTTGCTGGTGAGAAATTAGCAAATGCCTGAACAGGCTTAAAGTTATCTTTGTATAACCATCTGTAGTTTGCTTTGATGTTATGGTCTCTGAGGAAGTTCCAAGTGTGGGACAAAACATGTAAGACCACAACTACTGCTGTTTTACCAATTTTATTTTATTTATCATAAAAGACGCTATTTTATACTACCATCTGGAGTCCTGATCTCCTGCTATCCTGCAGACAGTGGAGAGGGATTCAAAGCCCCCCAATTACAAAGGGGGAGGCACTTTTTGAGTGCATAATACGTCTACATCTTGTGAGTGCATTTTTGTACAGCGCACATTATTTGTTAAAATTGTATTACACTATTTTTGTCTATGTTCTATTTAGATTCCACAGCCAGATCCCATATGTGTTTTGCTTGTATTCTGGTTTAAAAGACCACTACCTGGGAAGTGATTCTTGGGAGGCTGCCCACTTGATTTACCTGATAAGTATATTGCATACTTATTTTACACTATTCACACGTGATTGTGGTGATAGTATTGTTTTGTTTTTTACAGTTACAGAGGGCAGAAATCAGGAGAGGGACTGAAAAGTCCTACTTTACCACCTCACACAAAGGGGTCCTCTCCTCAACTCTGACACTCATTCCGATAGACAGAGCAGAGCTTGCTGTCCTGTCCCTAGGTGGCAGCATTATAGCGGGGAAAGATCCACGCAGCTGAGTACCCCTGTGCAGTTTAACAGCACATAGAGACACAGGGACAGGGGGAGAGGACCGAGGCAAAACTGACCAGGAGGAGAACATCGGCCTAAGACTATCTCCATTGGGGAATGGGTTACAGAGAGGACTCCAAGGTAAGTCATCTTTAAACTTTTAGCAGCTTTCTGTCGTGGGTACCCAGGGTGCTGCAGTGGCTCAGGTTAGTGCACCTTACAGAGGTAGGGCCAGGAGGGGGCAGTGTACTGCCAGAGTAAGGAACTGAAAGGAGAAATGTTGGTTCCAAGTGTAGGAAGGACATGACCCCATAATATGTGATGTACGATCGTTGTAGTGAGTAAATAAAGTTCTGTAGAATTGGAGTATTACGTGAGATTTTATTTCTGATTAGATTATTTATACAAAGTTTCAGCCATTCATTGTGGACTTTAACTCTCACCACCGCCAGCCGCAGCCTGGGAGTGACAAACCTTCTATATACATTGTCTTGTGAATGGCATACTGACATCCAGCCACTGAAGGGTTAGTGCCCTGAAATCTGGGGTTAACTCTTTCAGTGCCGGGGGGTGGGGAGGGCCTGCAGGACTACAATCTGGAACGGCGTTCCTGCTGTGGAAAAAGTGTAGGTACGCCATTCCAACGCGTTCCTGCAGGATTTAATCCCTGTACAAAATTCTTTCGAAACTGGCACTGACCCGTGGATAAGTCGACTCTGCGTTTTAAACTGAAGTTTACGACTAAAATTTCTCGACTTATACACGAGTATATACGGTAATACTATAGACTTGTACAGCCATATACTATAGACTTGTACAGCCATTTCTTGCTGATCAGCCATATTTTTTTTGCACTTTGCTTCTGGTTACTGCATGTACTTTTTCATGCTCCATTAAGAATAGGGGACAGTTTATTAAACTTTGCTTTTAGTTTGTTCTTCTACCTCACAATTACAGTATCCTTATTATTTAATTATTATTTAATTTAACCTATACTTTGTATTTTGTGAAACCTGATTATACATGTTTGTATTCACTAAAGTGACAGTTCCTAGTGAATGTCAATTTAAAGGTCACATAAAACCTTACCTAAATTATCTCCCATATACATTGAATACACCAAATATCACAAAAATACCTGGTGTTTTCAACGTAAAATATTCCTAAATTCCTCTTCATGGGTTTTACTCTTCTTGTAACACCTTCCTGGCCGTCCACTGCTCTGCATGCGCTAGTTATGAAGTCTTCCTTGATTTGCCCTGCTCGTGATGCATCCCAAGCAGGATAAATCTCTCCAGTGATGTCAGCACGCTGGATTTGTTGCCAGTGTGCTGGCATGGGAAACAGAGTGACATTACATCACTCCATGCATGCACTGCAGTTGCTATGGGTGGAGAGCAGAGGGACCTCCTATAAGAGGTCTTTTCTGCTCTCCCTTGTTAGTCAATGCTTTGGCACAACGAGACATTGAAGGATGGCTGTGAGAATAAACTGTTTGTACATTCCCCCCCCCTACCAATTTATACATTTGCTAGCAAAACCGCAAGCACAATGTATAGATAAAATCTTATACTCAATCAAATGAGCAAAAGTTGTTTGGGACATGACAGGTACCCTTTAGAAAGCAAACAAAGGAACAAACTTAATAGGCTTAAAATCTGGTTTCCATAGTTAAACAGGCTGCTACAATAACCAGTAGACCAGAAGCAAGCCCTGGTAGACATAACTAAACTAATTATCCAGATGACGGATGACCAAGTTTCCAAATGATCTCAGGACTAAAATACAAAGAGAATTCCATGGGGACAAAGTTGCAAGTTCTGCATGTACAGATCCCACAATGCTAAGAGTGGATATAATTAGGACGAACGTCACAGATGTGAAGTAAAGTAGAAACAAGCCAATAAAAGATAAGATGAAGATAATCTAGCTGAAACCTCTACACATGGAAGCAGGTGCAAAGCTACTACCTCCAGCTGCAACTGCTTGTGATTTAACATGCTTCCTAGTTGTCCTGTTTTAGGCAGAATAGCTCGATTTCAGTATCCTGTCCCTCCATCTCAACTGTCAGCTCGTGTTGAACACAGGCTTTCCTGATTGAGGCTGGCTGGAAGGCAGTCAGTCTTGCATGCCTTTAATAATCCCAATAAAGAAATATCCATGTTACAAGGAAGGGAATTAATCTAAAGCAGAGTAGTTATACTATCCAAGGTTGCATTTGTCTTTCCTCCATTATATTATCCCCTAAAAGGGACACCACTAGGAATCTTCACTAAAGTGAGAATTCAAAGTGAATTTCCAATGTAAGGTCATATTAGCTGAACTGGGAAAATACTCAGATATGCTTCAAATTCAGTTAGTCTGACCTTATGTTTAAAATGTACTTTGCATTCAGTTTAGTAAATAACCCTGCTAGATCATGGAAACAACTTTAGCTTAATGAAGTGGTTTTGGTGTCAATGCTCAATTCTCTATCGTTGAGATGTTAAATCACTGTTTATGCATCCCTAGCGACACTTGCCCTGACTTACGTAGCCTTCATGAATAAAGGTTTAATTTTTACAGCACAGTGGGTTTATATTAGAAGTTCGTATCTCTTGCCCTGTTAATTGAGCCTATTTATTTACACACCAGAGGCTGTAAAGGGAATCAACACAGTAAAGGAGGAGACTATATTTACAATAAAAAAAAACTACCACAACAAGAGGACATAGTCTTAAATTAGAGAGGCAAAGGTTTAAAAAAATATCAGTAAGTATTACTTTACTGAGAGGGTAGTAGATGTATGGAATAGCCTTCCAGCTGAAGTGGTAGAGGTTAACACAGTGAAGGAGTTTAAGCATGCGTGGGATAGGCATAAGGCTATCCTAACTATAAGATAAGGCCAGGGACTAATGAAAGTATTTAGAAAATTGGGCAGACTAGATGGGCCGAATGGTTCTTATCTGCCGTCACATTCTATGTTTCTATGTTTAATGCTCCATCAGACAGTTAACAGAGAAGGAGATTAGAGATTTTAAACTAAACACACTTCTCAATAAGGGAAGCTAAAAAGTTTCAGCTCTTTTTTATGGAAGTGTGATATAACTCCTAAATGGCAGATAATTGAGTAATGACCCTGCAGGGGAATTATCTACACACCAAACCCAGTTAATTAAGCTAAAGTTGTTTTGGTGCTTAGCATGTACCTTCAAAGGGGTGGAAAGAACCCACTCTTCTATGCTTGTATTCTTCTAGAGATGTGATATAAATAAATAAATAAACCATCTCGTTATATGTGGTAATACCTCCCATCTAATTTTTTTTCTGTTCAATTAACAATTTTAATTGCATCTCCGAGGACAATTGTGAAAGAAAAAAAAAAACCACTGCAGGTCAACCAAGTGAGAGTTGACTAATTACAACAGTCGGGAAAAAACTATTTTTGAAAACTGAAAGTATAAAGAAGACTATAATAATCATACAGCTAATAACATGATATAGTGCCACATAAAATGATGACAAGTGCAAAGGCCAAGGTAACAAAGGGGAAGACAACCAACAAGGACAAAAATATAAATAAAATATAGAATGAAAGAACAAGAAAGGACAGTATGGTACCACCTGCGACGCTATACCAAAAAGGCAGCGTCCAGTTAGGGCCAAGTCGAGACTCCAGGGGTCTCACAGGGCTTAACCCTATAGTAGGTAGAACAAAAATACAAACAAATAGATACAAAGAAACCCAACACAAAAAATGTAAAGGGATCGCTGTATCACCTGGAAATGCAAGTAGTTGGTTGAAGTGATCTACACAATGTAGTGCTAAATTGTGTAGATCACTACAACCAACTACTTGCATTTCCAGGTGATACAGCGATCCCTTTACACTTTTTGTGTTGGGTTTCTTTGTATCTATTTGTTTGTATTTTTGTTATAAATAAAATATAGTAAAACTCACACTGGATGGAGCAAACAGAAACAAACTCAGTGAAGTATGACTAAGACAACATGGGAAACAAGTGTTTTCCAACTGTTTATTGCTGAATAAGATTCCACAAGAGCTCCTGCTGGAGGTACGGCTATGGTGGATTACAGCCTATCACTACCACCTACCACTGCCCAGGTTAATTGAGAAATGTGCCTCAGCCTGAGCAGAGAGAGACAGAAAGAAAGACAGGTAATGGGGGCTGGGATGTAGGCACTTACAAAGCCTTATTCAGTGTTAAAAAAAACCAAGAAGGGTTCAACGCTGAAGAGTGGGTTGGTGCCATGGGACTTCAATTAGATAGAGTGGTTATGGTGCCTCGTGTGTCCCTTTAAAACATCAATAGATGATGCCAGGGAACAAACTGCCTGTCTATTTAACCAGGAACAGATAAAAGGTGACAGGAGAGCTTGCTCACTTTGCTACAAACCCAGTTCTCTAAATACGCACATATTGCGTATTTCTGGAGGAAAGGAAGACTTAGAAAATAGATATTGTAGAAACAAGTTTAGATATGTGAGCCTGCCCAATCAGTTATACAATTCCTGACTCTTCAGTATAGGCTTGCTACAACTCTGCATTTACCAAACAACATTGACAAACTACCTTTTATTAATAAACGTGTACAAACGGGACCCTGAACTAAGATATGTAACAGTTCAGACTTCAGCATTGGTGATTCCCAAGTTATTTAATAAACAATGACTCATTTGTTGGAAGCAAACAGTGCTAATTATATTGACAATATCCAGCATGTGGATAATCCGGTGCTGTCCTGACAGACCTCTAGGGCAATAATGAGGGGACATTGCCAAATTCAAAAAAGCCTTTAAAGCTAAATAGGACTCCCTGAGTCTCTCTCTTAGACAAGCTTATCCGGACTACATTGCTTCCCCAATAAATCAAACCAAATGAACCGGCACAGAATTGTAGATTCTCTCCTGTTAAAGGAATAAATAATCAAATTGCACTTAAGTGGACTGAAAAAAAACAGTCCTTCCACACTTTGGGAAACAAATCAAAGAAATTGCTAATGAGCAAAATAGCAAAATAAGCAACTACAAGGTTTCAAATCCCTTGTATCCGAGACACTGCTGCCATGATAACCTATGATCCTATCAGAATTAACACAATATTTAGTGAATTTTATCATACCCTTTAGTACAATTCTCTGAATTATGCAATATTTGGGATGCATCTTCTTAAACAGGTGGACATGGATTACTTAACAAATGAGCAAAGAAAAATATTAACCCCCTAAGGACACAACTTCTGGAATAAAAGGGAATCATGACGGAATATTTCCGTCATGTGTCCTTAAGGGGTTAAATGCCTCCTGAACATATAAAGGCTATGTTACTCTCAGCTGGGTCAAATCTGGCTAACCTCATGGCCCTGGGAGCTTCAATGCTGATTATTTCAAAATATTGAAGGAACACCTCCCCCCAGTAAATCAGGCTGGAGACAGCTGCAGCATTTTCTCAATCATCCAGCACAGAAATTCCCTCTACATTGCTTAGTTTTGCTTCCCACCAAGCTTCTGATTTGTTGGCTCTGCTTGCCCATTCCAGAATGTTGGAATTGACCTTTTTTCCTTTCATTCGAAATCTCTATAAGAGACCAACCACTAGTATCACAATTAACGGGACTGATTCTGAGCAGCTATTGATGGAAAGATGAGTCTGTGAGGGTTGTCCACTTGCCATGAATCTTTCTCTGGAACCTGTTATGTTTGCTGTTCAAAACATAGCACTTCAGGAGTATACAGATCCAGGGACGTTGCAAACTTAAGGCACTTGCAGAAAATATTTTGATTTATATCTGAGAAATTATCTGCAGTATGTCCCTCAAACGTTTGACAAATATAGGAAGATAATGGGATGTGAAATAATTTTATCCAAATCCAAGGCCCTGGCTCTGGGACCCTGGCTTTCTGTATCTTGTTTCCAACACCTGGGAATGGGCCTATATCAAATATACAAAAATACCTTATAGCACAGAAATTTGGTGTCACTAGTCCATGGATTGAGTATTATGTTGTAGGAGGATGGCATATGTGTACATCTACGTTCCTCTAGGGAATTCTTGCTAAATTGGTATACTCTTTGCACCTTGCTCCTAGTGGATGGTATGTTGCGGTAAGTGGCGGTGATGCATATGGGTCGAGGAGCTGCCGTGGGGGATACAGATGTCAGGTGAGCTAAGGATGCTGGGAGTATTACGATTATCCCTGGTCGGAGGCATCATTTGAATTAGCGGGCAATGCGTCTACGGTGTTGTGTAATGCTGTCTGGGGTGGCGTGAGCCGAGATATCCAACAGGGCTGTATGTCGCCTGGTCCCCTGGCTCTCCTCGCTATGTCTTGCAAGGTGGGTACTGAGTAGCAGCCTGCTTGCCTATTTCCATATGTGTGTTTGTCTATTCCAGTGAGGGAGATGCTTGGGAGCGAGCAGGAGCTGGCGCTGTTAGAGTAAGGTTATCTCTGCGACCCAGGCATGAGGGGCACCATATGGTTTGTGAAAACTGTGTGTGGAAAGGATGGATATGTAGCGGCAGGTGGACATTGCATTTTATGAGTGTACCTCAAAACAGAAGTGCAAACAGAGAACTTAATTAACAATATAACCATAAACGTGATTGTATTAGGTGTAGGAGGTCTGGCCTGCAGACCTTCAGTGAGGACTCAGATAGTGGCTATCGCATATGCTTCGGGGGTGGGCCCTCGGGGGACAAATGGCACAGTCGCTGCTGGGTTCCACTCATGGGTATTGGAAGCTAAGCATGGCTGTTTTAGAGAGTCCTGTAGAGACCTGGGGGTCCCAGTGTCGTCAGGTGTGCCTTCGCCTCTTGCAGATCCTTGATGAAATACGTAGTTACTCCGTGGAGCACCAGTAGCATGTGATATGAGCGCCATTGATATTTGACATTGTGTGTGAGGAGCAGGAATGTGAAGGATTTAAGGAAGCTTCACCATGCCATGGTTCCCCCAGATAGGCCCGCGTAGAAGGTAAGGGACATGTGTTCAAATGAGTATGGTGAGTTCCCCTGTATTGCGGTCATGACTGTAGCCTTGTCCTGTCGTCTCTGGAATCTGACTATTAAAGGACAACTATAGTGCCAGGAAAACAAACCCATTTTCACGGCACTAAAGTGCCCTGAGGGTGCCCCCACCCTCAGTGTCCCCCTCCAGCACATTCTCAATGCTTTCCTATGGACGCTGGCGTCTTCTCACTGTGAAAATCAATGAGACAGCCACTAGAGGCTGGATTAACCCTAAAGTAAACATAGCAGTTTCTCTGAAACTATGTTTACAGCAGGCAGGGTTAATCCTAAATAGACCTGGCACCCAGACCACTTAATTGAGCTGAAGTGGTCTGGGTGCCTATAGTGGTCCTTTAAGTCCCTTGTTGCTGCAGTTGAGGCTGTAGCTGAATTGGGGATTCTGAACATACCATCAAAGCACACCCCTTTAGCCTGCATAGGTGGAAGCACTACACTCACAAAGTGCCTTAGGAGGTGAGGTAGCTCTGTATCTGGAATTGTTTCTGCTATGCTGTGGGCGTCGCGAGTACTCCAATGCGCCATGTGCCCACCGCCAGAGATCCCCGATGCTCACGCCCGGTCGAGGCTGTTCTGGCTTTTGTTTTTTTGTTTTTCCTGCCCATCTCATTTATGCTTGTTATGGAGGCCCAAAATGTCTCGCAACTTGGGGGTAAAAGTGGGTATTATAGCGATTTCTTTGCTCAGTATTACGGAGCATACAGAGAATGCAACCATTCAGCTTGGCTGCTAGGCTCCGGCCCCCATAGCAACATTTCTAATTAGAATTATCTAAATATTTCTAAGATTATAAGACACATAAAAACCACCATTAGGTGACGGAAAAGTCTCATACTTCTATTCCTAGGCAGAGTCAGTTTGTTTCAGTTGATTTAATATAATTATCATAATTATTGTATTCTTTAAAAATATTTCTAGTGATCCTCACTGACAAAAGAACATTTATACTGATGTCCACATTTGAAACCAAAGAGACCTAGATTGTCCCAATAACACCTTTAGCAATTTAGGTTTAATTTTGGCATTAATATCCCTGTTGTCCTTTAACTTTGGTTAATAAATATAGGCATGATGGGTCACGGAATACTGCCTTAGAGCATGGAATGGGCTTGCTACACAGACTCCTCTCTTGAACAACACTTTTCAACCAATATTTCTCTCACCCAATTATTCCATACTCTGTACTCTGATATGCTACCAGAGATAAAATTAAACCCTTCTTTGATATCAATTAATAAGACTTGGAGGTTGGTTTGCATTTGGGTGGACATGGGGTGGGAATTCTTGGCTTTTGTTTCTTTTCACAAAAAAACAAAACAAAAAACATACAGGTGGACTACCAGCTTCTACTGCTCTTATAAAGACTGACAGGGCTATCAAATGTTGACAAGTTTGGAAAAGTCCCCCCCCCCAAAAAAAATTAAAAAATGTTATACAATTAAGAGAGAAATACACAGAGTTCTTCACTCATTGGTGTTCACTCAAGAGACTAATATTGTCAATAATCAATTAATATTGATCAATGTTTATATCTAATGCCCTATTAAATGTAAATACAAATTTTGGATATCTACATTTTATTTTCTCTGACCTCACAAATAAATATTGTTTAAATATAGGGGATAAGTAAACATATCTTTAAGAATCAAGGAATGTGATAGTTCCCCTTTAGCTCTCCCACAACAAAAACAAATAATAATACAATTTAGATATAAAAATAATTTACCTTCAAGGAATTTGTCCAGGTTGTCAGTGAAAGATGACCATGTGCTTCTTTCTGAACCATTGAAGGCATAATTATGTCCAGTTATGTGTGGTCTGATAGTTAGACCTTTAATAAAATATGAGAAACATCAAAATATTATTTTATTAAAATTACAATGAAATGTAAGAATTCTTGGTTCAACAATGATATACCTATGTGGAAATTTCCCAGTATGTGATTAGCTTAAGAAACGTGGTCCAAGGCAGATATTCTATGTCTCTTCATATAAGCATGTGTAGTGTTAGTGTTTTATGAACAACATGTGCCTATGAAATATTCTCCAGTGCTCATTTGAGGAAACCCTGAAAGACTTCACGGCTTTTGGGAAAACAAGGAAATACCTGATTAAAAAATTGAAGTGATTTGTCACATAGACTATCAAATATGTGATGTTGCGAAAAAGGACAGTCTGACAAATGTAAGCCTTGGATGCAGATTGATGCAATGACGTACGAATATCAAACCTAAAAATACTATCGGCAGACATATAGACAATACTAACATTCTGATATGCTCAATAAATCATTAGAAGATGTATTTTAGCTTAAATGTGCCACAGGTGACAAAGAGAACGAGAAAGACATTGTGAAGGAATAATGAAAATCGCAGTGAACGGTGGGTAGAAGGCCTGGCATAGGATCAGAACATGCCAGAAATGTATAACAAACAGAAAATGAGGAGATGTATTGGAACATTCATTAATGAAAGACAAAGTGTGTGTGTGTGCTGGAAAGGGTAAAGAGAGACGTATACATAAACACATTACGTATTTTGTCTTAGGTTCAACTGGTTTAAGTGTAGTTTTTCAGTTAAAGCTAAGGGGAATTTAATTTTTTTGTTTGGCTACATTGTGATCACCAGATGTTGTGAAGCCCTGAGCCCTTTTTTCTCTTCGTTTGTAATAGGTCATGAACACTCTGTCAGAGGAGGAGAAGCCGGCAGGATTAGTCACTAAAGGGATTTGTCAGGAAATCAAAGTGAATTTCAAATTTAAGACCACAATAGCCAGATAGGAAACTTTCTCAAAGTCAGCTATGCATTCAATTCAGGGTATTTTGGTATTAAATTTGAAATTCACATGGAATAACCCTGAGAGGGTAGTCACTCAAAAATACAAGGTATGCTATGGCAACACCTCCATTACATTCTAGATGAGTGCCAATGTATTGCTGGATATTCCAAGAGGACTTGCTGGTCTCCTTCTGCATGTGAAACAAATGAAACGGGCAAAGATCTTAGAATTAAATCTTCCTCTTTAGTCCCTCATCTGGTTTTCCAATCTAGCAATAATCTTCTAATGACAAACATCATGAGCAAAATCTCCTCTTTAACATTCGGCTTTGTTGCTTCATTGGCTGTTGTTGTTAAGCTGCTTGTTAAGCCTTGTGCAGTGGTCTTGAAAAGTCCTGGACTAATGAACTCTGTGTGAATACCCTAAAGGTCAGACATGAAACCTTTTGATAGATCACTGGAAAGAAGCCTATTAGGAAAATACAGTCTAAAAAAATAACTCAACACAAGAACGGTAAAGTTTACACAGTGACATGTATGAGTGAAATATACCCCACTTCAAAATGTTGGGTATATTATACTTGTAGATGTCCCTGTGTAAACTTTACTGTTTGTGTATTGTGTTATTTTTATTGTGAGAATTAAGTATAGCCAAAACATTTTTATTGGTTTATATTGGAGTCTATACAAATAACTAAGATGAAATGGAGCCATAAAAGAAAAGGCATGCCACATAAATATTTAGAGGTAACATGATTGACCTCGGGAATATGTAAAAAGCAAATAATTAAAAAAAAAAGTAAAAGACAATCAAACAGCGAAAACTGTAATCTATGATATTAGGATATGAGGGGATGGAAGCGATCAATGCCTTCCGTACTTCCATTATTATTTATTTATCATCACAATTTTGACAAAGACCTAATTTAAGGCTAAAATGTCATTTGTTTTCTTTAGAACAAAGTTCTACCTGTTTTTAGCAATACTATACAACAGACAAAAGATCAAACATTCAGACTGGAAGAAAGTCATTTTTGCTTAACATAGAAACATAGAAACATAGAAACATAGAATGTGACGGCAGATAAGAACCATTCGGCCCATCTAGTCTGCCCAATTTTCTAAATACTTTAATTTGTCCCTAGTCTTATCGTATAGTTAGGAAAGCCTTATGCCTATCCCACGCATGCTTAAACTCCTTTACTGTGTTAACCTCTACCACTTCAGCTGGAAGGCTATTCCATGCATCCACTACCCTCTCAGTAAAGTAATACTTCCTGATATTATTTTTAAACCTTTGTCCCTCTAATTTAAGACTATGTCCTCTTGTTGTGGTAGTTTTTTCTTCTTTTAAATATAGTCTCCTCCTTTACTGTGTTGATTCCCTTTATATATTTAAATGTTTCTATCATATCCCCCCTGTCTCGTCTTTCCTCCAAGCTATACATGTTAAGATCCTTTAACCTTTCCTGGTAAGTTTTATCCCGCAATCCATGAACCAGTTTAGTAGCCCTTCTCTGAACCCTCTCTAAGGTATCAATATCCTTCTGAAGATACGGTCTCCAGTACTGTGTACAATACTCCAAGTGAGGTCTCACCAGTGTTCTGTATAATGGCATGAGCTTACAGCAGAGGCAATGTTTTTCTTACAATAAGAACAATAAAAAGGTTATTGTATTATCAGATTCAATAGTTATTTTATAGATATAGCTGACATGGATTTTATTAAATTTTTTTGTTGTTGCAATAACAGAATATTCAAGTCCAAAATTAATATGTTGGTGATCAGGTTGTTGGTCCAAGGAGAAATCTGATTGCCATTATGGAGTCAATAAAAATGTTTTTTCTTTTTGTGTGTTTTCTTGCCTTCTTTTGAAACAACAGCATAAAGGAATAGGATTTAAAGCTCAAAATTGGTGAACTTTAGTCTTTTAGTCTTTAGTCAAACTAGATTTCTATGTAACTAGGTGACAAGCCAGCATTGGCCCAGGATATGCCTTCTTTTCATTCTAATACTACAGCAACACATTTTGAGACCCAAATCTCTCAAAGCTAAAATTAGTACGTCTCAAGGTCACACATAGATCAGATTCTGTGTCTAAATTGTAACACTAACTGAAACGGACCTGTGGGTTCACGCTTCAGGCTTCTTCCGTGCCCAATTTATCTTGATCCAGGAGAATGCTAGTGCCCTGTAGACAAGCCAATAATACGTGCCCAAACATTCTTTCCAGGTTCTCAAATAAGAAAACACTTATCTTGCAACATTAGTGCAAAACAAGGCATGTGTCCCAGTGCGCCTTAAACATTGTGATTTATTCTTTTCTATAACTGAGATTCATTACATTTTGATAAAAAGTTAGTGAAAAAAAACCCATTATTAACAGGATACTCACCCTAAATCAACACTCACATAGTCTGAGCTATGATTGCTTATTTATGTAAGCTACTAAATTTATTGCAATTTAAAAACAATTTTTTAAATTGTTACATAATTGTCCAATTATACATTCTTTCTCATCTTGTGTAATTCACAAATTTCCTATGTTTTTGCAGATAATCAGGCCTGCATTTTATTATTATATTCATGCATGTGTTTAAGAGCATAACCAAGGATGGGTGAATAGGGTAACAATCATGGATGCAGGTAAGATTTTTTTTAGGGATTTATTCTTTAAACTGTGGCTAGATCAAAAAAGGGTTATAAAATATTCTGAGTCTTCTGGATGTGATCCTTAAGGGGTTAAATGCGATGTAAAATTATGTAATGAGGTTCTAGAGGACTTACCTGGTGGGAAAACACGGTCTCTGTATGTCGGAACGTATGGGTTTATTGTGAGAAGCAATCCATATATACATAATGCAAACATCCCAGTAAGAAAAACGTATAAACAAAAGTAAAAAAATAAAATCTTGGCTGAAAAAAATAAAATACAAATATGAATACATTTCTGTATTGAGGAGGAAAAATACATCAAAACATTCCTATTTAGGTTAAATTATCCAAGAAAATATAGTCTAGAATAGCTGCATGGTTGTCACAATTTAACTATTTTAATCCATATAGTTTTTCACAAAAGGCAAATCTGCTTAATTTGGTTGCAGTTAGGTTGAAAATTGCCTAGTCAAGGTCCTACTATAGTGAAAAAATAGTAAACAGGAATCAATAGCTACTGAAAACTCAACAACTTTCCTCCCGTGCCTTCAAGTGCACCTATTGCTAGTCCCGCTGTATATTAATATATCATGATCCCTAAGGAAATTAGCATAATTGCTAGGTGAGTGAGTGGATAGATTAAAAGATCATCATGGTGGCAAGTCCATGTGCTATCAGATCATCAGGATAACACAAAAAAGGACGAGTGCGATTGCCTTGATTGGCTGGGGAGTGCTGAGAAGATGTTGCATGTTCATGTGGAGTGAGAATGGAAGCAGCTTCTAGTACGCTGTATCACCAGACCCAGCTTTGGCCAAGCAAGATGTCTGGGCTCCTAGAGAGGAGATGAAGATCGGAATGGGCAGAGTAGGTATCACATTGAGTGTGTGTCATTTGGTAGAGATGTCGTGTGCATTTGATTTTAATGATTGATTTGCATGTTTTTTTATTTATTTTATTTTCATGAGAAATTCTTTCCATTACTACAGTTTTGTGTTGGCTCTTTTAGATAATAATTTGGTTTCCTGTAGAAGTTTTGGCATTTAGGCCAAAAGCATGTTTGTCATACTGTCCAAGATGCTCAGGCCTTTCAGTAGATCCCTATTCAATTCTCGGTTCTTTCAACTTTATATTGTTAGTCAATTACCTGCAGTTTTATTTCCCATTTTTAAATATTCTAGACCACTGTGAAATGTGTTGGCACCATAAAAAGGTTAGTAGTAATAATAATGAGCATCACCTGCAAATATATATGTCATCACAATGTTCAGTGCTGCTACTCCCAGAGTTTGTATTGAACAACACTGATTAAACTTGGTTGAAGGCAACAAAAATCAAGAAGAAAAAAAATCCAGCTCAGTTCTGCTGGAGATTTTTCCATTTTGGTACTTTTAGCTACCGGTATATATTTCAAGCCAGTTGTTGACACAAAGCAAATGATAATTGAATAACTTCCTGTGAATCTTTCTAATATTTGAAAAGTGAGGAAAAGGATAAGTTTACAATTGAGAGAGGACAGTATTTCCCATGGCAACCTTATTAAAATGTCAGTAGGGTCTCACAGACACATATGTAAATTCACTTTGTTTTTCCCAAGTGACGTGATTATGGGAATATTTGTTTATGATATCTATATGGGGCTGCTAACACAAGACAAAAACATTACCAAGGAGAAGTCATAGCTAAAATTGAATTAAAAAAGTATCACAATAGATTAAAAAATACTCTTTCTCTCTCACATTGTAAGTTCTACTCTATTAAGCAGATAAAACAAGATGGTCCAGGCACTCAAATGACCTCAGATGGATCATCTTGTTTTCTCTACTACTGACCGAGGTACAGCCAAACTCCAGCTAATCACTGTGTTTCGTGGAGGGAGCGTGGGAAAGCTCTTAGTTCTACAGCATACTCTACAAAACAGGGCTTAAAACTAATTTGCCATCGCAAGCGTAAAGAGTCCATGGCACACTTATCAGGGCTGAAGTTCTTAAATTTTACTCGCCAATGTCTAGTGGCATGTATACATTTTGAGCTCTGAATATATATATTTTTATAAATATCATGATGGGCTAATTAAAGGGTCATAGACACAGGGCCATCTTTAACGCAGGGCAAATGGGGCAGCTGCCCCAGGCATAGTTATTTTGGGGGACCCAAAGCAGCTGCTCTCTGGGCCCTGCTGCCCTCAATTATTTATTTTTTCCCCATGGGACCCCGGTGCAGCAGGAGGCCCGCACATAAAAGAAGGCCCACCGTGTGGCCAATGCACTAAGGGAGACCTGGTGGGCCTTTGTAAGCAGGAGCCAGGTTGTGCGCTGTAGTCCTTTAACAGCGCCCTTTGCTTTTCGGCAGCACCGGGAGAGATCAAGGAGGCAGTGAGGAGGGGGGCTGGGCTGGAAGAGCCAGTCTCTAACTCACAAAAGCTTCAGCCACCACTCTGGATACCAGGGAAGGAACCCTTCAAGGTAGGAAACGGGATGTAGGTTTAAAAGTCCAAACTGTGCATGTGTGCGAATGTGTGTCAGTATGTCTGTCAGTGTGTGTATTTGTCAGTATGTCTGTCAGTGTGTGTGTGTGTGTGTCAGCATTTCTATCAGAGTATGTGTGTGTATGTAGCAGTATGTTTGTCAGTTATGTGTCTGTATGTTGCAGTATGTCTCTCAGTGTGTGTCAGTATGTCTGTCAGTGGATGTTTCTGTGTGTGTAAGTATGTCTGTCAGCATGTGTGTTTCAGTATATGTGTTTGTGTAAGTATGTCTTGCACCTCTCTACTTTAGTTCTCCCACTGTGTTAGGGTAAAATGTGTGGATGGACACCAGGGAGTGGGGGCTGGTGGTGGGCAGGGTCACGGGGCCCAAGAAACTGCTTTGCCCAAGGTCCTATTAATATTATAGATGGCTCTGCATAGACTAAGAACATTTAGGTAACTGGCATTCTGCATCACACAAAGCACTGTTTCATGGTAAGAAGCTAAACTATTTTTAACATCACACTGGATGCTCGAGCCTCATCAGTCACATCAAGAGAAGCCGGATTGCTCTACAGAGTAATTTGTTAATAATACTATCTTTAAAGGACCACTAGAGTGCCTAGTGCCCTGAGGGTGCCCCCACCCTCAGGGTCCCCCTCCCGCCCGGCTCTGGAAAGGGGAAAGGGGTTAAAACTTACCTTTTTCCAGCGCTGGGCAGGAGGCTCTCCTCCTCCGATCCTCCTCTTCTCCTCCCCGTCGGCTGAATGCGCACGCGCGGCAAGAGCTGCGCGCGCATTCAGCCGGTCGCAAAGGAAAGCATTCATAATGCTTTCCTATGGACGCTGGCGTGCTCTCACTGTGAAAATCACAGTGAGAAGCACGCAAGCGTCTCTAGTGGCTGTCAATGAGACAGCCACTAGAGGAAATAGGGGAAGGCTTAACCCATTCATAAACATAGCAGTTTCTCTGAAACTGCTATGTTTACGAAAAAATGGGTTAACCCTAGCGTACCTGGCACCCAGACCACTTCATTAAGCTGAAGTGGTCTGGGTGCCTAGAGTGGTCCTTTAGATTTTTTTTAAAAAATTTAATTTTTATGCTAAGGCATAAAATACTGATAAAACGCAATTTAACATAATGTTAAAATGAGGACATCCCATGTATTTGTATGGAAAATCTAGCTCTGCTTGGCCTACTAAATGACCGCAGTACACAACCTTTGAACCCATTTGGGGATTGTGGTAGAGCATCCCAAAACATAATAAAACACATCCTACAGATGTGTGCTAAGTGGGATTGTGCTAAAACATGAATATAAATGAACTATACAAACAATTAAGTGATGACATACCCCAGCTTTTTTTATCTCTTCCCATAAACTCCCCTTTGTAGGGATTCCAGATGAAGCGTTTGAAGTCTTGAATACGTTCTTTCCATGTTTTTGTCTCTTCTATGTCTCGCATCTCTGAAGCGTCGATTGAATAGTGTCGTCTCTTCAAACTCGCTTGTCTCTGGAAACAGTTACACAAAGCATCCCTGCTATTAGCAAATACTCTTTTACCCCTGGGACTCCTGTGTGTTTTTATTTGGCTAGCCAAGTTTAGAAAACATGTTCTATAACTATATTTAAAATCTGAAGTTCAGTTACATTTGTTATGTTAAAATAATCACATAGATGCTTTATAGTTTGCATCCATGTGAGTTGGAAAAAAAAATTGTTAAAATTACACGGTAAACATGGTAAAATATAGATGCAATTTCTTTCGCCTTTTCTCTTCAATGTTTTGTGTTTGCTTGTTTTATTTTGTTATTTTATTGCCAGAGCTGCTAAAATTTTAAAAAAAATAAAATAAAATGATTATATAAAAATAAATAAAAATTTCATTTTCAGATTTTTCACTTCCAAAAAAAACATTATACTAATTAATTTGTTAGCTTTTATTATTTAATTGATAAAAACATTATTTATAGTTTTCATTCATGTTGTATGTACCTGACATCATGTGTTAATGAGAAAATTCTTAAGGCTGTTAAGCATTTCTATTTATTTATTTTTTAAAGCTTGATTTTTACAGATTTGTAGATGAATTTCCTTTTTTCCTTTTAGTAGCTTTAATAAACTTACTTTCAGAATTGTCTGTGATAATTTACTCAACTATATGATGTATATATAGTTGTGAGTCTAGCGTGATCATGGTCTCAGTAGAATAAGGTTTGGATTTGGGCAAATAGGTTGTAGAATAACCTATTGATGGAAGGAAGGTGTAGGAGGCTGAGAAGAGCCTGCTTGTGCAAGCAAGCAGCCAGTCCAAGGAAGGTTACCACTGGTCCCAGCATGTTTGAATATATTTAGAGCAGTGATTTATATACAACAGTGCAAGTTCGATATTTTAGTGTACAAATGCAAATATTTCTATTCTTAAACTGTCCATGGGTGCCTTGCAATACTGAGATATCTTGTGCATGCTATAACCAGTGATGGATAAGAAGCTTCAGGGGCCTGGAACTAAATATTACACTGGTCCTAAATATACATTTTCAATTTGTGTGTTCAAGTCTTGTGCTTAGAACATACATGCATCTACAACTGGACTTTGCATCCTTTTTTTAAAACTATAATGGAAATTAAACTATCCATCTTCAAAAGCAGACTGACACACAGAAATGAATTGATAAGTCAGTCTGTCCTATGGGTCATATGGCACAGGGAATACATCCTACAGGTAATGGGGCAGAGAAGGTCAGAATATGTGCAATAAGTTGGGAGAAGAAATAGGACACTGCTATATGCAAATGGCTTGTGGCACATGTAAGCCCTCAGTTGTTAATCAGAGCACATATTAGATAAAGATTGGTATAAGGTAACTTTAGGTTTTATGTAAGTGCTTCCTGGGATGCTCAGCCAGGTCCAGGAAGATAATTGTGTCTTCCTGGCCACATGCTATTAGTATAGCACCCAGCATTTCAGGGCAGCAGCAGATTGTAAAAACATCTGGCAGCATAGATCCAATACAATGCAAGGGGCTGGAGCTTCAGCTCCAATAGGCCCTATGTTAACTTGGTCCTGGCCTTTACCACTAGATGTGCAAAACTTTGCACCTTCCCTTAATCATTTTCTAGAGGCTAAGAGTCTAGTCTTAGCCTCTGGAAAATGCACATTAAAAGGATAGACAGAGCACTGTCAGGGATATTCACTAAAGTATGAATTGCCAAGTATTCTAAGTGAATTTATCATTTTAGGGACAAGTAGCAAAACTAAAACATAGCTGTTTTTTCTCATTTCAGAAATTGTGACCATAAATGTTCAGTTATTATTATTAATGTTACTATTAATATTTAGAAAGCGCCAAAAGAAACTCTGCAGCGCTGTGCAATGGGTGAACTAACAGACAAGTATTTGTAACCAGGTGAGTAAGTTTTTTCATATTTTAGTTTTGTGCCCCCTTCTGGCAGGTGCAGATATTTCCTTTTTTTTTGTATTATAGGATTTTTTGTATTTTTTTAAACCTTGGACTCCTAAGAGGGAGAAAGAGTCTACATTCATTGACATGTTTTTTAAGATTTTTGATTGCCTGTCACTTGTAAGGTCTGCACATATTTTTATGGCATGTTGTTAACCATTTTTTCTATAACAAAGTATGCACTTTCCATAATTATGTGGATTATTCTGAGATGCTTATGAGTATGGACTGTTTGGCTGGTTTTCGTGACCCCTGCTCAAATGAGCCTAATTCTAGATTATTTTCACTTCACAACTGCTGTCAAGTCACTCTTTAATGAATACTGTGACAAAAGTGACTCTGATGTGTCACTCCAGCTGGGACCAAAGAGAAATGGTGATACAGACTCTTCTGCCAGAGCGGATCCTGGGCGGGTGCACTGCGCCCGGGCGCACTTAGATAAGGGGCGTAGAGGGGAGTGCTGTCAAAGGGAGCCCAGGAGTGGCCATTTGGCCACCTTAGGGCACTCCTGAAGTGACACTGACTGACTAAGGCAGTGGATGGCAGGTGCCTACTCTGAAGATATATGCTGGAGAGGAGGCAGGCAGCCGATGGCGGCGGTGAGGGAGGCTGATCTTGCAGTTCCTCAATCGTCCCTCACGCGCCCTCTTTGATGCCGGGAGCAGGAATATGATTTAATTCCGGACCCGGCATACTAGACAGTGCATGGGAGGAGTGAGGAACTGCAAGACTACAGCCCCACACTGGATCCCTGCAAGAGAGAGGGAAGCTGGATGGGCCTCAAAAAAAATTAATTTGTGAGAGTGTACAAGCATGTGTGAAAGAGAGCGTATGAGAGTGAGTCAGAGTGAGTGAATCTGTCAGTGTGTGAGTCAGTGAGTGAGTATGTCTGTCAGTGAGTGAGTGTGTCTGTCATGAGTCAGTGAGTGAGTCTGCCTGTCAGTAAGTGTGTGTGTCAGAGAGTGTGTGTGTGTCTGTCAAAGAGTGTGTGCGTGTCTGTGTCTGTCAAAGAGTGTGTGTTTCTGTCGGTGAGTGTGTGTGTATGTCAGTGACAGTGTGTGAAGCTACTCACCCATGTTAAAATAACCTGTCAGCCATCCCCATTTATACAGCTAATGTGAACTGTCCAAGAGTATATGTGCACAGCAATAACACTGGAAACAAGACCACTACCTTTCCCAATCACTGATGGCATTGGGGATTGCAGCAAATCTGTGTAATTGAGTCAGTGTGCATCAGTGTTTAGGCTCCTCTCTGAACCTTTATCAAGTCTGACTTGATAACTTGAAACTTTATAAAGGCTCAGAGAGGAGCCAAAACATTGTCTTGACTTTCTTGTTTCAAATAAGAAGACTGTCTTTTAGAGGAAACCTCAGGTGTGCCTGGATATTTCTTTTTTTCCATTTTATGTCATTGAAAGTTTGTCTGCCAGTGTGTGTATATCAGTGTGTGTCTCTCATTGAGAGTGGGACACTGTCAGTGAATATGTGTCTATCAGTGTTTGTGTTTCAGATCAGTAAGATTGTGTGTCTGATATTGTGCGTCTGTCAGTGTGTATCTCTCAGTGAGAGTGTGTGACAGTCAGTGAGTGTATGACTGATTAGAAAAATGGGACTTATAGATGGAGAGGTGGAGTCATTGACCACACCCACATGGGCGCCAAACAAAATTTCGTCACCCAGGGGTCTGCTGAGATATCTGCCTGGCTGATAACAAAGATAGCTCTTTGTTGTCAGGGTGGACATGCACAAAGGGAGATGGAAACTGTAACAAATAATATAGTTGTAAATAGGGTGGTGAGTGTTTAAAAACCCTGGTTCCTGTATAATAAAGTCAGTTGCTGTTTGCACCAAGAAGCTTGTTTTGTCACTTCCTTGAAGCCTTACGTGTATATTGCTATTTATTGTCCTCTGCAGAGTAGTTATAGAGTATTGCCAGAAGACAAGATAGAATATCCTATAGTAGCTGTAGATATCAGGGCAGTATATCTTGCATTGCCACTGTATCGTCACAAATACCATTGCATATTTTTTCTCATTAACAGGAAACACTTGTCCACATATCTTAAATAGATAATGTATTAAAAATCTGCAAAAATAAAATTATAAAAAAAATACATATGCATCTGATTATAATATACAATTACTTACAGCTTTTTTTTTTTAAATAAGATACTGAGACAAAGTATTGGACTAGCCCATTCCCAAATCAAGTATGAACATTTTTATTTTCATATATTTTGCAGTATGAAATCTAGTCCACAAATCCTCACTCACCCTCATTTATACTCTAGTTATGATTGACAGGCAGAGAAACACATTTCTCTACCAGAAGCAATTGGTCACTGATATAATGTCTGCACACGCCCCTTGTTTTCAAACAGTACAAGATGTTTCAATGGATCATATTATTCTTACAGTCAGGAAGGGGGAAGCAAGGATGGATCAGCATTACAGTAGCAGTCCAGGGATTGATAAAGAGTGCTATAAGAGTTGCAAATAGCTTTGTAAATAACTTTATTTTAGAAATATATAATTTAACTGTATTTACAGTATGTTGGCATTATGTTCAAATGCAGACAATCATTTTACATTCTGTTGCAATATTTAGTAAGCTGTACTGCTAGTAATGCCTTCAGGGTCCTTTCAAATACCTATAGGCAAGGTATTTGACCAATTTTTTAAATCGATTTTTGTCATATATACAGTATGTAGATATGGCATTTTGTAGATATGGCATTTTTACTACCGTATGTAGATATGGCATTTTTGCTTGTATACTAACATTTCAGATCCTGTATGATATTTTGCAAGATAAATCACACTGTATTCTGTCTAGATTGCTTTATTCTTCAAATACTTTTATAAAGCATGAACAATTAAGTGAACAATAAAAATAGTGTAGATTAAAATAATTTGAATGTTTACGTTTGTCTACAATTCAATCTATACACAGATGTTCTGTGTTATGATATGTCTTTATGCCAGCTATGCATAACTTGTTTCAAATAAATCTTAAGCTATTTTTTTTTTTATTTGGAAAGTGCTCGGTAGTGAAGAAGTAAAAATCCCTAGCTGTTCATTTAATCCTATGCAACGTTTATGGGATATTAGACAGGTGGGATGTAGGATTGGGAAAGATTTCCATTTTAAATTCTAGCTATTTAAAAAACAGCAAAGTGCTCGAGGTGCCAAGAGTGCTTCTTTAATTACTCTGTAGAGCAGAGACTACTAAATTGATAAATGACCTACGTTAAAGAATCATCGATTTACTATTTAACTTAAATTAGGATATAAAGCATAGAATGGCTTTACTATTTGTGGGCTGATATGTGAACCTTTACTATGAACTATGCACTGCATAGGAACCTTCTGTTGTGTGTACCTAATGTGATACATATATGTTCGAATGAAATACAAATACATGACATTCTATGTACACATTCAGTAGTATTTACTAAAATGAGAATTCCAAGCAAATTTTAAAATCAAGGTAAATACTGCCAAACAGGAAACATTCTCTAAGTCAGCTCTACTTCTAGTTTTAGCTAACCTTAAATCATAAATTTATTTTAAATTCACTTTAAATTCCTACTTTAGTGAATAACCCTGATGTTATGTGTTAGAACAATTCCTCACACATGTATAGTGTGCAAGAAAAATTAATTAAAAAATGTGGTCCTTCATCCCATCTGTTAATTCCTAGCACAGTGGTCTACAATGACAGTCCGATTTTTGACCTATTAGAATGTCTAGAGTGATCAGAAACTAAGCAGTTAGAGACTTCCCTTTTCAATTCATTTAACCCCTTAAGGACACATGACATGTGTGACATGTCATGATTCCCTTTTATTCCAGAGGTTTGGTCCTTAAGGGGTTAAAGGAACACTATAGTCACCTAAATTACATAAATAAAGCAGTTTTAGTGTATAGATCATTCCCCTGCAATTTCACTGCTCAATTCACTGTCATTTAGGAGTTAAATCACTTTGTTTCTGTTTATGCAGCCCTAGCATGAAAAAAAAAACCTGGTTTCACTTTCAAACAGATGTAATTTACATAAGCCTAAATAGAGCTCTCTTTACAGGAAGTGTTTATGGAAGGTTGTGCAAGTCACATGCAGGGAGGTGTGACTAGGGTTCATAAACAAAGGGATTTAACTCCTAAATGGCAGAGGATTGAGCAGTGAGTCTATACACCAAAACTGCTTCATTAAGCTAAAGTTGTTCAGGTGCCTATAGTGTCCCTTTAACATCAACTACTTAATTACTACTGTAATAGTTTTACATCTGTTGATATCTTTTGACACAATTCAGGATTGAGCTCATTGTCCCTCTGATTTTCATATGCTTGTTTGCATTACTGAGGTGGTTTCACCAAGGAGAACAGCACCTATGACTTCGACCTGCAGAAGCATCAGTCCTAAACCTCATTTCAATTCATCTTCACACTTGATCTTCTTTAATTGTTTTATAGTTAAATCATTGATAAAACACTCATTATCAGCAAACTATATGTTCAATATAGTTTTTTTTATTGTAAATCAAGTTTTTATAAATGTTTATGATTAAAACAAGAGCATACAATGCACGAACATAAAACAGAGTAAAAGAGGAATAAACACTGACAAGTAGATCCTTGTCCCAATAAAGGTGCTAATTAAAAAACGGTGATTTTATAAAAATGTAATTATGGTCAGGGAGCAATAGGGGGAGTCATTGGAACCTTTGCACCACTTTTATCAGGAAACTACCACATAATGCCTTCCATCGATACCCATGTCGCCACTCTCTCCCCATTACCCTATCCATGACCCCCAAGTCCACTTAAGGGAGGAAGCATCACTGTAACAAAGCTGGGAAGTCTGTTGACTCCATAGCTAGCAGCCATTGAGTCCAAATCTCTAGGTAAAGTTGGCTGCGGCCTGAGGAACCAAAATCAGATCTTCCATTGTTCACAGCTCCTCCATGCACTGAAAAACAATTGGAGCGACAGAGATATGGTTTGTCTCAAATATAACGGTTGTATGTGGAGGTTCTGATTGTGATGATATATAGAAGCATCCATGCCAGCTGGCACGAAGGTGGTTTGTCTGTTAACATTTGATATTCGTTTGTAATGTCTCTAAAATAGGAGTGGACAATCCCACCAACTGTGAAGAAATGAGCCATCGGCATTGAAGCAACGCCAACATGGGATAGATAGCATGAAGTAGCTGTGGGATTCTATATCACAGTGAGAGGGCCTTGTAAGCTGACTCTTGAAATCTGCTCTCTTTTGCACAATGATGAGTCACATCACAAATCGTTTACCACTGGTAAAGGGTCAATGTTACCCCCAGGTCTATCTCCAACTTTCCGAAGAATTTAGGTTTGTGTGTGTTAGCCTGCCGTTGTAGGGTAGAGTAGAGATATGAAATCTTATGTTCTTGGGGCCTAAGTTCTGAACAGAGTAGTGGTCATTGTAGGGAAAATTTAGCAAAAGTGAGTAGTTGTTTGTAGCAAAATTCCCTGCAAGAGAAATAGGTTTACCTTCTTCAAAAAAATATTGAGCGTGAGGTATCGAAAGCCCAAACATGCCTAGCAAGATGTTCGGCTCCACCCAGGGTGATACAGAGTTACAGACTTCTGTTTTGGACCATTCTACCACCATTAGCAAATGTGTGGCCTGATAATGTACCCGAAAGTCCTTAAGAGCAAGACTCCCATGAACCTTTGTTAGGGCTAGGGTGGAGTAGGTCAGCCTGCTTTTATGTCAGATGTACCTAATAACCAGTGAGTATAAAGATTTGAGGAACACTTTAGGAATGGTTATGGGTAGGTTTTGTAAAAGGTACAGTAGGCATGGCAAGAGATTCATCTTAACCACTCCTACCCTGCCCAGCCAGTAGATATGTGGCAAATCCCAGTCCCCTAAATTCTGATGAAATTTGTTAAGGATCACCTGGAAGTTAGCTGCAATTTTCTGTTCTGTTTTGCCTTTCAAATGGCAATAGAGGCAATAGATGTCAGGGTTTTATCTAATCATATTAAGAAATGGTTCAAGGGCAAGGACAAAGAGCAAAGGCAAGAGCGGGCATCACCCAGTGCTCAATCAAAACTTCATTAGGGAAACAGGAAATGTTTGCCACCAAAGTCTGGGTGGGATACTTTGGCCCTCCTGGATGGAATTAAAGGCTTTGAGTTTGTAAGGGGACAAAATATCAAAGAAATTTTAAAAATATCTGAGCGGGAGCCTGTCCATGCCAGGGTACTTGCCTGTTTTATAGTACTTAAGAGCTAAAGCCACTTTACCTCCTGACTAAGGGGTTTGTCCGAGGTGGCTGCTATTTCTGCCATTTCTGCATTTGATAAGTTGTTGTTAATCCATCTAGATATGTGAGATGTATGGGTTTCTGTCAGCACTCTAGGCCAGGATGGGAATAGTTTAGAACTTTTCATAGTGTGTACAAACCGTCTCCAATATACCATGTAGAGCCCCGCATTTGTTAGCATTAGAGTAAAAAAAAAAAAGGGCTTTGACTGCAGGAGGGCTCTATTGTGTAACGTGGTAAGAATCCGTGCTAGGTCCCAGTGTAATTTGGTAAGTTTCTGATAGTGTGCCAAATCAAAAGTACATTTGTGCATCCTGTCTAGGGTGTATATTGCTGTAAGTAGGTGAGTGATTTGTGCACTGTGGGCCCATTTCAGGGCAGTTCCCCTAGCGATGAAGAACACTATCATTACATATTTATGTGTCTTCCACTGTACCAGAGGAGAAATGTAACCCATGTAATTTTCCTGAAAATATTGAGTCTTGTCTGGGCTTCCCCAGCCACTGTGTCGTCAGAGAGAAGAATCTCATTAGGTTTCCAGTTAAATGCATTATGTTGGTGCTACCATGTTGCTGTGCCAATATAGGGATGCATCCATAGTGATCCAAGTATGGGTGTGCTACCCGGAAGAAGCCCAAATCACCCCTGAAATCCAAATGATATCTGACCTGGCCACAAGGTGTCAGTCCAGCAATATAAACCCTCTGACTCACCAAAGATATCTTTCCAACTGCCCATAAAGTGGCTAGCATGGTAACCTGGTGACAACCTGATATGAGAGCCTAAGCCAGTGGTCCCCTCGAGATAGCCCAACAACTCTTTCCGCCATCCATTCCATGTCACCCCCAGCTAGCTTGCATACGTAGAGACTTTGAGGGTCTTCCAAGGACTCAGGGGATGTAATGGCTGTGTAGGGTACCTGATAGCTCGTAGGCCTCAGTCTATGCAGGCTGAGAGGAAAGGTCTGCTGGGGTTGAGCAGTACTGCCGCAAATCCATGTTGGGATTTTTAAACTGGGAACAGTGATGGTCTGTAGTAGGGCCCCTAAGATGACTTTCAGGAGAGTTGCTGGGGAACTGCACTCTACGAGTTAAATACTATTGCTGAATCTCATTGCATATGAAAACAAGAGGGCTGCACTCATCTGAACGTGCATACATTATAAGGGTGCTTCAGGGGCCAATTCACACAACATATAAGGTCCAGCGCATGCACTCATTCACTAAACAGCAATTTCAAAACTCAAAGAATGTAATAGTTTTTCTAAAAAGCACCTAACCTAGGCTATAATATTGGGGGTTTAGTTACAGTATATGATCATACATTGCATAAGCCTGCCACAATGCCAATATATCCCATTTTAAGAAGGTCCTATCTTAGCAAAAGGACTGTTTGTAGGTCTTCTTTCACTGCTCTTATGAGATAAATTTGCTTACTTGGGAAATCCTTCATCCTGTAGTTCTCAGTAGTGCAAGGTTAAATAGGGACCTGGAATGAGGCAACTCTAACAGGGAGGGGTGCAAAACAGGGAATTGGCCTGTACTCCAGAATATATTTATATATGGAAACAAGAGGGCTGCACTTACCTGACCATGTATACATTACAAGCATACTGCTGGAATTGCACTGAATACCTTGGCTGTGCATCATGAGATTCCAGAAAGCATCAAGAGCACACTACTCATGTGTTGAATGGAGTGGATATAACATTGAAAGGCAGGGGTATATCACAAGTAAGGGTCATTGAGTTTTCCTGTGGGCTTCTCAAAGATTCTTAATATATTACACACCCTTGGTGACTGGATTTCTCTGGGGATAATCATAAGTGAGTATACTGGGATATTTTTTTTTCTGATCTACTTTCTGGTTCCTGAGTTTATACTGGGTCCCTCCACTCCAGACACATTGTATATATAGTTATCAGTCATATATGAGTATGTCTTAATATTTAGCTTTTATAATTTTGTTTTGCTTTAAAAAAAATCTTCTATGTGACAACAAAACTAGTTGTTTTTTTTTTTTAGCTTTACCTTGTTTTATATGTTTATATTACGGACAACTTATGGAGATAAATAAACCAATAACCTCTGACGATATTAAAGTAGCAATACATAAGTTACAGTTAAGTAAAGCTCCCGGTCCAGATGGCTACTCAAATAAATTTTACAAGATATTTAGGGATACTCTTTCTGAGCGCCTTGCCAGGATATTTAATGAGATAGTGGAGAATCGCACATTTCCCAAGGAGATGCTTCAAGCAAATATTGTCCCAATTTTGAAACCGGACAAAGATCCAGCTAAATTGGCAAATTATCGCCCAATATCTCTCCTTAATGGAGACGTAAAAATCTATGCTTCGATTTTAGCAGACCGCTTAAAAATCTGTATTCCCGCTTTGATACATCAAGATCAAGCAGGATTTATACCTGGCAGAGCAGCCTCTGGAGGCCTTAGGAAGAATGTCCCTCTTCTGACCCTGTCATTGGATGCTGAGAAAGCGTTTGACAGGGTTAGATGGGACTTTTATGGGGAATGCACTTAAGTCGTATGGCATTGTGGGAGTGGTTTACGATGCTATTATGGCATTATACACTATGCCCTCTGCTAGGACCATAGGACCAGGAATAGAGGCAGACTGGTTTAATATTAAGAATGGTACTAGGCAGGGCTGCCCTCTGTCTCCGCTACTCTATGTTTTAACCATAGAGCCTCTGGCAGAAGATATTAGGATAAATGAGAAGATTAAGGGACTTAGGCTCAATAATGTAGCACATAAGATCAACCTATACGCAGATGATCTCATGCTTATGATCCAGAATCCCAGATCCTCGCTACCGGAATTGATAAAAATATTGGCCCAATATAGTGAATACTCAAATTATAAATTAAATACAAACAACACTACAATAATGACAACTAACTTATCTAATGAAGAAAAGTATTTTATTAAAATGTCTTATGACTTTGTTTGGGTAAAGGATAATACTATTTTTCTTGGTATTAAAATTCCAAGAAATATAAAAAAAAATAATAGAGGTTAACTTTCTTCCACTTATAAAATCTACAAATAAGATCTTAAAAGAATGGGTTAGTAGAGAGATTTCCTGGATAGGGCGTATAAACACCATTCGCTCATATATTCTGCCTAAATGGAATTATCTTTTTAGAATGATACCTATACAAGTTCCAACTCCATGGTTAAAAATGATACAATCAGCTTTTTCCAAATTCATTTGGAAGGGGAAAAAAACGAGAATAAGCTTACAGTTATTATCTAAGAAAAGAAAAGATGGCCTTGCCGCCCCTAATATAATAGAATATCATAATGCCTGTATGCTGGCACACGCCGCTAACACCTTAAGTAGTGATCAAAAAGATCAAGCATGGTATCAAATAGAGCAATCCTTAGTAGAGACAAATAACTTACCTGCTTTATTTTGGACAACAAGGAAGCAGGAAAATAAGAATAACTTAGTACACCCAGAAAATTCTACTATTATAGATAACATTCTGAGATATTGGTATAAGATTAAGAAGAAACTTAAAATAGAATATAGACTGTTTCCTTTTTTACCCTTAGAGGTAATTAAGGGGAACATTGAGGATATTAATATTAGGGGATGGATACAAAAGGGAATTACGAATATACAAGAGATTATAGACAGAAAGGAAATTAAGTCATTTAATAAGTTACAATTAGAGTTTGGGATCGATAGCAAGGAGATATTCACATATTTAAGAATCAAGTTTTATTTGGCGAAATTTATGGATTTCCAGCTTAATAAAAACATCAGTAATTTAAAAAAGATTCTGGAAACTCATAGAGTCAAAGGTCATATTTCTAGATGTTATGAGTTTCTAGGGGACTCTCAGAAGCTTTCTGTCTGGAAATCTAAAATAATGTGGGAAAAAGATCTACATATTGTAATCCCTGAGCAAGACATGATAGTTGCGATTGTTAAGGTCAATAAATCGGTACACTGTTTGAATATAGTAGAGAATTTTTATAAACTTACGAACAGATGCTATATGATTCCAGAAAAGTTGGCTAAATTGTACAAAGATCCGAATCATCTTTGTTGGCGATGTGATGATGGGAAAGGAGATTATCTCCATATATGGTGGCACTGTAAATCTTTAAGTAAAATATGGAAGTTTATATACCAACAGATTTACAATGTTTGCCAGATATATATACCTTTCACGCCCCAAAGTTTTCTGTTACATCAGGGATGGCCCTCTATGCCTACTGAGAAAGTTATGCTGATAATACATATTCTGATGGCAACCAAGATAGTTCTAGCCAGATATTGGAAAAGTAATAAAGCTCCAGATTGGATTGAAATTAAAAAACAAGCAATATATCAATGTAAAATGGAAAGTGGAATAATCCAAGGAAATTCTGTTGGTTTGAGGAAATTCTGTACTTGGGAAAAAATGGTGGATAAGTTTATTGCTAGTAATTATAGCTTATAATATAGAAGGTTGGTGCAGCCCCCATTGTGCGTCTGATCCTGGAGGGATACTAGCAAAAATGTACTTAACAATTTAGGAAAGTTATAAGGGGATGGAAATATGCTAGTTCCACGGGATGGTATGTGTGAATGGTATGAATTTTGGTTTTAATGTTTCCTCTATTTTGATATTCATGTTTTCCATAGATATGGTTACTCTGTACTGAGGTACTCTGGCAATGATATAGAAGTATATCTATGGATATAAGTATGTAAGATATATACATATATTGATTGAATTAATGTTTTTTTTTATTAATTCTTGCATCCTGTTTTAACTGAAAACATTTCTAGGTGTAATTTTTGAAATGTCTATAGAGGAATTGTATGTATGTTTTTGTAATTCTAATATGGAAAAAAACTTTTTTTTTGTTTAATTCGAGTTTTATTGTTATTTCTCAACGTATAACGGGGATACAGAAGGCAAGAAGGGAGGGTAAGGTATGCGGTTGTGGTTCGTACATTTTATACAGCAATGTCGAAATAGACAAATATACATCGATCCCCATTGTTCTTTGCATATTGGTACCGCTGATATTGTCTCATCATTTTGTATTACACGAAACCTTGGTGCATGGTTGGTGACTAGTGTCCCCAGAAATATTGGGGGGTAGGGAATGGTGGGGAGAGCGGGGAAGTACTATATACATGGGGAGTGGTGGGGGGGGGGGAGGTACAAGGTATCTTTTATTGTTATTACTGTTCCGTCTATTGTGGATTATTCTGTACTAATGCCCAGTGTTTTAGCCATGGTTCCCATATGTTTAGGTATGTAGTGTATTTGCCTATTGTGGACCAATGTAGCATTTCCATTTCTCTCATGTGCTCTACCCTTTCTATCCATTGTTTGGCTGTGGGTGGTACATTTTGTTTCCAGTGGACCGGTATAAGGTTGTTTGCTTCTCCCAGAAGGAGCCATAGTAGGCGCTGACTCTTCATACATTGAAAGGAGTGTGGCCATCCTAGCAGAATTTGGGAGGGGTTAGGGAGTGTGGTAGTTTTATGATCTCATCGATCTTGGAGGTCACTTCTGCCCAGTATGTTCTCATGAGTGGACAAAACCACCACAGGTGTTCCATACTGCCCACCTCTCCCCCGCACCTCCAGCATTGTTCGCTAACTGTTTGCCAATATAGATGAAGTACCTCCGGGGTTCTATACCACCTAGTGATACGTTTATAGAAGGACTCTTGTCTTCATAGGCTACTGGAGGTGTGCATGGGTTTTGTGAAGACATATGCCCAGTCCTGGTGTGACATATGGATGTGAAGTTCCTTCATCCATTTACGTTGGTATGCTAGGGTCTCTTGAGCATTATCATTAGTTTGGATGAGTTTATAAATTTGTGATAGGGTGCGTTTTATCGGTTGTGTGGTGGTGCATAATTGCTCAAAGGGGGTTGAACCTCTTGGGTTCCAATATGGTAGTACCGCTTGAGTGATAGAGTGTCTTAGTTGTGCGCATCTCATAGCTTCCATGAGCGAATGGTGGCCTCTCGTAATTTGGGGTTGCTTGACTTTAGGGGGTGTATCTCCTGTCAGCAAGTCTCCTATTTGTGGGTTTTGTATTCCCCATAGTTTTAGTATAGTATCTGCCCCTCTGCCTCCTAATATATCCGGGTTGTGGTTTAACGGGTATAATGGAGATATGCCCGGTGACAGTTTCCAGGTATTTTTGTGTAATCTCCACTTCTTTAGAATGTGGGGAATAAGGGGGTGTGTCATGGTGGTCAGCCGCTGAAGTTGGCATGTCTGCCAAGGGAGGGATGGTAAAGGAGCCTGTGCATACATTTGTTCTATGTCGTACCACGCTTTTTTGTGTTTTATATCTATCCATTCCCTGAGTCTAGTGAAAAGGACTGCTATGTAGTAGTTGTACATATGGGGTAGTCCGACACCTCCTTTCTTTTTATCCCGTGTGAGTATGTCATATGCCAGTCGGGATTTTTTATTTCCCCAAACAAACGTAAGGAAGATGTTTTTCAGTGTGTGGAAGAACTGGCGTCCGAGCTCGATGGGGAGTGTTTGAAATGTATATAAAACTTTTGGCAGTATCATCATCTTAATGATGTTGACTCTTCCAAAAAGGGAAAAGTGGGGTTTGTCCCAGTGTTTGAGTTGTGATTTAATGTTATCCAATAGGGGAATGTAGTTCATTCTATAGAGGCTTGTCGTTGTGGGTGCGAGTTTGATGCCTAGATATGTTAGGCCTGTGTTTGCCCATCGATAAGGGTAATTGTGGCTTATGTGTTTGAGTTGGGTCGGTTTTAGGTTGATGCCCATTAGTTCGCATTTATCAGCGTTTATTTTGAAATTTGAATATGTACTGAAGTGTTCTATTTCGCTCTGAAGATGCGGGAGGGAGCGCTCAGGGTGTGTGAGTGTTAGGAGTACGTCATCTGCGAAAGCAGATACTTTTACTTCCTGGTCTCCTGCCCTGATGCCTTTAATGTTGGCATTTGCCCTGATGGCGTTCAGAAATGGTTCCATCACCAGAACGAATAGTAGTGGCGACAGAGGGCACCCTTGTCTTGTGCCATTACCTATGGCAAAGGGGGGAGAGTCTTGCCCATTGACTCCAATTGTGGCTGATGGTCCTTTATATAGCGTTCTCACCCATCGTATGTAATTGGGGCCGATTCCTGGGGTTTCAAGGGTGGTGAATAGGAAGGTCCAGTCTACTCGGTCGAACGCCTTTTCAGCGTCCACCGAGAGGAGTATTGTCGATACCCTGGTGGTAGAGGCACCATATATGAGGTTGAGTAGTCTTGTGGTATTGTCTCTCGCCTCCCTTCCAGGGATGAAACCCGCTTGGTCTGTATGGACGAGGTCAGGCAGTAGTGTCTTGAGTCGGTTGGCAAGAATTTTTGCAAGCAATTTAACATCGAGGTTAATTAGGGAGATGGGTCTATAACTACCACACAGGCTCTGGTCCTTGCCGGGTTTTGGCAGGTTTGTTATCGATGCTTTCAGCATCGGGGGTGGTAATTCGGTAGTGGTTAGTAGATTGTTAAGTACTTCTAGATAGTGGGGAGATAGGATGTGTTGGAAAGATTGGTAATATCTGTCCGTTAGGCCATCTGGTCCCGGGCTTTTACCCTTAGGAAGTGTTTTAATTGCTCGCTGCAATTCTTCCAGCTGGATGTGGGAGTCTAATATGGTTGACTGGTGTGAGTCTATTGTTTTTTGGGTATGGGAGGAGATGTATGTTTTAATGTCATGGGAAGTACCTCTTTGGTGCTCTAGGTTATATAGGTTACTATAGTATTCCCGGAAGATTTTGGCTATGTCCTCTGTTTTGTCTTTGCGTGTACCGTCTTGCGCCTTTATGTGGGATATGTATGTTTTTTGGTGCTTTTCTTTTAGGGCTCTGGCCAGGAACTTCCCACTCCTATTACCATGTGCGTAGTATGTTCCCCTGGTTAGAAGTACTGCTCTGTGTGCCTGCATCGTAAGGATATTGCGTAGATCCATTCTCAATGCCGTTAGCTTGTTATACGCCTCCACTGAGGGGTCGGTTTTATGTTCCATTTCTGCTCTAGCTATTGCTTCTGTGAGTGATTTGATCTTTGCTTGGCGTTCTTTTTTTATACGTGCACCGCACTTAATCAGTATGCCTCGGGTGATACCTTTGTCTGCCTCCCATACCCAGGTATCTGCGGTGTCTTTGTTTTTGTTTTCAAGAAAGTATCTAGGGAGGGAATTATTGAGGTCATCAGTCACTCTTGGGTCGTCCAAGAGCGATTCATTTAACCGCCACTTGTTGGTGGGTGTGCATGTTCCTGTAATGGATAGTGTGAGGAACACTGGGGCATGGTCTGACCATGTGATGTGGCCAATTGATGCTTCCTTTAACAGGTGTAAGTGCCTATGTTCTAAGAGGAACATATCCAATCTGGAATAACTATGGGCCACCTGTGAATAGTAGCTATAGTCCCTCTCCTGTGGGTGGGATATTCTCCAGCAGTCCACCAGCTGGTGGGCATGGAGGGATCTTTGAAATAAAGCCCTTTGGTGTATCTGTGTGTCTTTACTGGTTGTGGAGCTGTCCATAGAGTGGTCTAGGACCATGTTCCAGTCTCCCCCTAAAACTATTATCCCATTAGCAAATTTGTGTAGTTTCCTAAGACATGAGTTGGCAAATGATACTTGTTTGGTATTTGGGGCATATATAGTTGCTAGTGTCACCAGTGTGTTATTCAGTGAGCCCTTAATAAATAGGTATCTTCCCAAGTGGTCTGTTTTGATTTCACTCGGGGTGAAGACTATGCGTGGTGATATTAAGATGGCTACTCCTCTCGCTTTGCCCCCGTGATAGTTGCTGAAGAATGCTTGTCCTATTGTTTTTGCCCTTAGTTTAGGGGTTTGATCCCCCTTTAAATGCGTTTCCTGTAAGAAAACGACATCAGCCCGTTGTCTGTCTATTTCTTGGGTTAGTACTGTACGTTTCTCTGGAGTATTAAGTTCCCTGACATTTAGGGACATTATTTTGAGATCAGCCATTGGGGGTCAGGTGGTAGTGATGGCGTGTCTCCTCTGGGTGGTAATGCTTACACTTGTACCTTCGGGGGTCAGAGGGGTGTATGGGGGGATGTAAACTTGGAATGCTATGTACAATGAGCATGTGGGTAACATGCATCTACCAGATGGTGTCTAGCGCGCTAGGCTCTGTGTGAGTCCTACGTGCTCTCTGCCACACCTCTCGGGGGTTACGGGGTCTTGGTTGTCCAGAACTTGGCCTGTAATCTGATTGGTAAATTTATCATTCTAAAAGCGTTTCCTATAGTGTGGCCTGTGTTTTCTTATGCTAACTCGTTATAAGGTTTGAAATGTGGGTTTCTATCCCCTAATTTCGCGCAGCCAGGGCCCGAACCCCAGGGAGGGTGTAGGCGGTGGCCGCACGAAAGGCAGTTTAAATCTACAATATGATAATCAATATTCAAGTCACGACAAACGGCATACAACTTTCAGTCATATACGAAAGAGCATCCAGGTGCTTCAGAAGTCTGCTTAACATAATAAAGGATATATTGGGTCCCTTAGGTGGGTCTGCTTGTGGTGCCTCTGGGTGACGTGGTCTGTTCATTGCCCGATGGGATACACCTTCTGCGCTTCTTCGGGGTTCTTTGCCATTTATTTTTCTGAGAGGCGTGTGATGTCTGTCCCAGTGTTAGCCCTGTCCAGTCCTCCACTGCGGCCTTTGGTAGTTTTAGGGCTTGCTGGAAGGCTTGGACCTCCGCAGGTGTCGAGATAGAGTACGTTGTCCCTTGCTGAGTGACCACAAGAGCGAAGGGATATGCCCATCTGTATCTAATGTTCATGTCCGAAAGGGCTGTTGTTATGGGTCTGAGTGCTCTCCTCGCTATGAGGGTCGATTGTGCCAAGTCTTGGAAAATCAGCACTTTATGGTCGTCATGTTTGATTTCTCTGAGGTGCTTAGCTTTTTGCAGGATTGCTTCTTTGAGTGGGAAGTGGTGGATTTTACAGATAATATCCCTCGGTTTGTCCTGGGGCAGTGCCCGAGGTCTAAGCGCCCTATGTGCGCGGTCAAATTTAATGACTGTGTCAAGAGGCCTGCCCAGTATCTTGTTAAAGAGGCCAGTGAGTAGGAGTATGATATCTTCTGTCTCCCCCTGCTGTGTTTCAGGGAGACCCCTTATCCTGAGGTTGTTTCTCCTGCCTCTATTGTCCAAATCCTCTATTTTTCTTTGTAAGAATAGGATGGCTTCATTGTGGGTTTGCTGGAGGGATTGTATGTTTGTGAGATGCAGAGCACTTGCCTCCCCTTCTTCTTCTAGTGTCTGTACCCTGTGGCCTATTTGGCTTACCTCTTCGTGGAGCGATTGTAGTTTGTCCCCAAAGCTCCTCTCCATCTTGGAAAACATCAGTTCCAGATCTAGTTTAGATGGTAGTTGTGAGAGTAGGGTTTTTAGGTCGTTACCCTCTAATGAGCTTTCTGAGGGTGCAGGGCTAGAAGGTGCGCTGTGCGCGGGAGATTTCTCTACCTCCGCCATCTTGGATTTGCTCTCCGGCTCCGGTTTTTCTCCGAAATACCGTCGGAGGGAAGTTTTGGACGTGGTAAGTGGTACCGCTGGGGTAGTGTTTGCCTGTGCTCGAGGTTTTTTCGATGCCATGTCGTCTTAGCTGCCGGGGATGCTGCTTATAAGGCCTGTTCTGGACGGAGCTCAGCTCTCATGCGGCCATTCACTCCGGTGACCAAGCCACGCCCCCCGGAAAAAAAACTTTTGAAGAAATAAAAATATATAAAAAATAGATATGGGTTGGAGGGAGAAGGATAAGGGTAGGACACAAGTATTTGGGGCTAACAGAAATATAAATCAAGAAAATCTGGTAAGTTGGTATCAGAAAAACTAGCTGGTCAGTTCATGTGGACAGCCGAAAGCAGCCAAGTGCTCTATTAACTCACATATTTAGTCTTGAAATTGACATGAGAGCTTACATTTCATCATTATGCAATAGTGTAAAAACTTATTTTTAAACCTGCGGAGTTTGTCACTAAGTGCAGATAACTGTTTTTAGTGTAATTTTGTTTATACACTAGGACTGAATAATATATGCAATGCAGCCATCTAGGAGTGATGGTAGTTTGAGCACACGGCTAACAAGTTTTTATAAGTAGATACAATGAATTATACTGAAGAATGTTGGATCATGAAATCACACAAGAGGATTTAAATATCAAAAGCAATTATCAGAATCCTACATCAGATTATTTAATTATAGAGGGAGACTTGTTTTCTTTGGATATTTATCACAATGAAAATATAACACATGGTCGCCCCCTTTCAATCTTGAAATGCCAAATGAGAGACGAAAGTAAGATATGTCCTGGGACTAGATCCAAGAAAATTAATATATCCTGCTGTATCTGGCGTAATAATATATACTGGAATACCCCATGCTCGCTCCTGGTTTTAAAAATACCTTGTCTTGTTTGTCTGGTATAGGCCTTTCTCTCTTGGGTATACGAAGAAGAATCATATTATTGGAGATGTGATTTATTTCTGTTCTGTTGCCCAATTTGCAAATAACATTCGTAGCCTTTTTTAGACTTTAGATGCACCCATAACTATCAAAGTAAAGTGGTCCTGTTGCCGTGTCCCTGTCTGCTTAATTGCGCAAATGAAAACATTGACGTTTTGCAGAAAAGGCAATGGTTTCATTGCGGTGTTAACATAGTCACAGGATGACAGCCACTAGAGCCACGGCCACAGTTATAACTGAGTTAAACTAGTTAGAGGTCAAATGACTCTCAGTGATAGTGCACTGCCTCCCAATACTTTCCTATGGGGAAGTATGGATTGGCTAAGATAATTCAGACATGATCACGATCAGGGAAGTGGTGCGCCAGCATGCAGCAGGATGTAAGGTAAGTTGAAACACTTGCAAGAGGGGTGGACACCTACGTAGGTTTGCATCCCCATGTTATAACACACCTCCCAACAATTCAAATGGACAAAGAGCAACATTTGTATTTTTTATGTGTGAATGAAGGTGTGGCCAGAGGCAGCAGAGAAAGTACCATACTGACTGAATGGGCTCATTCCAGTGCCTCCAACCCCCAATTGAGCACTTGAAGGGTGAAGGAGGACTGTTTGCTCTGTGTGTATGCATTTGGCAGTGTATGTGTCTATTAGACAGTTTGTGTTTATGTATTAGACAGTTTGTGAGTATGAGAAAGTTGGTGTGTGCTGTTGTATGTATGTATTACATGTATCTAATCGTCACATATTTCAGTGCATGTTAGGCAGTTTGTGAGTATATGTCTATAAAGCAGTTTCTGTGTGTGTACCAATGTGTGTATGTATTAGGCAGTGTGTGTGTGTGTGTGTGTGTGTGTGTGTGTGTGTGTGTGGTAGTTTGTGTGTATTAGGCAGTGTGTGAAAGTGTATTTATTAGGCAGTGTGTGTTGGTGTATTTATGTATTGCCAGTTTATGTGTGTGTGTGTGTGTATGTATTTTTGCAGTGTACATGTGTGTATGATTATATATATATTAAACAGTGTGTGTATATATAAGGTATTTCGTTTTTAGTGAATAAACTTGTGACTCAATGGAACTATCCCATGAGGGGGCAGCAATATAGATCTTTGCCTAGTGTGGCACAATTCCATGCACTGGCCCAGTGTGTCTGTTTTTGTTTATAGCTCTGTGTCTATGTATATCAATGTGTGTATATAAATGTATGTGTGTACATGAATGTAAGTATATGTGAATATAAATGTATGTAAATATATATGTATTGATGAATATGTGTATGTGTGGTAATTTGTGTGTATTTATTAGGCAGTGTGTGTTGGTGTATGTATGTATGTATTGGCAGTTTATGTGTGTGTGTGTGTGTGTGTGTGTGTGTGTGTGTGTGTGTGTGTGTGTATGTATTTGGCAGTGTGCATGTGTGTATGATTATATGTATTAAACAGTGAGTGTATGTATAAGGTATTTCGTTTTTAGTGAATAAACTTGTGACTCAATGGAACTATCCCATGAGGGGGCAGCAATATAGATCTTTGCCTAGTGTGGCAGAATTCCATGCACTGGCCAAGTGTGTCTGTGTTTGTTTATGGCTCTGTGTCTATGAATATCAATGTGTGTATATAAATGTATGTGTGTACATGAATGTAAGTATATGTGAATATAAATGTATGTAAATATATATGTATATATGAATGGCAATTTGTTGATGTAATTTCCCTAACAAAAGTTGTTTTTTTACAGTTGTGGGGGGAAGGGTTATCAAAATAGAGTTCTGCTCCGGGTTCCATATAACCTAGGTACACCACTGTACCAGTGGTCTCTTCTAATGGCAGGCCATAACAAAATAGTTTACTCTGGGCTAGTGTGACCTGTTGGGCATTATACACTATGTCGTCTGGTTGGAGAGATAAAAATACCTCTCAAGAACGTGATGTCAAAATGAAAGTTGGAAGTTATATGAGGAGATCGTATGTGGCAAAAAAGTTACCCGTTGAGCTGTTACAGCTTTCAGTGTTTTCTGCCAACATAGGGAGTTACATACTTCTGTTGGTTATATGAAGAATCGCAGGAAACAGGAAATTGGGGGAAACTAACCAGGGAACTGCAATTTAAATGAATTAAAGGTACATTAATTTACATTGCCATAATTAAAAAAAAAAAATCTTAGTAAAATATCTTTGTCATAATACACCATCTCTTTTTTATATATTCATGTATTTTTACATGAGGGGACAATGTCTTCATCCATAGAGACCAGTTTTTCATGAATTGCTCAGTGGTTTCATAAAAGGCAGTCATTGTTTTTTTCCATTCTAATCAGGACTTGCGTCCCAACATCTAGCTAAGCATATTCCCATGGCTGTACATAGTTGAAAGCTAGGCTTATTAGCTGACATGGGAAGGGATACTTCCATGTTGTCTCTGTTTAAAAATGTTTATCTTATTTTAAACCTGAGTGTCTCAATTTAGGAAACCATTACTTGTCTTGAATGAACTATCAACCAGAAGAAAAAGGCTTTGTTGTAATCCTAATAATTTATCGGCAAATAATTTCTGTATGCATCGAATCAGTGTTTGTCAACTTCAGCCCCCATTTAAAAGTGCAGAACACTGTTTTGAAGCAAAGGATGCATATCTAGCCTATAGACATATCAATAAATAGCCATTTTGAACATAGATTGCTTTACAGACAAATGTAAACATTACAATTATGCAAATGTAACATTTTTTTTATTTTTAACGTATTTGTTCATTCTACTTTGCCTTTATCTTGTATTATTTTACACATGGTCTGAAATATTAGTATAAAAGGAAAATGCATTTTGTTTACAAACAGTAGGTATGACAAAAATAAATAAATAAAAATGGTCAAATAGCTTGCTTATAGTTGTACTTGCAGGGACCACTAGTGCAGCTTAATGAAAATGGCAACTGGATGTAAAAATAATGTCTGTATTTATGCATAATACCCACACAAAGTAAATACAGTTAAACTATACACTTCTAAAATAAAAGTATTTAAAACTTCTAAAGTAAACTTTATCCATTCCTGGAAATGCTAATGTGATGCTAAAAGTGAAATAGTCCATTCACTAAAGGAATGATATGGTCAATCTAAAACGTCCTGTTTGGAAGCCAGAGGTCAGCTTATTTATTTTTATTTTTTTTATCAAGTTTGAAGGCACTGGCTTTTGGCACAGAAATTTGTTACAGTACAGCTTGGTAATCATAACTAGAGTATAGTAAGTGAGGCTTAACGGACTTGATGTCATACTGCAAAATACAGATGTATCGTAAAATAGAGAGTTTAAAATCAAGTTACGGAACCTTTTTTATTCCACTGCACACATACTCACCAAAGGGCCAATAAAATCTTCTCTCTGGTTTGAGAGTCTTGGGGTAGAGGAATCCATCTCCATGATTTTAGCTGAACCTGGAATATTTATGAAAATTGTATTACTCACTCAATAGAATGCATAGGCTAGTTCTGGAATTCACATATAGAGCATATAGTGAAATGTAAAGTTGAATGGTGTGATAGTCACTTAGCACACCACATTACATTTAAGTCAATATTCAAACAATATATATTATCCAAAGAAGTTGCTATGATGTTTAACAATGAAAAATGATGTGAAGTAGCACATGCTATGCTTGCACTTTCAATATTTATATAGGAAAGAAAGCCTTTAGATCCACCAGGTTGCTTATATTCCATATATGCGAGTGGCAAGGTAATGGGATCCCATCCTCCTGTTCCACAATCGTTAAAGGGATTATTTCTACTTACATTTAAAGCATGTTTTATTTTGAGATTTGTTTTGTAGCATGACCAGAAAAAAAACAGTAAGGTTCCTCAAACATCTGTTGTGCCCAAAGTGCAGGAGAAAAGTCTATTTTCTATCTGCAGTACACAATAAACCCACGGAGTCAGTAAAAGAAAAAAAAGTTCTGATCGAGGAAGCGCATGCTTAATTGTAATAAATATATGGAAAACAAACTTCTTAACTTCTTTAATCAGGGTTTGAACCTATACCTGGTTTATCACAAAACCGTAATATGGCATAAAACAGATGCAATGTGCTTGACACAAATTTTAATGTTTAATTAGTGTGTTCTATACAAGCATTGAGGCCTAGGCTCCAAATTTTGTTGGAGCAGTAGCCCTCATTCTTTGAACAAAGCGATGGCTGGTGGTTTAAAAAAAATATAAAAACACTGCACACCTGAAATTTGGCTGCTATCCAGTTTTTGTCAACCCAACCGTTTGTCCTGTTGGAAAAGTTAATCTACACAAGGTATACTGGCTGTACAGGACCAATTGTTTTAGCTTTTAAGTGCATGCAGTGTGACTGCAGAAATATTTTTCCTGAAACTAACATTTTTAACTTCAGCTCAAGTGAATGTAAAAAGTGAGATATGTGCCCACTTTATGCAAACTTTTAATAACCTTTGGATATTAGGATGGTAAAAATGAGAAGTTGCGCCTTAGACTAGTTCCATAATACACTGATCAGCCACAACATTAAAACCACTGATAGATGGAGTGAATAACATTGATTATATCATTACCATGGCACATGTCAAGGGGTGAGAAATATTAAGCAACCAGTGAACAGTCAGTTCTTTAATTTCATGTGTTGAAAGCAGGAAAAATGGATGAAAAGATCTGAATGACTTCGACAATGGCCAAATAACAATGGCTAGATGACTGGGTTAAAGAATCTCCAAAATGGTAAGTATTGTGGGGCATGCAATGGTTAGTACCAACAAAAGTGGTGCAAGGAAGGACAACCGGTGAACCGACATGTATGGAGCAAAGGCTAGTGCTGAAAAACTTAATTCTGGACATAAAAAAAAGATGTCAGAACACACAGTGCATCACAGTTTGCTGTGTATGGAGTGGCTATGATAACCCCTGTCTACCAACGAAAGCACATTTAATAAGTACGTAAGCATCAGAACTGGACCATGGAGCCATGAAAGAAGGTAGCCTGGTCTGATGAATCAGGTATTCTCATAGATCAGGTGGCCGGTGGAGTCAGTATTTTGCTCTGAGCAATGTTCTGCTGTGAATCATTGAGTCCTGGCATTCATGTGGATGTTTCTTTGACACATACCAACAACCTAGAGATTGTTGCAGACCACGAACACCCCTTCATCACAGTGGTGTTCCCTGATGGCAGTGGGCTCTTTCAGCAGGATAATGTACCCTTAACACTGCAAAAAAATAGTTCTTGGTTTGAGGAACATGACGAATAGTGCAAGGTGCAATCTGATTGAGCATCTGTGGCATGTGCTGGAACAGCAAATCCAATCCATTGATCCCCAACCTCATATCTTGCAGTACTTAAAGGATCTGAGGTGCCAGATACAGCAAGACACGTTCAGTGGTGTTGTGATGTCCATGCCTTGGTGCATCAGAGCTGTTTTGGCAGCATGGGGAGGACCTACACGATATTTGGCAGGTGGTTTTAATGTTGTGGTTGATCACCATATATACAATATGATTATTCTCAATGAACTCAATGAACACAAGTCAGAAGTGTATATGATTGTAACACTGTATTAAAGGGACACTCCGGAAACACTTCCTTGGGAAAGTACTTTATTAGTTTTTTGTGTTCTTTTTTTTTTTATTTTATAAAAAGTGCAAATTTGAAGCTTGTCAAATACGCAGGTGGATGTAACATCACTCATATAAATAAATTCTACCATTGACAGAGAAATGAATTCACAGGGGACACTGCACCCGCAGAACTAACACAAATCACAAACGACAGACTCCTGACATAAGCTGCACTGCTGACTATGTGGTGCATCATCCAGCCTTTGAATATGCACGTGGTGGGGAAAACAGGGGAGAAGAGATATTGAAAATGCAAAAAGGGGAAAAATATGTGGAGATGATACATAAATATCCGTGCATGCACTCAGACTGAGATCAACTAGAAGGGGCAATGAGAGATAACATTTGAGGGTATGAGGGGGAAATTGTAAAAATACGAGATGAAGTAGGCATAGGCGTGCGCATTAGGGTGTGCACTCTAAAGCACAAACACACGCCGCATGTGTATATATGTACACATACACATATATACATATATATATATACACACACACACATACACTACTGTGTGTGTGTGCTGTTAGTGTGTTTGTGCTGTATGTTTGGAGGGATTGTGGAGGTGGGGGCAGATTAGTAAATATCCCCCCTCCCTTCTTACCTTATGTAGGGAGGGGGGATCCTTGCTGCCATGTGCCATCCCTCGTGGTCCAGTGGAGAGTGAACTCTAGCCTCGGGGCTAGAGTTACTTCACGAGATCTGAGCATTGCCGTGGCAATGTTCAGATCTCGTGAGAAGAACTTGGCGGAGCTGCTGCCTAGAGCTCCCCGGGACCTCTTGCCTCCCTCTATGCTGCTGTGGGCTGGTGAGGTAGATCTTTGATCTCCCCGCCAGCCCATGGAGGCTTAGAGTAGAGCCAGCAGATAGCGCAGACTCTGCGTGAGCCGACAGGGGAGATCCGGAGATCTCCGGAGAAGTCCAGGGGAATAAAGTGTGGAACTCTCCCATGTAATGCTGCGCACACACATTGACACACATACACAGACACACACATATATATACGCATGCACACACATACTCAGACACACACATACAGACACACATACAGACACACACATACAGACACACACACACACTCACAAACACACACTTACAGACACACACGCTTACGGGGACACACACACACACACACACTCACAGACACACACATACATTCACACTCACTCACAGACACACACTTACAGACACACACACATACACTCAGACACACACACACATACCCACATACACTCACAGACACACACACAGACACACATACATTTACAGACACACAAATACACTCACAGACACTCACACACACACACACACACACACACTCACAGACACACACATACTCAGACACACACACATACACTCACAGACACACACACATACACTCACAGACACACACACATTGACACACATACACAAACACACACATATATGTACTCGTGCACACACATATTCAGACACACACTTACAGACACACACCCATACACTCACACACACTCACACAGCCACACAGTTACAGACACACACACATACATTCACACACACACTCACTCACTCACAGACACACACTTACAGACACACACACATACACTCAGACACACACACACACTTACAGACACACACAAATACACTCACACACACACATACACACATACACTCACAGACTCACACACACACACACACACACACACAAACACACATACATACTCAGACACACACATACACTCACAGACACACACATACACACATACAGTAGTGGGGAAAGTGATGGAAACCATGTTAAAGGATAGGATTGATGAACATCTAAAAACACATGGATTTCAAGATCAGAGACAACATGGGTTTACTTCAGGGAGATCATGCCAAACAAATCTTATTGATTTTTTTGATTGGGTAACTAAAATTATAGATCAGGGTGGTGCAGTAGACATTGCTTACCTAGATTTCAGTAAGGCTTTTGACACTGTTGCACATAGAAGGCTTATCAATAAACTGCAATCTTTAAGTTTGGATTCAAATATTGTTGAATGGGTAAGGCAGTGGCTGAGTGACAGGCAACAGAGGGTTGTAGTTAATGGAATATATTCGAAGCTTGGACTTGTCACCAGTGGGGTACCTCAGGGATCTGTACTTGGACCCATTCTCTTTAATATTTTTATTAGTGATATTGCAGAAGGTCTTGATGGTAAGGTATGTCTTTTTGCTGATGATACTAAGATATGTAACAGGGTTGATGTTCCAGGAGGGATAAGCCAAATGACAAATGATTTAGGTAAACTAGAAAAATGGTCAGAATTGTGGCAACTGACATTTAATGTGGATAAGTGCAAGATAATGCATCTTGGACGTAAAAACCCAAGGGCAGAGTACAGAATATTTGATAGAGTCCTAACCTCAACATATGAGGAAAGGGATTTAGGGGTGATTATTTCTGATGACTTAAAGGTAGGCAGACAATGTAATAGAGCAGCAGGAAATGCTAGCAGAATGCTTGGTTGTATAGGGAGAGGTATTAGCAGTAGAAAGAGGGAAGTGCTCATGCCATTGTACAGAACACTGGTGAGACCTCACTTGGAGTATTGTACACAGTACTGGAGACCGTATCTTCAGAAGGATATTGATACCTTAGAGAGGGTTCAGAGAAGGGCTACTAAACTGGTTCATGGATTGCGGGATAAAACTTACCAGGAAAGGTTAAAGGATCTTAACATGTATAGCTTGGAGGAAAGACGAGACAGGGGGGATATGATAGAAACATTTAAATATATAAAGGGAATCAACACAGTAAAGGAGGAGACTATATTTAAAAGAAGAAAAACTACCACAACAAGAGGACATAGTCTTAAATTAGAGGGACAAAGGTTTAAAAATAATATCAGGAAGTATTACTTTACTGAGAGGGTAGTGGATGCATGGAATAGCCTTCCAGCTGAAGTGGTAGAGGTTAACACAGTAAAGGAGTTTAAGCATGCGTGGGATAGGCATAAGGCTATCCTAACTATAAGATAAGACTAGGGACTAATGAAAGTATTTAGAAAATTGGGCAGACTAGATGGGCCGAATGGTTCTTATCTGCCGTCACATTCTATGTTTCTATGTTTCTATGTTTCTATGTTTCTATGTTTCTATGTTTCTATGTTACACACACACATACAAATTATTATTTTTTTTATTAAAAAATGTCCACCCAGCCTCCCTACCTGGAGAGCTGGCGTGAACCTGTCCGTGGGGTCCAGTGGGGCGGGCACCTGTCTCCAGATCAGACGCAGCGAGGGAGCGGTGTCCTCTCTGCTGCCTCTCGCCGCGCGGGCTGTCTACAGTAGTTGGGAGCCAGAATATGACATCATATTCCGGCTCCCGACATCAGCAAATGGCGCGTGTCGCGAGGGACCAGAGTTGACACAGCTCCCTCGCCGCGTCTGATCTGGAGACAGGCGTCCGACGGCGGTGGGGGGGCAGAGTGCCTGCAGGAACAGCGTTCCTGCTCAAAAAAAGGAAAAGGAATCCTATTCCTGCAGGACTCAATACATAGTGCGTGCCGCAGGGATTAGGGTGTGCACAGGCACACCCGGCACACCCCGTGCGCACACCTATGGAAGTAGGTATGTAATAGAGGTATACATATCCCTCTTAGGAGGGCAAGGATATAGCATAAGCAAGGAAGCAGGGTGAGATGGAATTTGGAGAGGAAGAAAAGATGGAATGGTGTAAGGATTATGGAATGAGAAAGGGTATGGAGACTAAAAATTGAAGAGATACAAATGGAGTGATGATTGGAGAAGGTAAATGATGAAGGGGTGAGATGGAATGTGGAGGGGAGATGGAATGAAAGGGTGACTAGTGATTGGTGTGAGGAGCTGTGGAAGAAGGGGAAGTATTACTAGTGTTATTTACCAAAGTGAGCTGTAATAAACGTATAGGCAACTTAGATTTGTTTTCCAGTTTGGTTATGTTCACCTTAAATCTGAAATTCACTTTGAATTCTCTTTGAACGACCCTAAGTTTCTGGGGAGGGTATTGGATGAGACTGGATGCTAAGGATGGTATAACTGGATGTTTTTAGAGAACAGGGATGAGTAGTAAGCCAAAAGGCTGGCACAAGGTTTAGTGAGAATAATGAGACTGGAGTGTGTTGGACAGTGGAGAGAGGAATCGAGTATGGGATAGAACTAGGGAAGCAATATTAGGCTACAGGACAGGGAAAAAGTCAAATTGATAACAATTATAAAATGATAATAATAATAGTTTTTATATACTACTCTTATTAGGACAAGCTCCAACAAAATCTGTCTCTCTGTATATTATTTTAATTTATTTATAAAATATTTTACCAGGAAAGATACATTGAGATTTCTCTCGTTTTCAAGTATGTCCTGGGTATATGAGGTTGGACAGCATTGATCTAAGCTATAATGTGTTTTTATCAAGTTTTAAGTTAGTCCCTCTTATTTAATAGAAAATACTTAAGCAATTTCTTTTCATTTTTTTTTTTGCATAAGGCTACACAAAATTAATAACAGAATGATAAATATTGTAATCAAATAAGCCCCTCTCCCCAAGTGAAAAGTAAACAAAATGTCATATTACGCTATTTATTTTGAATTATGTAATGCTGCAGTTTAGAATTTCTCCCAGCTAAGAGATTATATATTTTTTCTCTTTTTTTTTCTAATAAATATGGTTAGCGTTAACCAATGAATAGTTATACTTTTGGTAGATGGGAGCAGTTTTCTTCTATTTTTGGAGAGCAAAAACGGGTGATATTCTGAGGCAAAGTGATAAATAAAGAGCAATCACCATGAAAACCAATAGAATGTCTTAACATTTAGCACTAAGCACCCAAACTAACACCTGTTTAGCCTTGATCAATTTTTCACCATGTATTCTAATCTCTTAGTTGGGTACTTTGCAATTTGGAGCACAATGCTCCATTTAAAAAAAAAAAATGTTGCACTTTTTAATTTGGCCACCACGTGTAAAACTGCATGCTGTATATTTTCAAACATCTGTCTGATAATCTAGATTTTTCCTTAGTGAGTTGTAGAAGTGCTTCATTCACATACATCCTTGCTCTACTCAGGTCTATATGAGGAGTATCACATTTTGAATGAAAATATATTGTGTTGAATAATTACTTTACATGCTTAACTTGTTGAGTAACAGTACTTGTTGTATTGAAAGATCTCATATTTCTTGACAGAAAATATAAATAGCAGTGACGGATACATTGATAGAACTCCAGCGTGCCAACAATGTAATAAAGAACATTTTGAACTTATTAATTACAAAAATTAATTTAAAAAAAAGGAAAAGAAAGTTTAACTTAATGTGTTTGGTTAATAAAGTTAAGATAAAAAAAACCAAAGAATATAAACAACAAAACAAAATAAACTTAAACAAATTAATTTAACAGGGATGCATATTAAATTAATGTTTCACTTTAAACCTCATTGATCTCCCATTGCCATTATGACTACATGAATCATTCTGGAATTAATGCAATAATTATCAATTATTCAGTAATATTTTTTTTTTAGCAATAAAAATCAATTTACCTTGTATTGTGTATTTTTCAGAAATGCAGAACCTGGATTTTTTGGAACTTCCAGCAAAAAATAATATATGACTTATGAATTTTTTTTTTTTTTATCCTGGCATTAAATCCTTCAACTGAGAAAATAAATGAAAGAGTTCAGAGGTAGAACGTCTGACTTTCTCATGAATAAAGATTCAGAGACTGTTTTCTACCTTGGGGACCTGGCTGGAGTGTGGAGATCAAGCAGCATGTGTCTGTCACTCACACTTAGCCTCATGCTGGCAATGAGTTTAAAGACCGAATCTATTTTTATCTTATTGAATCCTAGCATGTCGAAAAGAAGCTGCGTATTGCACTGTCTGTTCCCACACAGATCCTGCAGAAACTGGATGTGATCAGATCGTTTAGTCAGTGTTGGCTTTTTCAGCATCCGACCAGTTTAAATTATTTCAAACGCAGTGCTGCGACTAATTAATCTGTTTTATTGCAATATAATTCCTCGGTTCTGCGGCACACAACATTGATTTAAAGAACTCTTTAGTGACTATAAACAGCTACGTTCAATTAATTGGTTGGATGGCAACGTGCTCCTTGGCCCATATAACATAATATTTTGTCAGGTGCTTTCAAACTGCTTAATAGAATACCCTGCAGATTGGTACTTTACCAATCTCACTATCATGAGGCTGAATGCTACTACTAGTTGTGTTGGTGGAGGTGTCGGAGGTATCAGCAGTCCTCATGTCTAAGATGTTCAAACTCTCAGAAGCAATGACACTATTGCTAATGGTGGATTGGGGAACAGGACCACTTTCTCACTGAATTTTGTCTTGGAATTAGTATGTGACATTTCTGATAGTGGGTTTGTTTTTAGTGTTACAATAAATCAGAGATATGAATGATTGTGTATTGTGTAAATGAACACCTCCTAGTTCAGCACAAATAGGTGTTTGTGTTGTAAAGTGTATTGTTGCTTGATGGACTTACTACTGTAACATTATTGTGTTTGACTTTAAGAAACACTGCAGAGTGTATGCACACTTGCACAGCACACACAGGACTAAACCCACTCAGAAAAAAATATTTAATAAAAATGAAACATATATTCCAAAAGGAAAAAAAGCTGTCAAACTGTAAATTGGTGTTTGTGAGTTGGTGTTACTTGGCAATGGCTGGCAGTGCCACCCTGCACTGACCGTAAATAATATTGTCACACTTGGATGAATGAAGCAGGCTATCTCTCTCAGTCAAAATGTGTGTGAGTGTCTAGGCAAGAGGAACTATTTTTCTTCCTTTTTAGTGAACAACAGTCTCCCTAAACAAATGAGTTTCTTTCTACAAACAGTTAACAAACAACAACAAAACAAATTTTCACAATTGTAAATTGCTTATTCCAAGTTGGTGTAAAGTGGCAAAGCATAGGAGAGTGACAATGCAATAGACATAAACAACAGTATCATAGGATGAATTAACCTTTTTGCTCAGCATTGCACTCCCCTAAAAAGGATTTTCTTTCTACAAACAATTGACAAAAAAAAAAAAACAAAGAAAAAAATCTAACAACTTTTAACAACTGAATATTGCTAAATACAAGCTGGCGTAGGTGTGCCATGGTAGTAGCTAAGCAAGGATGTTTTGTTTCTGAGGAATACACTAAAAATGATTTCCTTTCTACAAACAGTAAGAAAACAAACGAAGAAGAAAATAACGAAATAAAACGAACAACTTTTAACAACTATATATTGATAGCCTAGTCTCACACTAGAAAAATGACCCAGGGCATTTACCACTCCAACACTTGCACACTAAATGTATATTGTATCACTGCTGATATATCTCCCTCAATAACTGCAGTCAAATTGTCTGGAAAATCCTGCTTAGAAGTATCGATCGTTTTACTGCTGCTCCTTTTTTCCCGTTATTGATGTGACTTGATCTGTGAATAAAATCAATGCATACAGACTGTCCCCTAACCATCAATCATCATTTGATTTCTGCCTCTGGATTGGATAGGAGAGCTAGCCCATATGATCGGGAAGACCTCTTGTCGATCATGAAAACTAAGCTGCTTATATGCCCCTACCTAAAATAAATAGCCTCCTGTCCTATCCATACCCCCTTTTATTGGTCCTAAGAACAACACTTCAAATCAAGAATGAAAACAAGCATTTTTATTCATAGTTTCCTTGAGATTATGGTTCGTGGAATTTCAGGTGAACGTCCTAAATTCAGTCTAATTGCATGCAGTTCAGCCTCAAACCAATTTCAAAATCTACTTGGAAACACTCTTGCTATTGTAAAGTAGAATGTTTATTCCTTTTTATTTTAAACAATTTTTATATTTAAAGGAAATGTCTAGATTCAGCATGTACGTTTGTTTTTTCAGTCTGTGTTTTATTGAGATGGATGTATGAAAAATACAAACAATTGTAAAACACTAAAGGTATGCAATTCAGTACAGTAAATCAGTACATATTTGGGGTATTAGCAACGGAGTGATGGAGCCATCTCTCTCTTTTTTTTTTGTAAAACAAGGCAACACAAAATAAATAGAATTCTAAACCGATATTGTTCGCATAGAAATGAATTAGATTTCTAGACATGAAAGATACTAAGAGATTAAACATAAAAAAAATCAAATTATAGTATTCAGGACACAGGAAAACCACTAGGATAAAAATAAAATAAATTATCATCTCAGCTGTAAGTAAGGAAATTGCTTAGGTCTTTAAGGCTATGCCTTTAATGGGCTAAGCTAGAGGGGCAGTTCGGATCCAGGCTATAGATTTGGTCACCCGATGCCACAGATGGGCCATGACAGAAAGTCCAGCTCCCTGCCAAAGGCAGCTCATGGTCTTGCTGCTGCCGATCCTAGGAAGCAAAGCTGGAGCTCCCGCTGTATATTGTGCATCGAGTTGAGCTCTACACTGGACTCGCTGCACCACTGTGTATGTAGCAAGTGGGATAGAATTTGCTGACAGCTCAGCTGACGAGTGGCTTTGGACTCACAATGCTTCAGGTCCCCACAACTCCGGCTCCTGGCCTCGATGGGAGCCGCTCCCTTAAGTCCATAGCTACTCCTATCTCTTGTGGCTGGATCTTGGGCCCACAGGTCCTCTGTGGCTTGGACTCCTCCGTGGGTGCACGGACTGTGGATTGACCTAAAAAAAGGAACAAGTTGCTGAGTCAGCATCAGTGACTCAGCAGGAGAGGTAAGCACCTGAGGTCTGCTAGAGATGCGGTTCCAGAATGCTTGGCAGACAGATTTAAACTGTCCTTCAAAATCCTCCCTCCACTGCTAGGTCTCAGAGCTTAACCGACCTTGTGGGGAATCTAGTGTGGCAGCCATTTTGTATGTGTCACACGACATAGGATTGTGGTAACCCAGAGCTGCTGAGAGCGTTGGTTGTGTGGCCCAGTGGGGACCAGGATAACCCCTGCTGGTCCATTGGGGTAACGGGGCTTTGAGTATTCTGCACCAGGTTATGCGCTTGGTGTCACAGGATCAGCTGCCTCCCCTAGCTGTTGGCGTCTGTAATCCTCAGTCGTGGATGTCAGAAAGGCGCAATGGCAAACACGTGTGCTCCGTCTGGGCAGTGGTGTATTTTGAAATGGTGCTGACCTAGGCATGACAGATCTCAGGCACCCCCTAATTTAAATGTACCTGCCCCTTCCTGCCAAGGCCACACTTCTTCCTGTTAACTTACACACATTTTGGCTGACAGACACACACTCACAGACCAGCACACACTCTCAGATACACTGACCTGCACTCACTGATTTGACACAATCTGACACACACACACTCACTCACTCACTCACATTCACTAACACACACTCACTCACATTCACTGACACACACACTCACATTCACTGACACACACTCACTCACTCACATTCACTGACACACACTCACTCACATTCACTGACACACACTCATTCACTGACACTCATTCCCTCAAATTCACTGACACACACACACACATACACACATTTTCCCCCAACACTCACAATTAGAATTATTTTTTTTTACCTTTAAATCCACCCAGCCTCCCTACTTTTGGTATAGCTGGGTGGATTTTTCACCTGGGGTCCAGTGGGGCTGTTGGCCGGGCTGCTGGGAAGAAAGGCGGCCAGACGTGCAGGTGGGCGGGCGCTCTAAGTTGTCAGCAAGAGAGCTGTGATCTCTCTGCTCAGCTCCCTCGCACGCTGCAAAGTGATGCCGGGAGCCGGACTGATGTCATATTCACTGCAGGTCGTGGGAGGGAGCTGAGCAGAGAGAGCTCAGGGGAAAGTGCTCCCTCGCCGACCGAAAGCCCAGTAAACAACTGTGCGCCTGCCCAGGGGGAGCCCAAAATTGGCCAGCCGGCCAGCTCTTGGACCCCCATAAAACAAGGCAAACAAGGCATTAGCCTGGGGATTTGGGGGTGGTGATGTTTGGCCGCCCCCTGGAAATTTCTGCCCAAGGCAAATGCCTTGTTTTCCTCATGATAGATACATCCTGGGCACCCTGAAACAGGCTTAACATGGCATGGTAAGAGGTGGGGATAGTCCCCAAGTACTGTGGAGCTATTCCAGATAAAAGTTGTGTGGTTTTAGTCCATGTATAGCTTGTGTTTAGCAGGAGCTAGAGAGAAATGCATCCAGTCATCTTAGTTGCCAGACCTTGCCCCCCAATTAAACATGTACATTTTAATGCATTTGAATGCAGTTAAAATATATATTAAAATAAAAAGTTTTACAAAATTATTTTTCTGTCTCTAAATCCTACATTTTCTGAAAGTTCTATAGCTATGCTGTTCCACCCCCTTTTCCATCAGCACTATTGTCCTTGTTAATGCTGGGCATTATATAGACAATTGCTTCTTATGGAAAAGCATTAAGGACACTATGAGCACATGCTGGAAAAAGTCTCAAATTGTGTTTCTCTGAATAAACTCCTACACGACTGAGGATTGAGCAGTGAGACAGCAGGGACACGATCTATACTCCAAAGCCACTTCATTAAGCTAAAGTTGTTTTGGTGCTTGCAGTGTTCCTTTCAGGTTGTGTGCCAGGTTGTGGACTGTGAAGTTGATGGGCTGAGTAAGGAATTAAATTAGAAACAAACAAATTAAGCTTCTAAATTAGCTGACTATGTAGTTAACTCTAGAGTAGGTATGCCGGCATTGAGATCAAGATTGGATTCTGTAGGAGGAATCTCCTCTGTATGTCGAGGTCAGGCATGTGTCTGCATTGCTAAGCACAATGTATGGTACGTAAGCCTAAACCAGAGACAGGTCAGCCTGATGTAGCACAATTCAGTAGGGTGCCAATTTTACTCTAAAGAAAGCTCTTCTGGAAGTCGTACTTGGTGAGAGGAAGTAATGTTGTTTTAATGTTTCAATTATTACCATTTTTTTGTAATATTCTTTATTTTTGTTGTGCATA